TCCACCACATCCACCGCCTCTTGCATCTTCCTCATTACAAACCTCTCATTCTTACCTCTCTTCCACAATGCCCCATCATCTGCATATAGTGCCATACCCATACCTCTACCTACATCCCTAAACACATCGTCTATCATGATTGTAAACAACACAGGGCTAATCACACTGCCCCGTGGGGTGCCATTAGCAACCTCATACCTCTCTGACAATATTGTCCCAACCCTCACCTGTATGTACCTGTCAAACAAGAAATCCAGAATCCAATTATACATTCTGCCCTCAACTCCCAATGCACTTAACTTCATTAACACCCCCTCTCTCCACATAGTGTCATACGCCTTCTCTATATCAAAGTACACCACCACCATCTTCTCCTTCATAGCAAGTGCCTTGGCTATCTCTGTGCTAACCACCACCAGTGCATCCATAGTAGACCTTCCTCTCCTGAACCCACTCTGTGCTTCACTCATCAATCCCTTACTTTCCAGGTAGAATATCAATCTTTTCACTATCATCTTTTCCATCAGTTTACATAGGTTTGAGGTCAACGCTATTGGTCTATAGCTATCCACCTTCCCTGGATCTTTTCCCGGTTTAGCAAACGGCAGTACTACCGCCTGCTTCCACCCGTCCGGCAGCACCCCAGTCCTCCACACCTTGTTAAACAGCCCTACTATAGCTTCCATTACATTATCAGGTGCCTTTTTCACCATCTCATATCCTACCCTGTCCTCTCCCGGTGCCGAACGCCTGCATCCTACCAGTGCCTTAGTCAGCTCAAACTTAATGAATTCCGCATCCATCACTTCCTCCGTCCCTGCCTTCTTATGCAACACATCTCCCTTTTGTTTTAATATCTCGCATCTCCTCCTCTTACTCTCCTCACATAGGTGCTCGCCACTGTGAACCTTCGCAAATGCTACCCCCAACGCATCCGCCTTTTCCTTACCTGTCATAGCAATTGCATCCCCCACCACCAACACTGGTATTTCCGCATTTCCTCCTTTCCCCAACATTTTCCGGAACATTTTCCACACCCTGCCAATGTCCGTCCCCTTCCCAATGGTAGAGCAGACTCACGCCATGCTTCCCTTTTAGCTCTCTTTATTGTTCTCCTTTTTTCTGCCCTTTTACGTTGATACTCCAACACCTTCGTATCTGTCATGCTTCTCCTCAGTGCCCTAAACGCCTTATTCCTCTCACATACTCTTTTGGAGCATTCATCAGTCCACCACGGTACCACCCTCCTCCTACCACCTCCCTTACTGACTGGAATAGCCACCTCTGCTGCTGCCACTAGCATACTTGTCAGTTCCTGAGCACATTCATTCACTGATCCCTCCATTGTCAACTTCCGTCCTTCCCTCTCACACAAGTACTTGAACTTGATCCAATCAGCCTTCTCATAACACCACCTCTTGCCATGCCCTCTGCTCTGCATACATACACCACATACACCAGCCTCAAACCTACAAACATCTCAATCCGTGCCGACTTTTTCCTAACCTGTTCACTCATATTAAGAATATGACACAGAAATGCCAAAAAATCCACCCGTTTCATCACCAGTGTCTCTTCTGTAACTGAGCATCCCCCATGACTATACTTCTTATCTCCCCCCTCCACCACCTGCCCCTCCCCTCTTCCTGTGATCACCCCTGGCTGTTCCTGGGCCCTTATTTCTTGTTCCCTCCTGCTGCCTTGGCTTTTCCTTGCTGCCTCTGCATATGTTACCTTATTTACTATCTTGTATCTCTGTACCTCTGCCTCCTTTCTCTGCACAATACACCCCCCATATGCCGCACTATGTTCCCCGCCGCAGTTACAACACCTTATTTTAGCCTGTGCTTCACATTTCCCATACTCATGTGGGCCCCCACATTTAGCACACCGACACTGCCCCTTACACACACTGGCCACATGCCCCATGCGTTGACACTTGGAGCACCTTAGCGGCGCCGGCACATACTCCATCACAAAGTAGCTCACATACCCCAGACACACTCTACTGGGTATATGCCCATCAAACTCCACCATCACAGTTGGGCTCTCCTCTCCGTTCCCTTTGTTTTTATTTGTCATTCGTTTTGCCTCCACTACCCGTCCTCCCTTTACTTCTTTCTTGAATTCCTCCATTGTTATATCCAGCGGTACCCCCGTAATCACCCCCCTGCTCTTAGCCCTTCCACCCGGTACATGACACTTCACCTTCGCTCCATTCAGCGACGTCAACGCCATTAACTTGCCTTGCTGGGCCCAATTAACAGCAAAAATCAACACTCTCCCATGCCCAACACACCTCGCATCTCTAACATGTCCCACCTCTGCTTCAATAGCTTTAGATAATGCTATCGGATTCAACACTTTCCTCGTAGGCTCATCGAATACACCATAACTTTCCATTCCTCCACCTGCGCTCGCCTCTTATCCCTTCTCATTCTCTCCGCACCCGTCTGGTCATCCCCAGACGACATTGACTCCCCGGCTTTCCTACTACGTTTCTTCTCATTCTTCACCTTCCACTTTACCTTATTACCTGCATGCATTTCTCCCTCCTCATTGTCCGACCTCTCACTGCCCTCCCGCATATCCACCTCGCTTCCACCCGAACTACCCGCCATGCCAACCTCAGTGACAGTGCAGCTGTGCAATCAACCAGCCCCGTGTCACGAAGCGACCGGCCCTTTTCCCATTGCATGACGTTATGTCAGCCGACAAAGTGACTGTGTGAGGATCGTGCTTTTGTGCTGACAGTGCTGATGAATTAATGACGTGCAGGTGCGGGTGATTAGAACTCTGGTGACAGCGATCTCTGTGATTGTGTGGTGGTGGAGCCTGGTTGGTCCCTGACATTATCAAGGTCTTACCACTCTGTTACGAAATTTTCAGAGGGATCAGATTAACCTTTGTGGAGCATAACCTGTGAGGAGCAGGGTGTAAAAGAAAAAGACATTCATCTTCCTTCCTTGTCACCAGGTGGCGCTATGACTAAGGTTAAAAATGATCTCATGGATGTCTACAGGGTGAGAAGTTCATGCTATATGAGAAATATGGAGCAGATTAGATCAAGTATGGTCGAGTTAAAACAACTTCAATTTTCATGCTGAATGGTGTTTTTTTGAAAATGTTCCCTACACACATAGTTTGGAATTTCTTCCAGCAAAATGCAATTTTTAGAGCCTAGGTCCTCGAGATCACACTGCATGAATTTGAAAATAATCAGGTTTAATCCCTGGGAGGAGTTTGGTCTTTTACAACTCTAAGAAATCCTGAAAACAGGCCCAAAATAGGCCAAAAAGGCAGATTTTCAACAATTAATTGCAGCGCCCCCTATTCTTCAAATATTCAAAAAAAAAATAGGGTTTAATGTTCACATGTATTACAAGTTTGGTGAGGGCAGCCCGAATCATTTGGCCCATGTCTTCTCAAAATAATGAGATATCAACACGATCTAGGTAAGTCAGGGGGAAATTGACCCAATAATGATCCACAGAAAATTTCGTGACAATCAGACATAGCGTTTCGAAGAAATGGCCAAAGACGTGATTTTCTTTTTTGTAGAGCATGTCCAAGAGCACATGTATGCCAAATGCATCGGGGAATAAACTGGCCTAGTGGGGTACTTTTCAAATTTCTAGGGGGCGCTATTTCTTTGTACCCAAATGCGAGACCCCAAAATTATCAAAATTTTCACCAGTTCTGATATGCATGCCAAGTTTAACAACTTTTTAAATATGATGAAGCCCCCAAAATGGCAAAATTCCTTAGAGAAAATAATAATAAGAAGAATTCTATGAAATACAATAGGTTCCTCTACGACAAGTCGTAGTGTGGACCCTAATAAGTCAGCGAATTTATGAATGATCGCGTAAGAGAATAAATAACAAATTAAACTCGTTGCCTCAGATTGTCTTTGTTGCCTCGGAAACTCATCGCTCTGCAGTATTTCCTTCCAGTGTTTGCTTCTGTGGTTTATGACCTTGCCTGCTCTTGAGTTTGGGATTTGGCCTGCATACTGTAGATGTGTTTCTTTCGTGATTTTGCCAAATTTGCTTTTTAGAACCGAAAAGCCTGATTTATGTCATCTTATCCTGAAATTTATCCGCCAACAACAACAAACAAAACAAAACAACAAAATCAAACAGGAAATAAACCCACACGGTGACACATGCAGTGCACTAGTTCATGTTAATGAAGGTAACATAAGGAAACTATTTGAGCCTCCTTGGGAATTACATACATATTTCAAAAATGTGCATCCAGAAACAACAACAGAAACATTTAATTTAACATTTGAAATAGTTTTTATTTTTTTTACACAAGAAAGACAAAGCAACAATGCAAATAAAGTGGGAAATTACCAAAATAGGAACGCAATACTTTGAGAAAAAGTATTTACACTCAACACTTATTTTAATTATAGTTTGCGTCACTCGAGATGATGAACATCTCTTACTACACACATTACATTATCATATCATATCAAATGTGATATCATCATATCACATTTACTTGATAAAGCTCCCTCTTTATCATCAAACTAAGTTACTCTTCCACTATGACCAGAATCAACTTGGTTACCAGTGATTTCTGTATCCGATTGCATTCTACTTTAAGGTGCACATGCTGTGTGTGTGTGTGTGTGCGTGTGTATATATATATATATATATATATATGTATGTATGTATATGTATATATTTATATATGTATGTATATGTATATATTTGTATATATATATATATATATATATATATATATATATATGTATGATGCGTAGCATTCTGTCCATCGCTGGAGAGGAATCCCTCCTTTGCCGTTCTCCCTAAGGTTTCTTCCCTTTTTTCTTCCTATTGAATGTTTCTTCATTTTTGGGGGAGTTTTATATATTATATTTACAACTCTACCTATAGCTTTTAAATTAGCAGTATTTCACCAAAAATAAAGAGCTTTCTGTATTTGTGTGTTTGCTCCGTTAAATGAAGACACTTCATCAGCACTGCCAAAGTATACGTCACACATTTTATATTTATGTAAAATATATTTAGTCATATATAATTATGTAATCACTCATTAAAGCTCATCATTAAATAGGTTTTACCTTTATGGTATCAATGCTGTACTTTTCTAGTCATAGACGCAGACTCACAAGCAAAAAAGTTCAAAATCCTCATTCATCACGGTATGCTGGCTTTGTAACATTCAAGTCCTTCTTTCAACAGTATTGTTATACTTTGTATCACACATAACTTTTGTAAATTAACTCCTTAACTGTGCCTGCACAGGAAAAGAGGCTTAGTGTGAGAAAATCCTTCACAATCTCTGTCTTCATACTAAGACTTAAAACTTTAAAAGTCATTTGAATTAGTTCATAATTGCTCATGTGCTTGTTTTTTTTCCTTCAAATGGTATGACAGAGTATGCAACAAAATACATATTCACAATGATACATCTGACTTGGGCTAATTTTACCTTCACGATGAAAGCGTTGTGTACGTCAAAATAAATCACAATAAAAAGGACTTTGGGGTGGCACATAGCGGAGTATAATACAAATAAAGAAACCAAATTAGACAAAATCATGCAGGTGGACCAGAGAGGTTTCCTAAAGGGCCGCTGGCACTCATACATACTCCCGCTTTAGTCCTTAAAGACGACCAAACTTAAGAGGATTACTGGTAGTTACTTGGTACTTGGATTCAAAGCTTGCTCAACAGCTTCTCAGAGTACAGAGCAAAACATTTGTGGGGCTTAAGAAATGCCAATTAAAGGATTACTGTCACTTGTAGAAGAGATATCAAGTCAGCAAAGGAGCTTTGGGATCGTAAAAGGATAATAAGCTAGCATTTGTAACAGCAGCCAGCATTATTATTAGACCAAGTAACATGGTAGAATTTAAAAAAATGAATCTATATAATTTGAGCAAAAGCGTGTTTCAATATCTATTAAATTAACTTTCCATTTATGTATTAAATGTATGTATATTCTAATTTAAAACATATTTTTCTCATTTTTTCAGGATTATAAATCGTTATGTCATTCACAGCTAATTAAGCTTGGAGGTCCGCAACATTACAAGTGTGCTTAAAACTCTAAAATAAATAAAATAGTGAGGTGGTAATTTGAACCCTGCATTGCTGTAACCATTCCTCCTGTTCACACTGGACAAGAAGACACTTCTTACTAATGCACCTTTAATGTAAGTTTACTGTCCTCTTTCTATGCTACGCGAAGGTACCAAAAAGTTCATTGGAAGAACACTTTTATATTAAACCGTCCAAATGATGAACCTGTGTTGTCAGGAACCTGGTGCTATTGGTAGGGTCCTCGGCAGTGGTCTCAGGCGAAGGGCCAAACTAAGAATAGTTCAAAAAGACTATATGAAAAAGGGGAAGAGGGAACGGGTTACGCAACACAAAGGAAGCCTGAGGACCCGATGGAGGACTTGACCGGGCCGGGCTTCCCGTGGAGCCTGGCTGGCTCCCTGCGCTACAATATGTGTAGCACTGACAGTCTGGCTCTGGGGTCATGGAACATCACCTCTCTGGGGGGAAAGGAGACGGAGCTCCTGCGGGAGGTGGAGCGCTCAGTTTGTTTTGGTGGGGCATAGCTTTACGCACAGGGCAGTGGAGTCTGAAACCGTACTTCTGGATCGGGGATGCACTCTATTCTACTCTGGAGTGGCACAGGGTGTGAGGCAACAGAATGGTGGGGGGGACACTCACAAGTCCCAGATTGAGTGCCAAATTGTAGTTTTTGTTCTGGCACACAAAAGGAGGAAGGGAGGGAAGACTCTGACTGTTGTCTGTGAGTATGCACCAATTAGAAGTTCGCAGTATTCAGAACCTGAATGGAGTCTGAATGGGACTGCAGCACACGTTGATGCATACGTGAGCAACGATGGAAATAACTGAAGAGGCTGGATTGAGAAGAAGGGCCTCCCTGATCTGAAACTGAGAAGTCGTTCATTTTTGGACTTTCGTGCCAGTCAAGTATTCTCCATACAAACACCATCCTCAAACATAAGGATGTTTAAAAGTGTTCTTGGTACCACCGCACCCTAAGCCAAAGTTCAATGATTGATTTTCTAAACATATCGTCTGGACTCAAGATGGACCTTTTGAAGCCAATCGCGAACGTCTGGAGGAGCCCCCTGTCCAAAAGATTTTCAACTCACACCTCCGGTGGTTTAGCATTCCTGTTGAGTTGGGGGGCATTGAATCTGAGTGGTCTATGTTCAAAACTTCTATTGCTGAGGCTGCTGTGATCAGTTTTGATCTCAAGGTCTAAGATGCAAGAAGGGGCACTAAACCTGGAACACCGCAGTGAAGACTGGTAGTCAAGTAAGCCGTCCGACTGAAGAAGGAGGCATTCCGGGATTTCACATCTGGTGGTAAAGGTGGCAAAGCAGCGAGTGTGGGATGAGTTTGGAGTAGCTATTGAGAAGGCTTTCGAGCGGCATCAAGGTGCTCCTGGAAAACCATCTGGCACTTCAGGAGGGGAAACAGGGAATCATCCAAGCTGTTTACCGTAAGAATGGGACCCTATCGACTACAACTGAGGAGGTTATTGGATGGTTGACAGAGTTCTTTAAAGGAACTCCTGGATAAAACTATTGTGCTCTCTTAAGTAGAGACGGAACTGGAGGCTAATGAAGAATCATCATCAATTTGCCTGGCGGGAGTCACTGAGGTAGTCAAAAAACTCAGCAGTGGCAAAGGCTCAGGGATTGATGAGATCCATCCAGAAATATTGAAGGCAATGGGTGTTGGGGGGCTGTCTTGGATGACACGCCTGCAGAGAGGGTGTGTCAATTACAGGGGTATCACACTACTCAAAACTCCCATGTAAAGTCTACTCCAAGTTGCTGGTTCGGCCCATAGTCGAACAACGGATTGAAGAGGAACAGTGCAGATTTCGTCCTGGTCGTGGAACAACAGACCAGCTCTTTAATCATGTATGGGCCTGGAAGTTTGCTCACCTAGTCTAAGTGTGTTTTGTGGACCTGGAGAGGTATGACAGGGTCCCCCAAGAGAAATTGTGGAACGTGCTGCAGGATGAGGGGGGATCTCAGGGCCATCCGATGCCTCTACGCCCAAAGCGAGAACTGTATTTGGGTTCTCGGCAGTAAGTTGGAATTGTTTTCGGTGAGGTTTGGCATTCCCAGGGCTGCACCTTGTCACCAATCCTGTTCGTGGAAAATGGAGTGTAAGTTCGGCTGGAGAATCGGAGCAGCAGATACGGTATTGCAGTCGCTTTACCGTACTAGGTTGGGGGTATGAGCAGTTACAATTGTTTTTCTCAGAAGGGCGGCTGGCGTATCCCTCGGGGATAGGGTGAGAAGCCCAGTTGTCCGTGATGGCACTTGGAGTGCAACCGCTACCCCTTGCATTGGAAAGGAGCCAGTTGGGGTGGTTTTGGCATCTGGTAAGATGCTGTGCACCTTCTTAGGAAGGTATTCTGGGCAGGGCAAGCCGGGGAGAGGCCCCAGAGAAGGCACAGGACAAGGTGGAGAGATCATATCTCCAACTGGCCTGGTAACGTCTTGGCCCGGGAAAGGGAAGTTTCGGGTTCCCTGCCCGTGATCCTATCCCCGGATAAGTGATTGAAGATGAGATTAGATCATGTTACAAGTTAAAATCTTTGTAATCTTTTTTGTTACTCTCCCCCCAGCTAAATAAAGAAAGAGTTTAGGAGAACAAATGTGCTAATAACCTCTTGATTTATGTTAGACCGCTGAATACCCATTTTTACTATACAAACTGTTTTGTATCTACATTTTGTCTTCCCTAACTTCCATAGAAAATGTTTTAGGAAGAAATCCTTAAATAACCAGTATGAACATGGAGATTGATTAGAGCAAGCAGAATTTTATTCTGAGACTTTAATCAATTGAAAAGCTGGTGTTCTATAGACATGAAAATATGTCTGATTATCTTGCTTTGTCAAGATGACAAATAGTGCTCATTACTGTAACATACAGTATGTGTACGCTTACTTTATTGAATTATGTATCAGTAATGTTCATTAAAGGAGAACAGCGCCAACATAAAGGAATCTAATATGTAATTTGCACGGCCTTTGATAGTTCAATCAATCTTAATGATCATGAGCTACTCTGTTTGAAAGCCAGACACCAGAGAAGTGAGTCTTGTTTGGAGCTGGTCGCGGTGTCATCTCTATTATCCCTCCCAGTGCATTGTCCCAGTTCATTGAGCAGTTTCACTCTTTGTACACAATGACACACACAGCTGATTTTTAGCACTTTTGGATTTACGGGAGAGTAGCTCATGTTACCTAATATTTACAGACTTGTTTAGAAAAGCACATATAAAAGGAGATATACATTTTGATAATAGTTGAGCCCCCCCTTTAACCCAAGCAAGTTCAAACTAATTCAATAATCAAAAAAGTGCAGTTCCACTTCAAATAATGGCTGGCATGACTACAGTAATAGAGTCACTTTGTGAGGTAAAAGGTGCAGAAACATAATATGGTCCTTGCCTTTAAATGGTCTTTTGTCATTTAATGCTTGGATCAAGGGTTAGCGGACTGGACATTTTCCAAATCCTTGATCTATTATGCCCACTTTGTCCTTACCATCTTTAAAAATGTCATTTTTCAATGATCTCAAGATGGCATCTCGTGTTCAGCCCAAGGGCATTTTCTAAATGAGACGCCTGATGTTAGGGTTACAGATGTAACTTCCTGCTCCAAGGTAAACTTAACAACAAGCTAAAATGTGTCAATATTGCTGGATATGATCTTTGAATTTTCATTTGTTATAAAGACAGTTAAAAGAAGATTTTGCTCAATACGTCTGTTTTTTTGTTGGACGTCCTAGTTTTCAACACAGACAGAAGTTCCATCACCAGAAAACTGAACTAAATAATGAACAATATATATATATAATATAAATCAATCACGTCGCTCCTCTCAATCATCTTAAACTGTATGCCCATTTGGTGAGTTTGCATTGGCCACATGCCCTTTGGTTTGACATTTAGCAGGCCCACTATCTGATTGGCTTAGAGGAGTCCTATCTTTGTTTGATTGGCTGGCAGCCAACTTATCACACTCTGCCTTTGTCCTGACCAGGTTTCTACGGTGATAGAACAGATAGCCTGGCAACAGGAAGCCAGCCAGTGAAAAGATGAGAAGGGCCAAATTGATCTGTATTAAGGAGAGACATGTCAGTGCATGTTAGAACACCGGTTATATGTATACAAATCCTGGTTGTGCGGGAATGTGTTTGTGTGTGCTCCCTACCCAGTAAGGATCTCCACCCAAGTGTCCCACCATCACTATGAACAGTGGCTGCTGAAGCAAGGCGAAAGCAGCACTGACCATTGACTGCATGCCGGTCAGTGTTCCAAAGTGGTTGGCTGGATACCTAAAACGGGAAGGGAGAATTATCCACAATCATCAGATTAAAAATCAAAGAGCAGTGATGTCGATCCAATGTCTTAGTTCAACGTTACATTGTAATTTGAACAAAGTAGGAGGATCAAGTTCCAATCCCACAGTTGGGGAGTGTAACGAAGTATATTTAAGTACAGTATGTAAGTACGCAAACATTTGAGGTATCTGTACTTTAGTTGAGTATTTCAGGTTATTTAACATTTCAAAATTCTAGTCCTCTACACCTCACGCAAAGGGAAATATTATACATTCCACAAAACTTTAAGCAATGAAAATGTGAGCCGAGTTGGGCCGATTTTGTGTTGCCCCTATAAAGCCAGTACTGTCGTCAGTTGCTTATAGAGGGCAGAAGTTAGAATGTATTGATAAAGATAGTAACCGGGCTCACCATTATTTTATCCACATTAACATTTGGATTATGCAAAATGGGGAAACTAAAATACATTGGTACCCACCAACAATATTGTTTAAAACCAAACCGGCCAAGACATCCAGATTTAACCTAAACTGAGGGCTTATACATCTAGGCAGTTTAACAGGAACTAAAACCGTGTTCGCTTGTGTCCAAAGAAGGTTGTGTTCCACCCCGCCAGTGTGTAGAGTCGAGGCGAATTGCACAGTAAGTGGTCATTTTCAGTTGGTTCCTTCACAATTCATTTTCCATATAAAGATGTCATTGGTGTTACTTACACAGCAGCATAGAGTCCTCCACAGCAGGAGTGGATGAATCCTCTCACTATGGTATGCAGAACAAACGACACCAACTAATAGAGAAGTAAAGACAAAGAAAAGATTCATGAATGTCCCTTTGTTTTTGTTTATTCATAGGAATTGTAATGTTAACCTCTTCTAACCTGTAAAGGCAGGTTGTCAATCAAGGAAATGATTCCAAAGGTGACCAATAGGAGGTTGGTAAATATAAAAGCTCTCATCGCATTGGTCACTTTCTGGGTCTTTCGGTCTCTCGTTGGGGGATCTGATTGGCTGAAAAGGACGAACATCAAAGGAGGACGGATTGATACAGAGGAGGAAATTGTTTCTTGTATCACTTCAGGACCGGCGCGGTCAACATCCTAAAACTATTTCAATGTACATACAACATTTGAGAGAAACCGTCTAATGTATAAAAGATGAGCTGTGCAGAAATGTATAAATACAGCACAGGATGTCTAATCCTAAAGAGAAGCCCTGGACCCTCTTCATACCTCTTCTCTGTTTGTGTGTTGGCATTTTCCTCCTCACACTCCTTCAGCCTCCAGTCCATGATGTAACCAATCAATGGACAAGTCAGTAGACACAGTAGCTGCATCGTACCGAAGATAGACGAGTAGAATCCAACTGAGGAGGACAGGCCAGGAAGGAGTGACGTCCAGAGGAGCAGTGGAGAGAAGTAAACCACACAGAAGGTTACCATTATATGAAGTATAAATAAATAGTGTCTTATTTGAATAATTCTGAGGTTAAAACACACCCACGTTTCTTTTCCCAATAAGGTCTACATGCTATTTTGCCAGTTCTATTATATTTTTATTCAATCCCACACAGGAAAACTAGAAATACTTTATTGTATTTGTTATTACTAATATTGCCACGTGTTTCTATAATAATGTATATGTAAATATTGGAAGTGCTCCCTCAAAGGATTGATATGAATACATATTAGAATTATGACCTGGACATTTAAAGACGTCAAGTAGACACAAACCACAACTCGAGGGACCAGTCTGGCCGTTGCAGTAACTCAGCGGAGCCTCTGAACTCTTACCTTGTTCCTCCACCTCCTTCTGCAGCTCTTCTGAGGCTGAAACAACAACACATCTGGTCAGCATTCACTACAGCTGGTCTGACTCAGGTCATTATCTGGTTTGGGTTGTTGGATACGATCAAGTTGAATGATTTGTCACCTACAGTTTCTTCCTTTGTACATTGTTAAAGAGGGAACCAGATAACGTCTGTGTTGTTATCATTGTTCGTCAATGATTCCAATTACTTACAAATATTTCGACTAGGTTATTATTCTTACGGTTGGGGTTGCCGTGGGTGACCATAAACTCCAGCATCTTGTTCATGGCACCCATGAAGAAGATCAGCCTCAACTGGGTCATTGCCATGGTGATGATACTCCACAGGAAGATGGGAGAGCACACAGAATGACAGAATGGCACCGAGCCTGAAGAAGAAGAGGGAGGGGAAATAATGTGTAAAGACGACTGAGTTTCCAGTTAAATTGTAATCCATGTAATAGATAGATGGATAGATGGATAGATTGATACTTTGTTGATCCCTCAAGAGGGAAATGTTGGTATCACAGCAGCATGTACAGGGAAGAAAATAGAATAAAAAGATACACATTATATACAATATAATAAGATAAAAATATTAAATTATTAACTAAAATAAAATAAACTGAAACAGAAGAATAACCTTCAAAAAGAGACAATAATAATAATTTGTAAAAGAGGAAGAGCAGCAGCATCACAGCAGTACAGGGTTGTTATTGTTATTATTTGGCCAGAGATGATTTATTTTAAAGTGTTATTATATAATAAAAGCCAAGTACAGATAAAAAAGGTAAACTTATGCTTATTCCATTTAATTTAGGAAGATACGCTTCTCCTCCGGAGCATGATGTATTTCAGGCTGAGAGAAGAACATTTTCTGGTTATTTTAAATTCAAATTAAATCACTTAATGTATAATACTTTACTAATTTATAATTACTTTCAGCTTAAAGTATTATTGCTTAAGGCAGAGGAGATTCCATCAATGTTGTCTTAAAAAACACAACAGCAAACACATTTTTTACTTGACTTTTTTTTTTCTTGCATAGGATACAAGCTATTTTAACTGTGATGCATGACGGAGTTAACGTTATAACCAAAAGCAGTTTGTTCTAAAGTCTTATGTGAATGTAAAAACGACATCGGTTACCGTCACATAACTTATTAGTTATTTCACAAACTAAGATGTGATGTTATATTTTATATTAGAACATTTCTATCGGTAGATATTCGAGTGAATTCAATTACTTAACGTTACATTTAACGGATCACCGTCCTCCGTCCTGAATAAGTGAAATCCTTGTCGGCCTGCACTGCATGCTGGGATATGCTGGGCCGCAAAGCATAGATCAGATGTGTCGTCCAAATCGGCTTCTGGAGGGCTGCGGCCCTCGACCGCGTTCGGAGGAGCCGACGGGTTGGGACGGGCGAGTCGCAGCCGAGTCGCAGCGGAAGTGATGTATGCGGCCTACGAATGCGTCCTTAAGGATGCAGCCTAGCGACTTTGAGACGCAGCTAATGAGTAACAAGAGTTGTGGAGAAGTAAAATGTGTCTCCATGTTGGCAAAATTAAATCTTCTCGCAGTTACGATATTTCCACAGATTCATGTGTCATTTAATCATTACTGTTGCAAAGTATGCAGTTAACTGCTCCAGCTGTTGGTTGAACAGGCTGCTATCTGCTGGAGTACCCAATGGCGTTGATCTCCTCTCTAATGGTCTCGTTTAGCTATGTACAGCAGCATTGTTTCACATTGAAACTTACAACCAATAAAAGTTTGTTTTAAAACTCAGGTCATCTGATACGAAAGCTTTGTCTTTGTCTGACGCACACAGTTTAAATTGAGTACAACGTAAACCAATCTGGGTCGGTGGGTCAAACAAGCACATGACTTTCACCCTGGAATAAAGTAAGTCAAATGTATTAATAGCGATGTTCACACACAAAAGTCACACAGTGCGTGACAAGAACGGTATTTCAAAGAAGAAATCATAAATTACACAAGGGAAAGTATTTCAAAACAACAACGTGTTCTTTGTCTTTTGTTTCCTAAACCAAAGCCATTGAAGCAGTTTGAATTCACAACATAAAACAGTTTATGTCATTGTGTGACGCAGTGTCAGCTAATCATTGTCCAACTCATTGATAAAATGTAAAATATTACAACTAGCACTGGTAAGTTGCATTTTACACGCCGGAAAATCGTCGCCTTCTGCAACAATATTTTACATTTTTTTTAAGCAATCTGTCTCTTGTGAATCCTTATACTTTATTTGCAATACTAAATCTTGCTTTTTTCTTTCTATTTGCATGATCAAAGCTCCCTTTTCTCTTTCATTTGATGAGACACAACATTACCGAACGTAAACATTGCTGCAGATACGCTGTTGTACGAAAAAAGAGAGCGTGCTTTCATGATCTGCATGAGCTAAATGTTGTTTCACACATTTCCACAAGGACGAAAGGTAACATAGATGTACAGTCATGAAAACGTTCCATACCCTGAGGTGTGCTTTGAGAGTCTGTCTGCTCAGGTTCTGTCTGCTTAGGTCCTATCATCTCTTCCATGACAGACACCTGGGCGACGTACCTGTCCCCTGTCCTCTTGTCCTCCATCACAAGTCCACTCAGTTTCACCTTTTTGCTGCTGAGAAAAGAGAAGTTCTGAAATGAACACCTACCTAGTAGTGATCCAATTACCAGATAGTAGTTTACAAGTGTCATCATCTCAAGAACATTTGAACCAGCTGAATGTTGGACATTCTATCCAGGATTTAAGTGTTCCATACATTTCACCATAGGTGCCCGAGCATGCAGCCATTAATGAGCACCGTGTTCAGAATCATCCACTGACAAAAGCCACTTAAACAGTGAACATTACAATTATCCTCTGAGCCTCAATCAGCGGGTCAGCGGTTCGATCTCCAGTGTCCATATCGATGTCTCCTACTTGACCCTTGTATCTACAGTACATGTTGTGTGTTTAGTGTTCTTGCAAGTGAACATCTGCCATCATTGTATGTAAATGGTTGTGAATATACATCACACCCATCCATCTTCACACCGCTTATCCTGCACACAGGGGGGCTGGAGTCTATCCAGCCAACTTTGGGCAAGAGACTGGGTACACCCTGGACTGGTCGCCAGCCAATCACAGGGCTTCACAGAGACACACAACCATTCCCGCACCTACGGGTAATTTAGAGTTAATAACCAATAACCAATCAACCTGATCCCCACAGCATGTCTTTGGACTGTAGGAGGAAGCCGGAGAACCCGGAGGGAACCCACGCAGACACGGGGAGAACATGCAGACTCCACACAGAAAGGCCACTGGGCGGCAATCTATCTAGTAGTTAGTAGTTGTCTCACATATTCAGCAGTTTGCGATACGCTTCTGCCAAAAAATAATTGCATGGCATTTTAAAAATCGTGACCTTTTGAATCATGGGAAGCACAGTGGTGGTTATCACGGTTTCCTCACTGCAAGAAGGTGTCCTGATTTGTAGGCCTTTCTGCGTGGAGTTTCTCTGGGCACTCAGGCTTCCTCCCACAATCATGCAGGATTAATTGGTACCTCTCTGATGGCCTGTGAATTGTCTGTCCCTGTCAGCCCTGCGATTGGCTGGAGACCAGGTGCACCCCTTCTCTCGCCCAGCAACCTGCAACCTTCTAAGAATAAACAGTTCAGAGGATGACCGACCGACCTGATGATGCGTTACTTTTTCAAAAGAAGAGATACGGCTGTGACTTAATCAAACACAAGGTCTCTTAAAAGTTCTAACTGAAGCCGTCTATGAAGATCCTGAACTTACGCAGGTTGTGGAGTGTCAAGGTGAGACGTGTTTTCTCGCGACTACAATAATGTTACTAGAGGATGTGCACTGACGTGTATCTGATGTCTTCAGGAGCAGGGAAGGATTCAGCCGGCCAGTTGAGGAAGCAGTTGATGAAGACTGTGCAGGCCATACCAGACCAAACCCACATGATGACGCGGAACGACACGCCAAGGTCATAAATCAACTGGAGGGTTTGAGGGGAGGACAGGTAAGGAGGGAGACAGATTGACGAGGGAAATATAATAAAGTCGAGATTAAAATGAATCATCCTTCCACCCTCTCTCTTTCTCCTTTTTCTTCAGTCCATGTTTCTGTTTCTACAACCCTTTTGTACTCAAAGCTTGCATGATGTACTTTCTACAAAAATTCATTTTCTAAAGAGCATTGGAAGAGAAATGGTTGCAAAAAAGTTGCTGACTGAATATTTTATGATAAAAGTGCACATGATGATCATGTTGGTTTAAAAGAAGGAGTGTGTGTGTGTGTGTGCTCGTGTGTGTACCTTGACACCAGGGAAGGTGACGGCTGAAGAAGCGTAGGAGCCGATCATCAGGGAGAGGATGGTTGATCGTACATTCCCAAACATGTTAGGCAGCTAGAAGACGGAGAGAGAGATGAAAGAGAGAGTTACATGACTTCTGTAATACCAGAGTAAGATATGAACCACCAAACCAGTAAGCTGCTGCTGAATCTATTAATCAGCTACTGGGAGACCTCTGACTTCCCTTATAGACACTTCTGTAGTCAACGTACACTAAAAAGACAAAATAAAGGAACATTAACCTGTGACTGCATCACTGTTATGAGTAACTAAACTAATGTCTATTCTCAGCCATTCAAATACACTTTTAAAACCACCAGTCCAGCTGTCCTCAAACTAGAGGATGCGCCCCCTAAAGGGGGTGCAAAGGAACTGAACTAGAACATTCCCAGTCAACATGGGAGAAGGCAGCGCAGGGTATGACCTACAGGAAATCGCGGGGTTTGAAGTGCACACAAAAGCACACTGGTATCAGCTAGTTAGGTTAGCTGGGAATATACGGTGCTTACTTTAAGTTCTTATGAAAGAGCTTATTGGTAAGATAATACACACCAGACACAAACACAACCCAGATCTGGAATGACAGCAGTGAGGCCGGAATGACCAAGTCAAGTCCAGGACACGGTCTAGGTCACAGAGAGATTGGCAAGGGGAGCGGGTGTCAGAGGGTGTGTGCTCCACCCATGCTTTGGATTGGCTGACAGGCCGCATCAGAATTTAGACCAAGTGGAACAGCATGTGCTTCTTGGCAAAATGCGTGCACAAACACACACAAACACACACAGGCACACACACTCATGCAGACGGACACGGATGAACACGTGTTTACAATTCCACGTACGTACAAAGCAGTCACAACCACACACACCCTACTTGGAACTTTCTGCCTGCACGTATGTGTATTGGACTTTGGACTTCATCTACTTCACTCAGGTTATTTTCTGCTCGACTGGTGATGCACACAGTCCGATGGGATGACCTTGTTAACTTTGACATTGAGGCGCTAATCATCTTTAAGTGAATCAGCAGAGATTATAAAATTATGTAATATAGCCAGTTGTCATTAATTCAAAATAGGAAATTATCAAACAATGAACTGAAATCAGTGGGAAAGACGTTTATGAGACGGAACAGGTGTAAGGCGTAAGATCCAAAAATTTAAGGTGAAAAGGGGAGGATTTACATAAATATAGCAGTATTCTTATATGATGTCAAAACAGAATTTGTTTTACATGTGCTATATTTCATTATTACGATTGAGAGCCCTGTGGTGCCCTCTATGACATGAGCTATTACTGTGTAACAAGCTAATAATTAGTCGTATGCTTGTTATTGACAAACATAACCTGGTGCCTTATATCAGTGTTCTAATCCTGATTGAATCTGCATCGGCATGTTTATTGTCCCTGAACAAAAAACCAAGAGATTGCAGTTTGTGACTACTTACTTAATTAATTGCTGTCATGATACTGGGCATGAAAATATCAACTACGGGTTAGAGGAGCGGAATGCAATGCTTTTAAAATAAAGACATTATTTTCCTCAGACTGGTTGTCTGAATACTCTTATTGGTCTGCGCTGTCATTATAATATAGTCCAGTATACTGAAATGTAGTATCCATGTAGCACCTGCCATTGAAACCTCTCTTTGTATAATATGGGACCTTTAGGTTGAAGTATTGTTGCAGAAAGTGCTCTGGGAGAACTGCTGCTCCTTCGTCATGATGAGCCAGTTCAGATGCTTCATCAGATGCTTTAATGTTGAAGTATTTTTCCATTTGAGGAACCATTTCTTAAGTTTGGTTTTGAATACATTTTGACACTCCTCAGCTAGGTGCATGTGCAGTTTGTGGGCGTTTGTGTGTGAGTGGGAATCATACTGTGAGTGATGTGAAGGTCAGACAAATTCCTCCAAAGCCGTTGAAGGAGACAGCGAGGAAGATGAGGCCTGACAGCACTGAGGGGAGAGATGGAAATAAACAAGTTGAAAACTGTACTGGTTCAGCTTTATGTACATATATATAGAGAAACTATGCACTCAGTTTGGGTATTCAGTGTTCCTTCGTCTCCAAGTGACTTTAGGTGCTCAGAGCCAGTGTCTTCATGTGACTGCTCACTGTCCTTGTCCCGGTGGAGTCTGTTTTAGATGTTTCAGTGTCTCCAGACCTCACAGCCAAGCTGCAGTGTTACCATAAAGGATGATGGTGAAACTACAAATCCTTCCTTCAATCCCTGTATCTCCGTGAGAATACTGCGCTAATGTAGTAACTGGATGAAGCTGGAATTCAAGGTTTGACTTGCTGTGTAGTCCTTACCTGCGGGGTCATGTGCTGCAGTAGCTATCATTGCACACGAGGCTGCAAAACATGAACTGAAATACACACAGGATGTCAGAGCACACGTGGGCTGGATTTTTAAATTTAAATTCTCATCTTTGGATAAAAAGCAGGTAACAAACGGAGTGTCTATCTCACCTGCCAATGAGCCTCAGTGGGCGAGGTCCATATCTGTCCATCAAGATCCCCAGGGGCAAAGTGGCTGCACTCAAGAGGAACGAGCCAATGGTGAAGCCGAGGTTCAGCACCTCTTCCTGCTCCACACAGCTCCGCCAGTCTCCACCCTCCACAGAGGTCACGTTTGTGTCATCAGTTACGTTTTCTAAGTTGGGTTGAACAAGTCAAAGGAGGATACAATGTTGAAAGTAGACAACCAAACACAAGACTTGGTAACTTAATGAGCTACACCACTAGTAACAAGACAGTCCCTAGTAACTGAGTCAGTGTTACAGGTTCGGGGCAAATGGTGGGTCTGAAAAGTGAAGCCTCTTGCTTTGGCTCTGAGCGCCATCCAGGACGCCTCCTCGTGTTTTACAGAATCACTCTACTGCTTATTTATTACTGTGGAAAACATTGTAAACACTTTAAGTCTTCTGATTGATCTCAGTTTGTAAATGTAAACCCTCCATGCACACCAAAGTTTGTTACATCTGTCGATCAAGCAAGACAAAACCAACCAGCTTGTTAAACTAACGTTTTGATGATTTTCATTTTCATGATGAACTTCCTGATGTTAAAATCAGACAAAACAAAAGTTATTTTAGTTAGTTGTCTTGTGATCTAGTTCCTCTGGATAGCATAGCTCTGGTATCAAGTAGCACCGTAAAGAATGTCTTTGACCAGGGTGTGTCCTTTGACTCACAGGTGAAGCGGACGTCAATGACGCCCTTAAAGACTTCACAACATCTCCTCAAAGAACCAGAAGCACCATTCCAGTGTGTTTCTTCACACAGTCACAGGCACCACATTCACAGTCATGTCAACATCTCTAAGTCAGTAGACTTGCAGTTTTTAAATGATCCAATCTGCAATGGATGTCAATGGAAGAGCACAGCACTGCCCAAGAGCTAATTGGAGTGTGGAGTTACCGATGCAAAGGTGGGAATAGAAGCCTTCGTTCTTCAGCATGATGAGCAGTGAGCCCCAGCCCAGCAGAACAGCAGAGAAGAGCAGGTTCTCTATAATGGCTGTAATTGCCATCCACCACCTTCTCCTGAATGCTTGGGCCAAGCTGGGAGCCATGACAGCTGTGCACATACAAGAAGACATCAATGAACAAAACAGTTGCAAACCAATAATCATCTCGTAAAACGTGAGGATATTCTGCCTCTGGGGAGCTAATCTCTCATATTGAAGCTATTTTTGTAAATGTATTTCTGAATGCTCAAGAAGGTCTTGTGATGGCAGGGATTCTTAATCAAAAAGCTTTTTCTATTGCCCCCCACCTGCTGACCTCACTCCCACTAACCAACCGGTAAGTGATCAACACCTCCTTCCTTCCTCCAATGGAGAAAGGCCTCACAAAAATAAGCTTGAGGCTTTTGCGGGGCCACAGTTTGGCTATTGTTGCTGTTCAACAACTGACATCCCTAAGAAGTTTGGATATTTCATTTTGGACAACACCCTCTACAGAATATTTCCATTCCACAATATGTTATGACCTACTGAGGTTAGGGAGGGACAACTGAGTGCGATTCGGTATGTTTTTGTTTAAGAGAGAGAGAACACCGCTGAGATCTGGAATCAACTGAGTAGACTTGTAACGAATTTTTGTAATTTTGGGCAATTGGTTTTATCACGATAAGATCATTGGTGAGAACAAAAGGACACCATTTGTAGTTAGTAATCCCTCATTGTAAGCAGATAGTGTGTGTGATTTTTAGCAGTAACTTGGTGGCTGGTCTACAGAAGGACGTTTGACTCACTACTACTGTGGCTTTGTTGTCCTATCGGACTACTGTCATTTGTACCAATGCCACATTCCCAGATCTCAAGACTTTGGTGGGTAAAAAATGAACAACCCAAGTTTTAATAAATAATAGTTCCTTCAAGCACATTTGTCCGCTCAAAATAAAATAAAATTTTCCTTTTATTTTCTATTTTCAGCCCATGAGGATACATAGATTTGGTATGAAACCTTCCAGAGAACCCTACCGAGTACCTTGCATTCTGTCACCATTCGACACCGTCATTGTTGCATCAGTTACACTGTGTGGAGCTGCACGTGTAGTCAGCCGTGGGCTGTCATGCAATCTGAAGGGACGCATGGGGAGGGGGAAGATGAGACCACGCAGGGAGGAGCTTGACTCCACTTGACCTTCTACTGTAGCTGGAGTGCATGGGGTCCATGAGCTGGATCTAGTCATTTTCCTGAATTGATCTAATCCATGTGCGCGCACACACACACACACACACCCACAAACGTTCCTGTTGATTTACAAACCATTGGACCCGGTGTTCCTTCCAGCTACGAGTGTGCAAATATTTGATTAACTGACTGTTGAGTTTGTGTTGGTGTGAAGAAAGCAGTAACTCAGCCTATACCAATATGGCACGTGTTTGAACACAAGTCCAGTGGACCACAGAAATATCAGCCTCTCTCTTTCTATATCCCTCTCCCTCCCATTCACACACACACACACTCACTCCCAACCTATCAAACACCATTGGTCAGTGACCCTACGCCAAAGCTGTGACTCTGCAGGTTCCCCTGTAGGGCGGCTGCAGGACGTGTCAGGGACGGCGTGTCACTTTACACTTGGTACACGCATCACAACGTAGTTCACTTTGTTTTCAGGTTAACTTATTCATGGTTAGGTATGAACAACTACTTGGTCAGGTTTAGAAAAAGTCCAATGAGTGTCACGTAACATATGTTCATTACATACCTGGCCCACACACTAACATCAGATGGGAAGGGAAACGCTGATAATGATAAATAGATGGAAGTACTGAAAAGATCATTTTCAATCATTCTTGTTGTATCAAAGTTTATGAGAGCTACTGGTTAATGGTCCCCATGGCAACTCTGACCATAGCACCTTTGGTCTTCACTTTGGGATTCCTGGCTGTAGCTGCTAGTCTATGTGTTTATTCAAATATGCACTGTATAGTATACAGTCATCTGCAGCAGGATATGATAGGCTGGATATGTGCCTATATAAATGCACGCTTTCACAGCAGCTGGATGTTCCAGACTGGTTTTGCTTCCTTTGTTGAAGCATCATGACCATTGACTCATCAAAGGGAGGAGAAGCAGCCTTCACTACTGGGTGGCTCACCAATGATACACTTGGCTACACCTGTTGTTTCTATCTTGTTTCAAATGCACCAATGTGACTTTTGAAAGAATCAATAACACACATAATATTCTGGCTCGTACAAATGAAAAGTAATGCCACGCTGACTCCTCTGTGCTCTAGCGCTTCACTTTATCCCCTACTTGTCACCTGGGTCAACAATGGCTGCTGTTCAGCTAAGGTTACATGGGTATGGAAAAATTGTCTAAGTGTGAGTAAATCAGAAAAATCCCACTGAAGGACTAGAGACCCTTTTCCAGCTGATGCCGTCAGAGATCCGTGTGTGCGCCCTAACGCACGTCACCAATGTTTACAAATGGTAACAAGGTGTTTTTGGCGGTCCGACTTGCCCTCCAGGAAACAATGACCATAAATGTCTAAAAGTTGTTGTAAATAGAAATATTAGAACTTTCCCTAACACGCTTTTGATTGCTACTTTAGTTGGAATGGATTCTTCTCACGAACACGCTAAAGTTGAAGATGTCAAAGCCTTTGACAACATAACACTTGGCAGTAATACCTTTTCATAAATAACCTTTTCCATGTCAAAAGGGACACTAACACATACACTAATTACATTACATGTCATTTAGCTGACGCTTTTATCCAAAGCGACTTACAATAAGTGCATTTCAACCATAAGGAAACAAACTCAAAAGAAGAAGAGTGTATTTTTTTGCCACAAGTTGCATTATATCAAAGCTAGTGGGATCACTGAGGGGACCGGAGGCTGGTGGCCCGATCCTGTGCTGCCCCACAAGTAGCTCTACAGGACCCGTACAGCAGCAGGAGTCATTAGCTCCTCAGGGCAATGTGTGTTGTATCCCCTTTGTCTGCAATCAGAACATGTTGAAAGACACTTACCTTTTGAGGTGAGCTCCTACACAGTAGATGATCTATATTTATATGCTGCGGACTGGTTGTCGTCACTCCCGCTTCTGTTTGCTGACGGGAGAGAGTTTGCTTTTGTTTTGGATTTGAATCTTTCCTTCTGTTGTGAATGTAACGCATGCTCTCCCTCCCACTGAGTGGCAACTGTATTCAGTGGCACATGTGCAACTCTCTCTGTATAGTGTGTCTATAAATGGAGCTCCAGACAGGCCCGCCCACTGACCTTAACACACACACACACACACACTTTTTTTACTTTGCAGGAGCAGGACAGAGGCTTCGCTAAATGTGTCGGCAGCTAATGGGTCTTACAGTCTAGACAGATCCAAAGTTCCCTGTGAGACTTGTTAATGAAGTGAAAGGCGGACATGTCATGGAACCAGAAAAACTCTTTGCTTCCTGAACGTTTCTCAGCTGACTGCAGTGACAGTGATACACTGTCCACCTCCTCCTTGGCCCCATCATGTGGTCAGCTGCAGTACGTCTATAAGCTTCGCCGGGGGCCAAGATAGGAACTCTTGTTCTTAGGAATTCTGGTATAGCTGAACGCTGCTGGCTGCCATACAGGGTTATAAGCCCCCCCCCCCATGCACGGAACCAGAGGTTTCAGCAGGAGGAACAGCTGGGTGTCGTCAACAAAACGATCATAGGAGACATTGTATTGTCTGAAAATAAACCCCAGCAAATAAAATGGGCCTAATACGGCGCCGTGTTGTCCTCCCATCCTCAGAGAGATTCACTGATGTGGCCTCCTCCCTGGATACATGAGCCAAACAGCTGTATGTAGTCATCACATCACCGCAGCAACCATTGTTCATATGCCACTGGCACTCGTCCTGCCACCACCGATGTCCGTCTGGTAAATGTGTTCGTTCCCCGTGGCTGAGTATTTATAGGACAGAAGTATCCACAATGAGTTTTTGTGTTGTTAAACAAGCGCAGCACACTTGAGGAAATTCTCAACGATTTAGTTTATTCTTGTTTTTTTAACCTCTAACATCATCAACAAACCCTTCAGAAGTGGAATGATTTAGAAAAGAAGTTACAAATAGAACCTAGTGCATGGTCCTGCATTGTTTAGCTTGAGTGGAAATGTTTCTGGGAGATAAAAGAACAATGTGGAATCTTGTTATTCAACATTTATTGAAACAAGGTGCTCAGTCAAGAACAAGCATCCATTTATAGTCTGGACCCTCATCAACGCGTCCTTCCACTCACAAGCAGGGGCCCGAGAAACTAAGTGTTAACATTGGGACTCAATAAAACAGGAATAAATAATGAATAGTCTAATTAAGTGCATCTACCTGCATTTATTCCATCATATCTGTGCCAAAACCCAAATGACCATGTAAGAAAATGAGCAAAAGCAAACAAAACGAGTAAGTAAAATGATCCTCTATTGGTTTGGATTCCTAGCAGACAGGAGCATTGAAAAAAAACATATTTTGAATAAAGGAAAATAAAAAACAATAACAAAAAACTGCATGAGTTGGTTTACCACTTCAACAATTTTATGAGAACATGTTGTAACATTACGAGTAAAGTCATTATTCTGAAATGTGTGTCCCAAGAATAAAGTCCAACTCCAAATTTACAAGAATATGCCATAAAAATGTGAGTTACGTTGTGTTAGTCTGAGCTCTGCAGCTGTACACGGCTCAGAGGAACGAAGAATTGATCCCTTTATACTAAACGTGACATAGAGCAAAAGCTATTAGAATAACAGCGATCAAAAAAGCTTTGTTCACAAATAAAAATAAAAATCCCTCGATGGCATCACTGCAGAAAATTCCAACCAAAAACAAACTCAAATTCCCTGTTCGATCAGAGGACGACTCAACGTATGAGAGCAGACAGTGACTGCTGGAATGAAGGATAACATCAAGAACCACATTTGTATGTTCACATCCAGTACCGGTACTGGACATGAAGCACTTAATGTGAATATGGGGAACCGAATGACTGTGAAGGCAGTTCAATGCTATGAGGAAGTCCACGTCAACCCTTTTAAAACTTTCTTTCCGTAATGTCTCGTGCTCGTTCTTAGACCCTCAGGCCTGATACAAAGGGATATCTAATATCCCCCCTGAAAAAACCTTTGTCTAACATGTCGACTGAGCGAAATAGGACTTGTGAATCAGGCTTCATCCAGTGTTTACATGTAAGTTCAGGAAATGTTTATTAGGACATTTGTAATAAGATGATGCCTCATTTGCATATGCAAACACTGGCTCTCAATAAACTTTCGAAACAAAAAGCCAGTCTCTTAAAGAAGGTAATCACCTGGGCTGCTTATTCTGAACACCAGTCCCAGCACACTTATAACCGGTGGACCTTTATGCTTTATGATCCGAAGGGGTTGTTACCGTTTGTGGCCACACGCTTGGTGTTGGGCCATAAACGAGGAGATATCGGGACTCACAGGGCAACAAAAAGACAGTTACTATGGAGTTAAACCTGCATCTCTACACCAGAAAACCACATGTACCATAAAAATGGGTGCTCTACCAAAATCATTACCGAACTTCTAACTTAAGAGTTCAAACCGCTTAACATTACAGAAGCTCACACATAAATCTAAAAGTGTTTCTTTATCTGCTTCTCTTCAATTTGATTTAAATAAATTCAATACTTTCAACTAACAGCGCATGTGTCCACTTCTAAAATTCTAATATAAAGATATAACAAAGAGAACAGGCAGACACTATTGGTCCGGCAAACTTTAGTCCACAGTTATTAGGGCATTTATTTGGGTTTTTTAAACATTGATGACTCCTTCCCATTGCCAGTAGTTACTAGTTTAGTAGCTCTACAAACCTGCTTCCTATTCACTTATTAACAATGCTTGAGTGCTATTTGGACAGAGTTGGCAGAATTTGTGGCTGAGATGACAAAGAAGGTTCTGGAAAAGAAGCGTAATATATTGTGTCCTCTCTGGTGTCATATGTCCATCAAGGCCGATAGGATAAATCTCTTTGACTTGTGCAGAGACCTTCACAGGCCGCTCGTAACCCGTCCTACTGAAGACGAAAGCCAGATGTTGGTCTTTTGTCTGGTGGGGAAGGCGCTATAGACACTAGCTAGTGACTAGCTTGAATCTAGCTGTTGAAAATATATGAAGGTTATGAAAAGCTGGTGCAACCATGGCAATAGATGCAACCCGTCACAAGCCAGAGGAGTTGGGAAACATTGATTATCACGTTGTGAGTCCCTAACAGAAAAATGGTTTATAGCATGCTAACATGCTAATGTTTGTCATACCATAGTATTTTAGAATGCAAAGGTTGAAGTACAGCTAAAGCAATATCATGTCAGAGAATTATTTCAGGCTTGGCTCAAGTGTTGGACAGACAAACTGGGCTTTGGCCTTCCTAACTCATAGCACTACGGTCTAATTGAGCTGTGGGATTCACATGAAATGCTACACATAGCACCTTTTAGCATTGACGAGGAGGTGCTATTTCCTACTTAGTGTTATCTGATTGTCTGTTGTTTTAATATTTCACTCTATATCCCTTACATTTTTGTATCCCAGCGGATGAGTTATCATCGTTGCTTGTTTCTTTGTCCCATCCCATCTTCTCCCCTCACCCGTATACACCCAATCTTCTGCATCTTATTTCAACAATCCTTTTTCTCCTCTTCCACCAGACTGCCTGTCCTCTCATTCTTCCATCACTCCCAGAAGATGTTGGTGATGTCAGAGTCCAGGCTGAAGATCCAGATCAACAGCGGTGCAGAGATCAGGACAAAGGACCAGGAGACACCCTTCAGTGACTGGCGCAGCCCCGCCATCATGGCCCCGACCAATCCCGTGCTGGGCCCCATTCTCCGCTGCTCCTCTTCCTCTTCCAGAGACTTTTTGAGAGAAGTATTGCAACAAAGGAGAGGGTTAGGCACAGACCATTTTGAGTTACAAATAACACAGCTGCACAATAAAGGGAAACTTTGGTATTGTTCACATGGACATTTATGTTTTTGTGTCTCAGAGACTGATGAGGACAATGGCTCTTGAAACTGGTCTGGAGCTGAGAGTCTGGTTTCCTGTGCCCATGTAAAGTTTTTCGGACCGGTTATGTTGCATGTGTACAGACTGTAAAGCCCTCTGAGGCAAATTTCTAATTTGGGGCTATACAAGATAAAATGAATTAAATTGAACTTGTACGTAGCATTGAATTACACAATTACTCTCAGTTACAACTTTCTCGATACGGGAGCAGTCACAAAAACAGTTTTCCCCATCAGTCAGGAGCAGACAACTAACATGAGAAGAAAGGGTCCATGATGAATACTAATAGTTTCCCTTTAACTGGAGGACTGCCAGGCATGTCTTCTGACCTGGACCTGGCTTCCTGGCTCAATGTAGTTACGGGCCAGGAACTTGAGTGCCTCGTCCATCAAGATTACAGGAAGTGACATCTTCAACACCACCACCCATTGAGGCCATGACAGAGGGCGTATCTGGAAAACCACCTACAGACAGAGAGAATGTGGGATATGTCAGCGGTGGGTCAATAACAGGTTCAGCAAACAGCTACATGACTCATGCCTACAGGCTTACCGGCAGGGGGTCAACATAAAGAATGAGGAAGTGTAGAGCCATGGACAGACAGATGGCCCCCACAAGCCAGGGGTTAGACCAGGGGGGCATTTTCACAAGGGACTGGTTCTCTGACAGACTGGGAAGCACAGGGACAGAAGAAAGGCATTCTCTTTGCTCTGTTACTTGTTTGATTTGAACAAATCCATCAGTATCCTGGCTCACCAAACCAGAACAAGGGGAATATAGCACAATTACACATGAGCTTTGGAGCGTGGGTGTGTTTTATTCTTACCTGTTCAAGGCATTGCACATCTCTATGGTAACCAGGACGGACAGGGCCATGGTCATTGGATAAGGAGACTCAAAGACAGAACACTGCACACCAGCAAACTCATCGTGGCCTTCACTGCACTGAAGGTAGTGGGACTGTGGAGGTGAAGAAATGACAATTAAATCACCTCCCTGACCTTATCCTGCAGGTACCGACTCCTTAACAGTCTGGTTGATAAAATAATGGGCATTAATGCTTGCACTTGCCATCACTACAAATGATTATTTCCCATTGCGGGTATACTGTAAAAGCTTACTGCCACGATGTGTGCCATGAGGACCCTAACTACTGTGGTTGGGTCCAAAAAGTGACTCCAGTGTGCTGGGATATTAACACAATGCAAGAGAGAGTACACAACTGCCACATTCACAGCGCACAGCAGTTCCGCCACGATACGTGCGCACATTCCCACGTATGTTTACCAGTTGATAGAAGGACAGCTTTGGTCCATCGTGGGCTGCCATGAACCACCAGGCAGCAGCTCCGACAGTCGCTGCTCCCACATAACCTGCACAGAATGGTGTACGGTAAGGTACAATAAGGTAAGGTAAGGTAAGGACGGTATGGTACTGTACGGTCAGGTAAGGTAGTGTAAGTTGAGGTAAAGTAAGATAGTGTAAGTTGAGGTAAGGTAAAGTAAGGTAGGGTAAGTTGAGGTACGGTACGGTCAGGTAAGTTATGGTAAGGTACGGTACAATAAGGTAAGGTACAATAAGGTAAGGTAAGGTAAGGTACAATAACGTAAGGTAAGGACGATGTGGTACGGTACAACAAGGTGATGTGAGGTACAATAAGTTAAGGTACAGGAAGGTACGGTACAATAAGGGTAAGGTAAGGTCCATAAGGTAGGGTAAGTGGAGGTTCCGGTACGGTCAGGTAAGTTATGGTAAGGTACGGTAAGGTTCAATAAGGCAAGGTAAAATAAGGTAAGGTAAGGTACAATAAGGTAGGGTACGGTAAGGTAAGGTACTATAAGATATGGTATGGTAAGTTGAGATCTGGTACGATCAGGTAAAGTAAGGTCAAGCTCTGTATGGTAAGCGAAGATAGGGAAGGGTATAGTAAGGTAAGGTGCTGGGATGATGAATACGCCGTCTGCAGATAGCTTTTTGGTAATTGATCAGGCTTACAACTCACATCCGACAATAAGGTAGCGACAGAACAACCAACTGGAGATCAGAGGCTCTTTGGGGGAGCGTGGGGGGCGGGACATGATGTCAAGATCTGGGGGGTTAAAGCCCAGAGCCGTTGCTGGGAAACCGTCAGTGACAAGGTTGACCCATAGCAGCTGTACTGGGATCAGGGCTTCAGGCATGCCAAGTGCGGCCGTCAGGAAAATACTGAAGAGGATGGAAAAGACAGATGGAAGAGAAGGTAAGAGTGAGACGCCCAGATGATCAACAGACTGAATTTTGGTACACCACGTTTTCTGCTCATTCACTAACCAGACCACCTCTCCTATGTTGGATGAGATCAGGTATCTGATAAACTGTTTCATGTTGTTGTAAATAGCTCTGCCCTCCTCCACTGCAGCCACAATGGTGGAGAAGTTGTCATCAGCCAGGATCATCTCAGAGGCTGACTTTGCCACTGCTGTGCCGCTGCCCATAGCGATGCCAATCTCTGCCTTCTTCAATGCAGGGGCGTCGTTCACCCCATCGCCTGTCTGGATCAGGAGAAAAGAGGGGGAGGACGGAGCAAGGCTGTTATACTGGTTTTCAACGAATCTGGGATTCAACTTCAGGTACATTAAGGGACTCTCACCATGGCAGTGATGTCATTGAGGCTCTGCAGGTACTCCACAATACGACTCTTGTGTGCCGGTTCCACCCGGGCGAAGCACCTCGCTGTCCTGCAGGCCTGACGCTGCAGGTGAGGCGGCAGCTCGTCAAACTCCCGCCCCGTAAGGCCCCCGATAATCCCGCCCTGCTCTTCATCCTGCTCCGTGATGATGCCCACCCTCCGACAGATGGACAGGGCTGTCCCTTTGTTGTCCCCTAGGGAGAAAAAATGCAAAGTTCCCAAGTGATTGACTGACGCTAGTATTTGTTAGTCAGGTGGGATGCCTCTAAAGATCACCATAGGTTAAAGACTTTTCAGTCTCACGGTCTCTTAAGTAGAATTTGGTGTACACCCAATGAAAGTAGGAAGTTGAATAAAAGATCTTAAAACTGTATATGGTCACCTACAAGTTTACCCTACTCGACAAACAAAAAAAAAATAACCAGCAGCATTTCTAATGCTGCAATGCATTTAAAAGAAACCCTTAACATCTATAATGTCCTGTCGTCATTTTAAATGTGTGCGCTCTGCCCTGATCTTTTGTCTGTAATGAGCGTGACATGATCAGTATAGTAAGGATATTTATTGTGTATCATGGCTAGTACTAAAGGAGCCCCGTCTATTACCTTTGAGCTACTGAGGTGTCGCTCCCTACGGAGTAAGGGATGGGATGAGCCCTAAATATCTGCTGTTATTTGTTTGGCTGGGTTGCAGATTATACACAGTCTGTTTCAGGGACGGATCTACAGGGGCACTCTAGAGCCCTGCCCCCCCAGCTGCCCCCCTAACTTTGATTAACCAAAAAATTAAAAATCAACCCGCCATTATGTCCACACAAGCTTCTCAAAACAGTGAACTAAACAATACATTTACCAAAAGTGAACAATTTAATTACTAGCCCCCCTCTCCCCCTGCCCCTCAAATGCTACGTCCCTGATTCAAACGTGCAGAGCACACAGCGAGTCTGCTGCGGAAGGTGCGCTGGTCCTGCAAGAGACTGAGCTGCCCCAGAGCCTCTGAAGGTGAAGTAAGTTTCATCAGGTGTAGTTTAAACATAAGTTTAACTTAGTTACATTTGTAATGAATGTATTGTATGAAAGACGATTCAGCATCAGCAAAAACAGCGAGTCTATTACGTTAGCCAAAATCAGTGGTCATAAGTTATCGGTCCCCACTCCCTTGTGATTTGTAAGAGCACCCTTCCCTTTGATTGGCCTAATTTTGATTTTAGTAAAGACAAGAACAGCCCTTTTTTGAGAATGTGCTAGTTAAAATGGTACGTGGTTCGCATTTGTATTGTGCCGCACAATACACAGCCTCCTAAGTCAATGACGCGCAAAAAACTCCCGGTTGTGTGCGCGGGTGCCGGGTGGCCAGAGCGGAGCATGGGAGGTGAGAGCTGTCCTTTGTGTTAAAATGAGCAGTGAGGCTGGCGCTGCAAAGAAAAAAAGATTGTGCAATTACAAAACGGACTGGGAAGCCAAAAGGCCACGGGTGAAAGCAGTTACCGACGACGCAAAGAAAGCGTTTTGTACTGTCTGCCGCCGAGAACTGTCGATTAGCCACGGTGTCGAGACTTAACCCACCATGGAGATGCAGAGGGGGGGGTGGGCGTCCCTGATTTGGGGTTGGGAGAGTTGGCAACCCTAATTGTGCGAGTGCTTTGTCATGTAAGTTAGCCGCTACTGTTACTCAGCAGCTGCTGCAGTTTGTAACTTATGTTCAAAATGAATGAGTACATTCATTTTCCAAACCGTTTTTTTTACTTAACCTGAATCACTACGGTACGCCTATAATAAGTGTTTATATTCTGACGATTTTATCCCGGGGTCGGCTCAGCTGCGGCGGAGTTATCCCGCGCCTGCGTGATTCGCCATAGACATTAACTGAGTGAAGTAGCTCCGGCTACAGTGTTCTTCCGCAACACTTGCGCATTGTGCAGACACACAGACAGCAGCATGCCAAAATACAGTTCTCTTTCTTGCTTGAACTTACAATAACACACACAATTATGCCAAAATGTCCATTTGTTGAGTGTCTTTTTCATAACAAAAGAGCAGCAGTCTCACGATGAACGTGAAGAGTTGTGACAGAATGAGGCGTCTCTGTCAGCTGTTCTTAAAGAGACCGCAGCCACTAAAGCTTTCTGTCAGTAAAGCTAATCAAAGAACAAAAACAACAACAGAACATTTCTCACTGCTCTTGACTAAAGAACTTTTGTAGCTTAAATAATGATTAGTCTATATTTAATGAATAATTTATGCAGTGCAGGCTGTTTGATCACTTTATTCAATTTTGATATGTCCGAGGCTCAGGTAAATATGACTTTTTTTTTTTTTTTAACTATTATACTCTTGAGACAAGGTAATAATTTACTTTTTAAAAGATGCAGCTTTGTTTTGTTTGAACAATGTTTAATTCATGTTGTGAATTAAAAACCTTAAGTTTAAAAGCGTTTTTGTGTTTGTTTTGTTAAAGCAATTCACAGATAGGGATTCCTATGTACCGTCATCCCTGCCACCTTGCCAAGACCTCTTGCCACCCCTTTGCCCCCCCATGTAAAATTTTCTAGGTTTATTTTGTTTATTGCATATTGATTGATATGATTCCGGGGGGATTCATTCCATTAATTGAGACCACCAATCAAACTACTTTGTACTAATATCAGCAGATAAAGATTCATCATTCTTTTTATAGCAGAAAAGTACAGCTGGTGCTTTTGCTTTATTGCGATGTACATGTGATCATGTCATTACTTTATGTGCAGAAGTAAAAATAAAACATCACTCAAATAGAATTTTGCGTTAAGGGATATTTTGTTATTCAAATTTAGATGGAATTTGTCCCATATAACGTGTACATGTAGATATGTGGTAATACCTGTGATCATGATGACTCTTATGCCAGCCTGTCGACACATTCGGACCGCACTCAGCACCTCTTTCCTGGGGGGGTCCAACATGCCCACGCAGCCCACAAAGGTCAGGTCGGACTAGGGAGAGGAGACATGGAGGGAGAAGGGCAAATAAAGATTCTATATGTTCTTCATTCTTTTAAAAATGATATGGAACATTTCATCATTATCACCTCATAGTCAGCAAAGACAGCAGAGTTCTCCAGGTTGAGGCTGCGGATGTCAGGGGGCGTGTCCCTGGTTGCCATGGCTAGGCAACGCAGCATGTCTCGGCCCGACCCCCATTCCCTCACATTTGACAAGAGCTGCTCTCGAACCGCCAAACTCAAAGGCACACGAGAAGAACCGCTGACCCGGATATAATTACACCGCTCTAACACAGTCTCTGGAGCGCCCTGAGAGAGACGGGGGAGAAGACATGTCTCGTTATTCCTCCACAGAGGTCCTAAAGAATATAAAATAGGAAAAAATCCCACTTTGGATCAAATTAATCATGAAAAATGATCTATCATTTTCAATGAAAGATGGGTTATTTTGGGATGTTCACCAGACGATGAGTTCAATGGGCAACTCTGTTCCGTTCCATGTGATCAATGGAGTTTATATTTGATAGCTTTCTTTTTAGTTTTTACAAGTGTACATTTGGTACAGATTTGAACACATAATACAATGCAAATGATAACAAATTGTCTGAAGACACAATATTACTATTTATTCCTGTCTGCCAAAAACTATAACCGATGATGTATCAGGTGAGCACACACTCACACCATCCGGTATTTTAGAGTTATCATTTCACCTGCAAGTCTGGAGGAAGACTACGCTGACAAAAAGGATTGTATAGGCTTTTTTCATTAAATATATTCAATATTTCAGAGGCAACAACTTTGAAGGGGTGGTAGACTAGAGTGATAGAAATGACTAACTGGTCTTGTTGAACAAACCTTGACAAACATCTTGGCTCCAGAGGTAGACCTGGTGAGTTTATTGGATGAGCAGAAGACGGACATGGACTTCCTGTCTCTGGAAAACTCCAACGTCAGCTCCTTCCTCATCAGCTGTTTAATCACCTGAAAACAATCTGTGAATTAAACCTCGGGCACCCACAAGCGTGGTGGCTGGGGACCACTGAATTAAACTACTCTGTAAATTCAGTGAGCTTTATTTGACATGCAGAAATAAAAACCCATTGCTACCAAAAACAGACATACAGAATGTGCAGTGCTGAGTACAATCAGTCTCTCAGGTAGCAGGACATATGAGAGAAGACTGAAGTCAAGAGGGAAGGATCAATGAGACATTAGCACCAGCGGCTCTCTCACACAGGCACACACACACACACTTACGGAGCAGCATGCTGTAGCTCTCTCAGCAGGCCTCAGTCCTATCAGGTCAGAGTCGAATACGTTCATTTTCTCCACCAGACAGCAGAGGGCCGTCTCTGTTGCCTCCCCAACCTTCTCAAATGCGCCCTTGGCCTGGAAAACACGCACGCACGTGTGCACGCGAACACACACACACACACACACACACACACACACACATACACACAAACACAGAGGTTAAAGTATGCTGCTGACGAAATTTGTGGAAACACACATCCAGTTGGGAATGTTCCGGCACCATATATGGTGGTCTATGGAGCAGTTGTGTCTTACCTCGTTATAGTCCAGCGATGAGTCATTGCACAGCGCACAGATGGAGGCCATCTCCACCAGACCTTCATAGCGACTGGGCTTCACCAATGAGCCGTCCTTATAACTGCAGAGACAGATGGAAATGGTATTTAAGAAATAAATGTAGAGGAATCCTGTGAAAAGGGAAGGGATAAATTGTGTGCTCGCATAATCCATATTCATCCATAAACTGTCGGGGTTAAGGGTTAAAGGTCAAAGACACTCACACTTCCCCTTCAGGGGCGTAAGTAGATCCAGTCACAGTGAACTCGTTCAGGCTGCAGCGCTCCCCTGACACACTGTCTACCACAAACATCTAAACACACAGGCGTGCATTAGTCGTTTAGTTCATATCATATCATATTAGAAGATCACATCTGAGTTTTGTGATTTGATGTTAAGATGATGTTGATAAAACTCAACAACATGCAGGCGTTTCACGTAAAATTAATCCAGTGGCTGTCGGTAGGCTTTTAAGGTAAAACTTTCTAGTAGGCGTTCAGTTCTATCGTCCTCCTTAACGTTTATTTTTACCCGGCCTGTATCATCTCCCAGCCTTTATGTGACTGCTTTGCTATAAGTTATACACATAATGTCTGCTATACGATCATGTTCAGTATATTAAATTGTTAAACAGCATGTAAAGAGCTTAACCCTTTGTTAATCCAATGTTAGCATGATAAGCCATGAAATCATTTGTTCAAATAGCTGTTGGATAACACACATACAGTAGCACTGTCTCTGCATCAGTGTGATGTCTCATCCCTTGTTCCCTCTTACCCTGCAGACTGACATCTGGTTGGTGGTTAGTGTTCCTGTTTTGTCAGAGCAGATAACAGATGTGCAACCCAGTGTCTCCACGGATGGCAGGCTGCGGACGATGGCGTTCTTCCTGGCCATCCTCCTGGTGCCCAGAGCCAGGCAGGTAGTGATGACTGCTGGGAGGCCTGTGGGGATGCATTACATTTCAACCTTTCAGGGTGCTCTCTCATTTGCACAAGGTTAGTAGTCCCACGTAATGCTAACTTGCCCCTTAGTGTCTTTCAAAACGACACTTATATTTTTTGTAAAAACAAAGGAATACACATGTTCAACATGTCTCTGCATGGACAGAACAGATAAGATATTTTACCTTCTGGTATGGCAGCTACAGCGAGCGCAACAGCGATCTTAAAATAGTAAACAGCTCCTCTCAGCCAGCTGCCTCCGTGGACCGGGTCACTGAAGTGTCCCACATTAATGGCCCACACTGCCACACAGATCACACTGATGACCTGCAGGTTAAAACAAGTCGAGCGTAAGGTAGAAACACAGACAATGAGGCTGGAGTCCAACGGGCCCACAAGAAGAACACACAGGGTGCCTTGCCTTAGACAGCTGTTCTCCAAACTGGTCTAGCTTCTGTTGGAGGGGGGTCCTTTCAGGCTCAGTGGCGGCCATCTCATCTCGGATTTTCCCAATCTCTGTCTGCACCCCCGTTGCCACGACAACCCCGATGGCACGGCCCGCTGCAATGTTGGTACCCTGGACAAAGGTTGTGAGCATCGTCTCAGACATTAAGACACAGCAACACACAGTTTCTGTAGTTATGAGTGGCCATTTTATTTGTAAATATGTATATATATATATATATATATATATATATATATATATAGATGTACATTATACGTAGATGTATATTCTACTGAACAGCGAGATCCTTATTTAAATAGATGTACAAGTACATTTCTACTTTAAAGATTACAAATCCTATAAAAAAAACAATTAATTAGTGTTGGATTAACTATATTTGGTCCCTTGTCTCTGGTCCGTTCAGTGAGTTGTCTACGTCACTGTTGGTTGTGCCGGTAGTTGGACATAGAAAAAGTATTTTTGTTCGTGAAGTCTGCGATTGGGTCCTACTTCTGCCCGAACCTGACCGAAGGTACATGTCACCTAGAGCAACAGTGTGGCTATATATATATATATATATATATATATATATATATATATAGCCACACTAATATACACATATATATGTATATGTATATATATATATATATATATATATGTATATATATATATATATATATACATATATATATATATATATATATATATACATATACATATATATATATATATACATATACATATATATATATATATATATATACATATACATATATATATATATACATATACATATATATATATACATACATATACATATATATATATATACATATACATATACATATATACATATATATATACATATATATATATATATATATATATATATATATATATATATATATATGTACAGAACATCACTAATTAGTGACAGAATATCTCTAATTCTATACATGTTGTTCGTCCTATCTTGTCTCTCCTGCTATTATGTGGCATGTGTGTAATTTGGAAAAGACGGAGGTGGCAGTTGAGCCTCACAGAGAAGAGCATGTTCTTCTTGTCCTGGTTGACGGCCCGGGGGTCTGGTACGGGGTCCGTGTGTTTGATCACTGACACAGACTCCCCTGTCAGAATGGACTGGTCCACCCTCAGAGTAGTGGAACAGATGGACGTGAGCCTGATGTCAGCTGGGACTTTATCACCAACTGCATGGTGTTGGAAACAGAAACAGTTTGGAATTTCACTTTTGTATTTAGTTAGATTAGAAAAAAAAAAGCAGACACTGGGTTCAATTCTGTCCATTGGCTTCTCTCTTAAAGAAGTGAAACTTTCTCCTGCCTGCCGTACCTCCACACAATGAAAAGGTACTAGTTTGACAGTCCTGAGACACATCAAGCAGGATTAAACAACTCTCTTTAAACGACTCAAAATGTCCCAGACTTAAAACTAGCAGCGCACTTCCTGTTAGAGCGACAGCTTGTGAACTTGAGTCGTTTAAAGGCCTGTCACATTGCAGGGGGGGTTAGGGTGGAGCCCCCTGTGTATTAATATTTTCTTAATCTGTTCTGTTAATTCACGAGTGCATGGACATGAGCGTGCATGTAAACAGTGTTTCCTTGATAAGATCTCAACCAGGAGACGAGCCACAACCCGGCCTCCCTGTAACAGAAGGGAAAATAAAATGTTTCAAAGAGATTTCAAGTAGATATCACGGGTTCAGGACACGTGGGAACGTGTCTGCGTCATGCATAAATTAGGAGAGATTGCTACACATAGAAGGTTAGCGTTTTCCCCCTAGGAGCAGCCCAGCCTCTCATGAAGTGTTTATAAATGTTTACAAATGTGAGTGAGTCAGAGGAAGGCAGAGAGAAATGAAGAGAAGCATCTCAGCCTTTTGCCTTCTTTCAACATGGACTGCTTAAAGAAAGAGTTGACACATTAACCACAAGGAAACATTTGTAGATGTTGGAGGGAGCAGTGAAACATTTCTACTTCAAGTCAATTTTATAACTACTTCATGTAAAAGATACATTTGAAAATCATGATCTAAGTCTAAATTAAAAGCCTTTGAGATATTCATCATTATGTGTCAGTCTACAACCTGTCTAAGTGAAGCGTCTTATAGGTGCATTCTCTGTAATGTCCACCAAGGGGCGACTCCTCTGGTCTATAGAAGTCATTTTCCTATAGAGAAAGTGACTCTACTTCAACCGTGACTTATTCCCTCAGTAAAAACAAGTTCATGGTCTCAATCTCTAGTTTCAGTTCGTCTTCAGTACAGCATGATATTCATGTAGTAGATTATGGCTCAGCTAGAGTCATTAGACCACAAAGCAGAATGGGGGATGCAATGCCTTGTCCAGTCTGGAAGCTGTCTGTGTTTTCATCTAACGACGTGAACCCATTTTGTCAAGTCTGTAAAAGAATAAAGAGCAGCAAACATATCTGCTGCGTAAATCCATTGAGTAATTCTGTCTGGCTCCCTCCGTGTGTGTTGATGTTATCAGTGCGTCTCCTTGCTTTGCTTCAGAGTCGGTCGTGCGTGCTTTTACTTCCTATTGGGTTAAAGCTGATAACTCCATCCAGACCAACAGCATGGTTGTGCAGCCAGACACTGTTTCAGTTTGGGTGGCAGAAGGAAATCCTGAAGCGTTACATGTGATTGGTGCCGACCACATTTAAGGCTTCAGGATTTCATTTTTGATTACACTTATAGTTAGGGCTGGCATAGCTTTATGGTTTAAGACTGTTTCCATGTCATTTAGCTGAAGCTTTCATCCAAAGCGACTTACAATAAGTGCATTCAACCATAAGGATACTAACTCAGAAGAACAAGAAACCAGAGTGCAATTTCATCAAATAAGCTGATTTACAACTTGCTATAGATGAGTAGTGTTTGTTAGACTTTTAGTGGAGGTAGAGTCTGAAGAGTGTGTCTTTAGTTTGAAGATGTGAAGGCTCTCTGCGGTCCGCGAGAGCTCGTTCCACCATTTAGGAGCAGGACAGCAAAGAGTTGTGATCTAGTCGGGACTGTCTCGGTTAACAGTTAGTGCTGGCTCACTTGTATTTCCTGTGCCAATGCGAGTGTCGTGGTATAGAAGAGGTCGTATGTGTACAGATTGTAAAGCCCTCGGACTTTAAACAAAAATATTGAATTGAATTTATGCATTATAGTAGAACTAGACTGAGGAGAGTGACAGACAGAGCAGAAGAGAAATCTGAAATATGGGCAGCGACTTTGAACCTGACGACTTCAACAGGTTTATGATTAAAAAAATCAAATTCCATACTGTTCTGCAGAGAAACCTTAAAGTTGACAAGAATGGACATGGCTACTTAAAATCAGCCCAAATGACAAAAGGACTAGCAGCTTCATTCAAAAAAAGTGCGTCTCTACCACATTGATCATATTGGTTTATGTTTAGGTTATGTTTGTCCAAAAACATCATAAAAATTAACTTTTTTTCACAGTATTTGCATGTGACATTAACCCACCTTCCGCTGTGATTGGTGTCACTGGGTTCCCATGCTCTGGGAGAAGTCAAATACTTTTACTACCAACAGAAGGACACTGGATCTCACACGGACAACATACACACACAATTCCTCTCTCTGAACATCCTGAAATAGCAACGGGTCTCTCAGGGATTCAACCCCTTTCAGGACTGGGTCAAGATAAAATGGTTCTGTTACTATGGCCGACTGTTCATCCATCCAACCAAGCCGTGTATTTTAACTGCTCCATCCAACGGCTGTAAGTGTTCTGATTCAATGACAAAACATGTTTTACATAATTTGTTAAATGTTTAAAAACCCACTGACCAATAGAACAACAACAGGCCCATTTTGACACATCTGCCCAATGACCATCGTTGACAATGGAAGAGTACCGACAAATTAGTTGGGAACACCTGAAAGTTGCTCAGAGGTGCTTAGAGATGTTGATGCTGTAGCTCAGGTTCCATTTTCCACCACCTCCATTTCCACTGGTCTCATTGGTCATTAACCAGTACAACCCTCACAATCTCACAGAAAAGACCTTCAATGAGCAATACACTGATTGATCCAATGATCAGCAGAGTGAGCGGGGCCCTCTGATGCTCTTCACCGACAAGTCAAGGCGACATAGAGCTCGCTATTGAATAAGAAAAAAAAAACTGCAAAATTGCCATCGGTGAATCTCTATATGGAATACTAACGCTGGAAGTCACGGATACCTTGAAACTCAATGTGACTGAAACGTTTTAAAATGAAATGTCAAATCAAACGTTATTGAATCCATACTACAAAGCATTATCAGAGTGCTGCTTTGACATGAACTCACACCAAATATTTTCCATTGCGACAGAAGCCAGAGGGGAGAGCAGAGATGCAGATGTTTTTTCCATGGACGACTAAACAAAGACGCCACCGTTTCATTTCCTCCACGTATACACAGCTCCACAGCGCACACTTCAACTTCATTTACAGCGACAAGTGGAGAGATTTTATCGTTCCTTAGCGTCTCTTTCCACTTACCAGCGACCTCCACAATGTCTCCCGGAACGATGTCTCGGGCTTTGACCCTCTGGACGCTCTTCTTGTCCTGGCGGTACACCTTGCCCATCTCTGGCTCGTACTCCTTCAGCGCCTCGATGGCGTTCTCTGCGTTACGCTCCTGTGGGACGCGGCAACACGGAAAGGTTCTGACTCCGATTGATGGAATAAATACGTGGTTGTCCTCATGGAGGGAGTGACAGGAGGCAACAGAGAAGTTCTCTATTTGAGACATGGACAGAAGACCAGTACAAGGACTCACCGTCCATGTCCCTTCAGCAGTCTGCAAAGACCTGTGGGTGCTCTGACTTTGTTAAAACTCAAACTATGTCAAGCACAGACAAGTGAGCACGCTCCCACCTGTGGACACGGAGCGCGTGACCGTCCACCCCCCCCACTCACCCCCCAAAGCTGTAAACCTACAGTGTGCCAGTTATATTTGCGTTCTGTGACAGAACTCATGACAAAAACCTACAGCTCCTGTAGCAGACTGATTACCTTTCTAAACTTGGACCACATTGTTTACCTGCCAGACTCCAACAATAGCGTTGGCGATGAGGATGAGGAGGATGACGAAGGGCTCAACAAAGGCTGTGATTGTCCCCTCCCCTTCTTCAAACCAGGCCAGGGCCTATGACACAGAACACATTACAGACATTATTTAAACTAATTGAATGTGTGTGTGTTGCAGGGTTAACGAATTGATCCATTTACCAGACTACACAATCCGTACCAGCGTGTACATGTCTCACCAATACTTGTGTATACTTGTAAATGGTAAATGGCCTGTACTTGTATAGCGCTTTTCTAGTCTTCTGACCACTCAAAGCGCTTTAACACTACATGACATCATTCACCCATTCACACCCATTCATACCCTGATAACAGGAGAACCATACACAGTGACACCTGCCATCAGTAACTACCATTCACACACTGTAGTCGCAGCTACAGGAGCAAAGTTGGGTTAAATGTCTTGCCCAAGGACACAACCACATGACGGGTTAGCCGGGCCAGGGATCGAACAGACAACCCTCTGATTGGAGGACGACCGTGCTCCCCACTCACCCACAGTCGCCCGTGTACTTGTGTATACTAGTGTTTGTGTTTGCGCATGCTCACAGCTTCCTTACAAAGGAGATGCACGCAGCCAGCAGCAGGATTCGAACCAACAGATCCTCAAACTGTTCCAGGACCAGTTCCCAGAGTGACTTCCCTGCACGAGGACAGCAAGGCGCACAATAAGCACAAACTGACTTTAATCTAGATGAGCTACTGATGATCATGGAAGAAACAAAAAGTCAGATGAGGGACAGACTAGAATGTCATAATAAAGTTAAGACAGAGAGACAGCTCACCTTCCTCAGCTGGCAATTCTGTGAGTAAACAAAGAGTCAAAGATAGATAGAAAGAGGGGGGGTGGAGAAAAGGAACAACAATGACATCATCAGTAACACTGGTACCTAATAAATGACAGTGCAGGTTAATGGGCAGTTGCTTTGCTTACTCAAGCAGCAGAGGATTTCTTTACACTAGCCTGAGTTGTGATGGGTCCCTGCACAAGATGCAGAGACCCGTTTCACTGAAAACACAATATATGAAGCAGGGGGCCCGGATATCTGTAATTGTGGACCATGTACAGAACACAATAGTTTCCACCGAAAAATCTTGTGTGCCTTACAAAATATATTTACTATGAAAATAACGACACTAGGACTAGTTTAACGTTTAGTAATAAAGTAGTTTACTGCTGTGCCCACATATTACGAAACATATTTATGCATCTTGAGCTCTAAAATGTCATTGAAATGAATCTAATATTTTTAATGACGATGTCCTGGGTGTTAATAATGAATGAATATGTATGTTATTAGGATGATTTTAGTAGGAATAACTACATCAGCCATAAACCAAATATGCACACTTGAATGTGTTTTTATAAACGTACCGTTGGGTCCCCATCTCTCCCTGGTCTTCTTTAGCTGCTCACAGCTCAGACCTGTAGACTCGTTCACATTGAAGAAGCCCAGGACCTCCTCCACCGTCTTAGTATGACCATTATCCATCACTACAGAGGAAAAAGATCAGTACCAAACATTATTTAAAAAGGTACACAGACACTAAGGAAAACAATAATAAAAGCAGTTTGAGCCTTTAATCATCCCGGTGGATTATGCGTTTAATAAGACTGAAAATGTAAACTGCAAATATATTTTTCTTTGTTCAACATTATTTTGATTTTTACCATTTTAAGGATTAATGACCGAAACCGAGACGCCAAATCAGTAGCGTGTTTTCAATCCCATTTTGCAACATTCTTTTGAAGAACGAATGTGAGAAATGTCCTCAATAAATGTTCGTCGTGTAGAAAAGCCACAGTGCCACAACATCCGTTGTGACATGCACAGTGTGGCCAAGCAACAACACCAACTGGAAGCCGCAGAGACAAACAGGCCCGAGAGACATGACTCGTTGTCCAAAGGGTCTGACAAAACATGCATCTCCCCGGGGGGCATCAAATGACATCCTATTCACATCTGATGTCCTTCTTCCAATATTGTCCCGGGTTCCAGTGGACTACCCTCTTGCCCTGTGACATCAGGACCAAAGGCCTTTTCCACAAAGCCAGAGAATGTGTCCATCTGCGCGAGGTCGGCTTGTCGCAAACCTCTGGCCAGCTGTTCTCCAGACCTCCATCCAACACAGCGAACCATCCCAACACCTCTGACATCTTTTAACGTTCAACAAATTCATCACTTGGCTCTATTCGTCATGATTCATCTGGGGCCCAAAATGCAAGTGAACGACGTGGGCCATAACGTCATTTACGTTAACTAACAGGTTGCAGACGTCATGCTAATAAAAAGATATCAACGACACACGCAGCACGATGCCACTTCCGGTCATTTTCTTAACGTTAGACATAAAACAGCAAGGGTTAATGTTAAACGCTTAACGTAAATGTCTGTTGTCACGAGAAGCCTCGCTTGAATTACGGCTAATGTGGACGACACGACGGCAAATGTGCGAAACGACAGCGGCGGTTTGGAATGGCCGGCACGAAGCACCGCTTATAACCGTTATGCTCACGGAGCTAACTGACATGTAGCTAACGGAGCTAGCTAAGCAGCGAGCGCTGCGCTCTGCCGTTAATCCCTCGGAGACGGACAGGTTGCTTACCGGAGTGTGCCGTCCTTCCCCTGTCACTGCGCTGCTGATAAAACGCGGAATATCACGGCACCATGCGCGTTGGATTGAGTTCCCCGCAGCAACGAGAAAAGCAGCAACAAATACCTAAAAAAAAATGATTTTACAACAGGCTATCTAGCTTGGTTATGACGTGACAGACGCTCATATTTCTATTTAAAGAATAGTGTTATTTCCGAGTGGTAAAATATTGTCTGTTAAAAAAATTAAGGCTTATTTAAGGCAAATTATTCTCAAAATATGGTTCAAGACTATTTTATACAGACAACGTCGTATTATTAGTCCTTATCCTGGCTGCAGGAGTGTCTGTGGGTCACTAATACTCAGCCTTCGGGCAACAGCAGCAAATAAAAGTCAAGCTACCCAGTCACGAAACACAACTTCCGGGCTTACATTTCAAAGTAAAGGTTTCTGCTTGAGAATTAATACATGTATTAATATAATGTATCTTTGCGTTTCAAGATAATGCCCTTTTTGGCGTAGTCTTGACCAAAGGATAACTGACAGTTTATTTTTTCCACACCAACAGATCAGATTTTTTACTTTAATTTCAAATAGAAAACGTTGATTCTCGTAGTGTCGCGGGTAACTCAATCTAACTTGACGCTTATGCCCCTTGACGACCATGATTCACGGCATTTAGCAGCGCAGAAAACCAACGGAGATAAACCAATAAGAGGCCTGGGAATCAGAGTGACGTGACGCATCAACACATCAACGTGCAGAATCCTCTCAAGTCCCGCCCACAACAGACGCACCCGCCTGTGATCCCAGTCACCCAGCTCTCGACCAATCAGCGGGCGGTGCGTCTTGCGTCTTTGGCAACACTGCGGAACACTGCACAAAATCCCCAAATGAGTATTTGAAAGAAAAACAGCTGATTTTTTTTTTCTTCTTTCGTTTTTCATACACTGGTCTATTTTGAGGTTTTTTTCACAAGAGTATAAAGAAAACATCCAAAATACATATCCAGGTGTTTTTTTTAATACTTTGTGTTCGATTTCCCTTAAATGCACCATATGGTCACATTAGAAAAGGCCCAATTTGCATATTTAAACATAACATCCCAAGAGAATTTTTACTGTTTTGTTATTGCTTTTTCTGACCCATACAACATTCCATTTGTGTTTCTGTCATAACTCTGACCGCTTTAACCGATTGGGTTGTTCATAGCACATATTTGATGAGATAACACCTTTTCGGAAAACCGGTGTGGCCTGGAAATTGCAGTCTCAACAGATAAACACTAGCTTTATGTTACAAGACGTTGTATGAGTGTTATCATTTGGAAAATATTCAAATAACCATATCCCCTTCTGCATTCCATCACTTTAACACAGAACATAACGAACTGATCGTTTGATGTGTGCACCTTTTGGAGACCACGTTCACTCACTCAGTCTCAACCTCATATATCCGCGGTGTTATATTAGGTCAGATATAAATAGACTGAGTTAAATGTATGTCAGTGTGAAGATCACATGGGAGATAACAGACGGTATCAAATAATCTGAATGTGCAGCCCATTGTCGTTTATTTAATTTGAGTCGACAGTCTGTTAACCGCTCACTCCATTACACATTGTAAGATAGAAGGAGTCAGTATTTTTTGTAGAATTCCTTCTTTAATAAAAAATGTGAATAAATACTTTGCATGGAGAGGAAAACACAAAGGAGAATTGTTTTGTCATTGCTAAGCCCTTCTCGGCTGCTTTTGCTCAAAAAGCAAACCCTTCAGGTTTGCTATTTGAATACTTTACCCCGGTAAAGTTTTTTTTGTAGTCTTCTTTTGCGGCTCCGGGATTAAGGTGAATCCCTCTACGAGACACGTCTGTGATTTGGGGTGTTATATGATTAGCTTGACTTTTGTTTGCATTATATTTCTTCTTCTTACAGCTTCTTCTTCACAAAGGATATGAACTCCACAGGCTGAAAGAGAAAGAACACAATCGTCACAAACATATGAAGGCCCGCTTTGTTAATATGGATCTCTGTCAGAGATCATTTGATCATCTTGGAGGCAGAATTCCACCGGGTGGAACATGTTGAACAAGCGATTCTTCCTGTTGTCCTTGTGCACTTTACGCTCAACGTCATTAACGGTTGTGTTTGAAGTGCCACCAATCTCCCCACATTTAGCGAGGACGTTTTCAAACCACGGTACTATAGGGATACAGTGGTGGTCCTCTGCAGACTGTGTGCCGCGCAGAGTAACATTAGATATTGAGATAAAAGTATCCCAGCAGCTAGCTTAGCATAGAGGTGCGTAAAGTGGTCTGTCTGCCACTCACCCCCCTTCTGTTCGACGCGTGGAGTGATTCCTCCGCACAGGTCTCCGCTGTATGTTTTACTTACAATGCAAAAAGCTCTCTCCCCATCTTAATGTAACTAACTCCAGCTAGCGGTAATTTCCTTTCCGCGGTCAACTTCAGGTAAACAAACGTACGTCAACAACGTTAAAATATTTTGTTGCATTAATCTCGGCCACATTAATCGCACAGATTACCGCGTTTATGTTGGCAGCCCCAATAATAAGTACTGTATATATGTCAGTCGTCTCGCCTGCTTGAATGCCGATAAAATCTGTGTTCTTTACTTCCTCCAGAATGTCACCCGCCTGTTGATAGCAACCTTGACGAGAACGCCAAGCTAGGGGCCAAACCAATGTTGCCCCAGACTGAGTCTATTTAAGGCCGCTGATCAGTTAAATTGGATGTCACACATTTGTTTATTTAATCAACAATTGCCCCTTGCTCCTAGCGCAGCGAAAACACGCATGAAGACTGTATGACAGGAAGGACATGCAGGAAAAGCAGATATTTTCCGTAGATATCATACTTTACAATATTACTTCAAAAATGCAGATATATAAAAAACCTACAGTCCTTTCATATTGATACTGTTGGATACTCCGTCTTGGGTTATAGTTTAGTACTCCGCCTTGCTGATTGCTTTCATTTGATGAGAAAACAGCCCTAAAATCCTGTTTCAATAGAAACCGGGGGATTGTGGGAAAGCTGACGGAAAAGAAGCAGCGTCGTCAGCTGATGGCAAAAGTCCCTGTTTTTTTGTAATACAGAGTTTACCAGGTGGGTCTGGCACACTAAAGGAAATAACCTCATTGAGGTTGTACACTTGTCAAACATTAAGAAATACAGAAAAATATTTGTCTAAAAATTATTGCTAAAGTGATCTGTGATGCAACATTCACCGGAAACAATGACTTTGTTCATTATCTAGGTTGATTGTGCAATGCAACGGTTGTTCTGTCCAACTGCTACTGTTATGAATCAAATGTAACATGAAACACACATAAAACAGCCACATCACTGTTATCAATAATACAAAAGGGGAGCTTGGACAGTGCATCAGTCCCATTTTCAACTTTTCAACTAGATACTATTTCCTTTCACCTTGACTTCCACAAAAAAATGTCTTAACAGAATTGGGAACTGTGAGTTTCTCCCCAACACGGTTCATCCACACTGGACCAGCCAGAAAAACATCTATCTAAACATGTGCTATCCTCAGCGGAGAGCAGGCTCAGGGGATGGTCACTATTTTTAAACATTATGTATACTACTTTTTATTCACACCACCCGCCACTACCTTCTACCTAGTGTTGCGTATGCCCATGAGGGTGCCATTATAGGAAATAGAACACTCACTACGAATATTGCTTGTGCTGGTGGATGACACGGTGAGCATTGTACAGTGTTTTTTTAATACTCTGGGCACCACCAGTGTATGTGTGTGTGTGTGTGTGTGTTACCTAAGGTTGTACTCAGCGTGTGTCTGCAGCAGCAGGTCTCTGATCTCCTCTGGGGGGCTCAGACCATGAAGCTTGGCTCTCTGCCATCTCTGTAGCCTGCTGATTCCTGCAGGGAGACGGATGGTACGATGAACCTTTTTATCTTCCCCAGTGCATACGTGGTTAGGTGTGGTACCGACCTGTGCACGGCCCAAAGCTCCAGTCCAGATCAAACTGCCGCAGTCTCTGCCAGTTCTCCTCCTCTTGGATCGTTGCAGTTTGCGGCTCTGCTCCAACAAAACGATCCAGAGAAGATTCAATGCTACTGGATCACAATCCTGCTCTAACATTCAGAATATTCAACGGAACTTTGGATTTAAAATGAAACATCCAATTATATCCAAAAGGCATTTGGTTTCAATAAAAAACAGCTGAAATGACCAATAGCTTTCATTGAATACCAAAGGAAGTTAACACTGCTTTGTCAATAAATTAGCTAATTTACATAGTGAATTACAATCGCCATCAGTCACATGATGTCACATAGAAATGACATGTTTATACACTGTAAAATTTTAAGATAAGTCAATGGAAATATGTTGGGGATTGAGATGTGTATTGCAACGGCCTTATTGCAGTACAACACCCACAGACACGGCGCTGCTCTTCACCTTCCTGCGCCGGCGGAGCACTGGGCCTCTTCTCTCGTTTCGGCCTATTCCCTGCTTTCTTCACCACCTTGAATGAATCCGTTATCAGTCCTCCCTTGGTTGTCATGGTGACTGATCTAGAACAAACACAGAGGCAAACACTTTACTCAACCTGGCTGTTTGTAGTCCGGTGAATTCTTTGGCGTGAGGAGACTAGTTGGAGTGTGTTGGGAGGAAAGTTATTCGCCCCACCTGTTATTTGTCATCTTAAATCAGTCAGTAGAACAAAAAAAAATGTATATATATATATATATATATATTTCAGCTTTTCTACACAAACAAAAACTACATCTACATCAAATAATTGAATAAGTTACATTTTTTTGATGTTGACAAGTATGCACAAATGGCGGCTTGGTGATTAATGTTGTCACGTCTATTTGATGCAACTAGAAAATAAGAGCTATTGTGAATGGTTTGGACACAAAGAGCATCTGCAAACAAATAGGAAACTGACTCTAAGCGTCAGTCTCCATTGTCTCTGACTGAGCGTGAAGCATCTGGAGTGTCGTCATGGTAACTCGAAGGGTCTTCAGCTGGTTGCAGTCTTATAACCTCACCAGTAGATGCTGCTGAGTCAACACACTGTGGCTTTAATAATAAACCATCGTGAAGCTAGAATTAATTATCACATGATGTCCATGGAGCCATCAGCCATTGTCCATTTAGTCCATTTTAGTTTTAGTTCAAAAACATGTCTGGGCAAAGTCTTTACTGTGATGTAAACAGTGACTTTGCTATTTCATATCAAGGTGGAACACACCGAACAGACACATGAACTACTACATGGTATTTTACTGATAACGTGAACCACACAGTGACTTCCTCGCCACACCGATCCCTGTTACCCCCCACACGGCTCGAGGACCCGACACTGATCGCTGCACACACGGTCTTGAATCTAGCGTAACGTTACGTTTGGGCGTTTCGGCAGTGGGCGAACGTGTCCCGCGTGGGTAAAGTAGCGCTCTCTTCTGGCTTTCGTCTCCGTCAACTTCTACTCACCGCGTTACTCACACGACACAATTAGCAGACGGTTTAGCCTGCTCGCTGCGTTCGTCTGGAGCCACAACAAAGACCTGTCTCAGTTCCGGTGGACTGCTTCTGGGTAGGACGCGTTCGTGGACCGCATACGTCACTTTGGCTGCGACTCGGCCGCCCCGTTGCGTCGGCTCCTCGTGACGCGGCCGAGGAACGAAGCCCTTCCGCAGCCGATGTGGGACACATCTGATCATATCAGCATATCCCAGAATGCAGTGCGGGCCAACGAGCATTTCATTTATTCAGGACGGAGGCGTTTGATCCGACAGCGCGGAATAGTTCAATTTTAACTGTAACGTGAAGTAATAGAATTCACTCCAATATCTAAATATTTGAATTGTTATAATATAATATCACATCTTAGTTTATAAAATGGCGTAAAGTTACGTGACGTAGGATGTCGTGTTTTTAAATACATATAAGAGGTGAAAAAGATACTGTAAAGATACTGTATAAAACGATATAAAACGTTTACTCTGTCCTACTGCCCCCGACCTCACCTGGAGCCCCCCGGGGTCCATCAATGCACCAACACACATGTATAACACATACACAATGGCAGAACGGTCTGAATATTATGAACAGAAATGGATGGACCCTGAAATATCGCTTTAAGTCCAGTGAAGCCACAAACGTCAAGAATAAATACACAAAGGAACTGAACTTGGTTGTGTGGCATATCCCCCTTAGGCGTAGCATCCAATTCCTACTCTAAAGCGGCGTCTGTGTGGTGCCACCACCCTGGCGCAGGAGCACTAAAGCTTCTACGTCCCGCCAGTGGCTCACCTGCTGAAGCGGCCCTCTAAACAGTGCGGGACCCCCCCCCCCCCCACACTGCTGTTCTGTCTGGGCTGGGCTGTCTGTAGGCCTATAGTGATTTAATCATGCATTTCTTTTTGTGTGTGTGTGTGGGCCTCCTGGCCGGTATTTTGTTATTAATGGTTGCTATTTCTTTTGTTTTGATGAACAGGAGCGGTTGGTGCCACTGGTAGGAGTGACTGGCTGATCCCGGTGGTGGTGGTTCCCTTCATTTTTTCGTTGCAGTGCACCTCGCTGTCAATAGTTGGTGTGTGGTTTGTTTTGTTTTTCACGTGTGGTGGAACATTAGTTTTTTTTTATTATAATTTGATATTAAAATAAACTTGTATACTTTTTTTTATAGAATAACGTCCTGTGTTGTCCGAACCTGTGTCTTGTCATTGACCTCAGACTGGTGGTCCTTGTTAATTCCTGGGGTGAAATTCCCTTGGTGGCGTTGTTGGCTTTAATAGTAAAATACAGATCTTCCTTCTTAGCATTGCCACAGTTGCTTTGCTCCTTTTGTTTAGCAGTGTTAATATAAACTAACTTCACATTTAGTTGTGTTTTATGGAGCAGGAGGAAGCAGCACCAAGCTCTGTGTGGTGACATTGAGCTATTGTGGCTTTGACATATTCTGTAATATTTTACGTTAGTTAAAATAGCTCGTAAAGTCAATAAATGTGTTTGCTGCTGCTGCCTTAAGATTGCAATTCTACAGTTGAAAGTACACGGTTTAACCGTGTTTGGACCAGGTCTGTGTGGATCTTATGCTAGTGTTTTACCGTTTAAACGATAGAATTAAAATACAGAAATACCATTTTCTCCTGTTTTCGTTGTCAAACCAAAAAAATGTATTTATTTGCCTATATACACTTTTAGCGTCAACACACAATGGAACGTTTGTATGCTAGACAAACGCGTATACCATTAGAAGACAAGTGAATTAATGAACATGAATAAATCATCCTGGGTCAATGGGAGTGTGTTAACCACAATTGAATTCATTTTATTTTGCGTAGCCCAAAAACACAAACAAACTGTTGACTACACGCAGATGCATTTTCATTCATCCATGTAACCAGCAATACTCATTAATCGGTGCACTAGGATGCAATATAGTTAATAATATTGTTTAATCAAAGTGGCTTGTGGTCGCACAGTCCGACATGCGATTGACACTGACATTTATTTTCCAGTATTGAGCTGTTGCTTGAACAGAGCAGAGGAGGTTTAAGGAGACACAGAGTAAACATATTCACATCTATATCCACTAAGTGCACTCTCTTTGTGTTAATTATCTCGGTTATTACAAATGCATTTAATGCTATTTGTTTAATGGAAGACATTTGTTTATTTGGTTAGCCATTAGCTTCAGCAAAGTGGTCTCATAATCCACATCAACGTCTTCCGGCATGACTTTTGTGGCTAATGCTTCACTAGATGTAATCCTTACAACGAGAATGATGGACATGATGATGGAAGTTAACCCAATGAGGATGATGATGATTATGATGATGAGAAGACAGAGGAAAGATCAGGCCTGCCTTTCCCTCTCTCTCTCTCTCTCTCTCTCTCTCTCTCTCTCTCTCATCATAAATACAAAATCAAAATCAATACAAATCTTTTTGACCAGTTCTTCAGCCACCTTTCTCGGTATTTGCCTCTCTGTATCTTCTTCATTCCTCCATCCAGATAGATCACTTACAGTATAATCTAATCCTGTGTGTGTGTGTGTGTGTGTGTGTGTGTGTGTGCTTGCGCACTTGAGTGTTTAGAAAGGCGACTCTGTCTTTGTCTTTACACTGATATACAGATAATACTTTTAAAATCCTTATGTTTGTATAGTGTGGTTTTATTAGAAAAATCTTATCATACAGTACAAAGCAAAGAAAATGTTCATAACAAACACCACTTTTAGGATTTTTAAAGTGTGAATACGATCAACAGGAATTACAAGTTTGAGCCATAAGGAACTACACACAATGACTGGTGTGTTGTAGTGGTGACATTTAATCGTCTTTAAGGAACTCATCAGCGATCGCCCTTTTTCAGACACGTATAGGCTTATAAATTCACTAGAATTCAGAACCATATTCTACTTACTTGCATTCGATGATTATATCTAAGTACAAAAGCTTAACATCTCTTAATAAAGGTGCAGTGTGTAGGATTTGGGGGCAGCCAGCGGTGAGGTTGCAGTTTGGGACCAGCTTAAACTGATACTTTACCACTTCCTGATTCTCATCCGACGGCGGCCCATTATCGACTCATCATAAGTGACGGTTTAAGGAAGTGTAGGTGGCAATAGACTGAAGAGGGCTGTGATTGAATTAGTGTGTAATGTTATCTCCTGGATATGGTTTGTGGTGTGTAGAGACTGATAGTAGCCTTTTATACAAGAACAGTTCTGCTCAGCCTTTAACATTAGGGATAAAATGCACTCCGGGTGATATAGTTATTTCATATTTATCAGAGAATAATTGATCACCTACACCAATGTGGTTGTTCTGAAATAATACCGAAAGGTCATTGGACCTTTTTAAGTTACATTTAGGTGTATTGGCGATGCACTAAACATCCAACTGTGAGCTGAGCAGAAGAAAGGAGCGGGACTCTGAGGAGTGGTTTGGCCAGTCAGGCGGTGGAGGGGTTAAAGAGTCCGAGACCAAAGGACGAAGAGAGAGAGACACAGACGGGAGAGAGAGAGAGAGAGAGAAAGCTGTTGATTTACTGACCAGTCCACCTGCATTCATATGAAAAGTGAATTACTTGAAGACTGGTTTCCAAGAAGAAGAACAAGACGACAACCGCTCTTGGAAATCTTGATACAGCTCTGTGTTGGACCTGATATATCAATTTCTTTTTTTTTCCAACATGACGTCAGCCACGCTTGGGGACCCACATCTGTAATTGCTGGAGCACACACAGCAGCCGCTGCTGCATTTGGAGTTGAAATTAGCCTTTATATCCAGACTCCATACAAAGTGTAATTGTCTTCATACATCTGTAAATCACTTTACATTTATTTCACATCCAGAAAATACACAAACACAAGCTTTCTCTGTTTTCACTCACACACGTACGACCAAGATGTGGACCTGCATAAAAGACTTCTTCAACTATGAAACCACTAAATCAGTGGTAGTGAAGAGCTGGACCATCGGCATCATCAACCGGGTCGTTCAACTCCTCATCATCACTTACTTCATTGGGTGAGTATTTCCCTTCATTCTGCTGTATTTTAGGTAAATGCAGTATTTAATTTGACCTGGTTGGATCATTCCTATGTTATTTGTTTAGATGTAGCGTTAATGTAACTGAAGGTGCGGTTTGGCTTTGATTTCCTTAAAATGATCAAATTAATTCAACCAAGCAGAAGATCAGGTTGGCATATATACTTTCAATTTGTCGTTGTTGCATAGACATATACAGGTTTATAGAGCAGAAATGTCTGTACGTTTCACGCTTTCCAATTTATTTACACTTGTGTTACACTTAAAGCTGCGTGTTTACACGGCTGCTCTAACATGACAATATGGATGCCGAAATAGAAAAAAAGCGCTTCACACTGCTCGGTTTGAATGTTTTGACCAGGTTGTCAGTGGAAGGTGTCTCTGAGGTTACTTTACCATAAACACTTCCTCACTTCTAGGGCAGTCTGCTTAACCAAAGGGGTGGAAGGGGATTTTTGTGTGATAGCTGCGTTTGAATTGTCCATTGCTGCAGATCGCTCTGCTATCAGTGATCCTGATATTAGGCACTTCAATTAATAGAGGTGATGCAGGTTGAACTGGAGGCTGGGGCAGGTAGAGTTGAGAGTGTGAGGTCTTGTCTTTTAAAGATAATTAAGGCAGATGGATTCCTAATTCCTCAGTGTTGATCATTACAATGACTAAGCATTTTCCCTACAAAGGGGTGTCAACTGTAGTTTTTATGTTGTAGAGATCTACCTGAAATGTCTGCGCATGGAACTAAAAGCGGGAGCAATGTGTCTATATTTTGCTCTGCACATCGAGGTCTTAGTTCTAATTGATCTGGAATTTTTGGAACATTAAAGCGTCAAATTTCAGACTGTGTATGTCACAGGAAGTTTGGTGTCTTCTAGAACATAGAGTTCTATTTTCAAACTGTAATACCGAGCAACTTACGTTACTTCTACCCCTGGGACCCACGGTACAGTGTTTCGCCGCACCTCCTCTCCCCCCCGTCCGTCCCCCATCCCAAAAGCTCTAAACCTAGAAGAAACACTGCACATTATTTTCTGTAAACAATGCGTTCTATTGTTCTAGTTCACTCTGCCGTCAATGATGCTGATATTGGGCACTTCAGTCAGTAGTGGTTAACAGAATGTGCCGCAGGTCGTCCTGCAGGTCCCATGACACACATGCTTAAGTTTCTGTAAGGGGGCCATTTGCAAAATGCTCCCTGAAAATAATGTCTACATGCAGAAACTCATGTACTGTATGTACGGTTAGTAATCATTATCTGGGAATTTCCTTTAGGCACTTCAGTGTTGACATTACAGGTTATGGGATCACAAGCTGCAGCCACACAATTGAAGTCATCAACACAAAGCACTGCCAGCTAAAAATGCAAGTTATCCCACTTAACTCAATAAGAAAATTGTCCCTCTTTCCTTGTTGCAGCTGAACTCTATTGTTTTTATTAGTGTGAGATCCACCACTGATGCCTCTGCGTTGCTGCTAGTGTTTTTTCTCCTGTTTCCAATGGGACTGTGCTTTAGCTCGTCTTTCTTCCTGGAAATGTGTGTTTGAAGCGATGGCTGTCTGTAAAAAACATCTTCTTCCGCTGTCTTTGTCAATGTGTTTGTTTGTCTGCATGCTTTAGGTGGGTATTTGTCAATGAAAAGGCCTACCAGGTGAGAGACACAGCTATTGAATCCTCAGTGATGACGAAGGTCAAAGGTTTTGGAGTCTACAATGACAAGGTCATGGATGTTGCAGACTACGTCACTCCTACACAGGTATGGACGGATGGGTGGGTGGATGGACAGAGGGATGGATTGGTCAATGGACAGATGGATGGATGCAGGGTTGGTTGGATGGATAGGTGGCTGGACGGAGGGATTGATGGATGGTGGACGCACAGATGGATGGATGGACAGATGGATGGTGGATGAACAGATGAGGGGTAGATGGACAGGTGATTGACAGCAGTATACAGTTGAGGTTATTGCTATTGTTTTCCACAGGGAGCTTCAGTCTTCTGCATCATCACCAAAATGATAACTACAGAGAACCAAGTCCAAGGACTCTGTCCCGAGGTCTGTTATTGTCACTACTGTTACTTCAAAACTACTATCGTTATTAGTTCCATTAGTATTATACAATATTGTTTCAAAAATGTGTGATATGAGTACAACACTCATCAAAAGTAAACTAATGTTACTGGATATGAAGTTATTATCTTCAGTACCACTACCATTGCCAGTACTATCTACGGTCATTCAAAAAGTTCTTCAGAGGTGAATTGTACAACAGGCAAAGGAGGGTACTGTATGTACCTGGAAAAGGGAGGCGCCGGTGGGCATCCTTAACAGATGCCCAAACCACCTCAACTGGCTCTTGTCCATGTGAAGGAGCAGCGGCTTTACTCCGAGCTCCTCACGGATGGCTGAGATTTTCACCCTTTCTAAGGGAGCTGCCAGCCACCCTTTTAACGAATAGCCATTACGTCCACTTGTACCTGTTGTACTCACTGTTGTCACTCCTTTGGCACTGTCCCAGACTTCAACACACTATTGAAGAGGGGGGTTATCCAAAAACCTCTCCAAAACCCATTGCTTTCAGCATCTCTGGATGGATCTCATCAATCCCGGATGCTTTTCCCCTGCAGAGTTTGCCCACCTTTGTGACATAGAGGGTGTAGTAGCTGGATTCAGGGGTACCTCAAAGTGCTCCTGCCACCGCCCAATAACTTCCTTAGTTGCACTCAACAAGTTCCTATCCGTACTGTACAAAGCATGGATAATTCTCCGTTTCCCCCTCTCGAGGTGCTGGTTGGTATTCCAGAAGCAGTTCGGTGCCGACCGAAAGTCCTTCTCCATAGCCCTCACAAACTCCTCCCACGCTTGCAGCTTTGTCTCCTTCATGGCAGAGGCTGCCGCCCTTCGAGCCCGTCGGTAGACTGCAACTCCCCTGACCACCCGTATCCACTATGGTGTTCGAGGGTTACTGTCCCTGGATGCACCTAAGACCTTTAGGCCACAACTCCACACCACAGCTTCAGCAGTAGAAGTTTTGTTTAGTAGAAGACACTGCACTCTGGTTCAAAGTCTTCTACCTCCACAGGAATGGCAGAGAAGCTCCGCCAGAGTTGTGAGTTAAAAATCTCTTGGACCAGTTCACCTGCCCTACGCGTTTGGGTTTAACAGGTCTGTCCTGAGCCATCCTCTGACCCAACTCACCACCAGATGATAATCATTTGACAGCTCTGCCCCTCTCTTTACCTGGGTGTCCGAAATATGCAACCTAAGATCAGACGATTACAAAATCGTTCTTTGGCCTAGAGTGCTCTGGTAACACGTACACCTATGAACATCCTTATGTTCGAACATGGTGTTCAATAAGTCCAATAACAAACGACCGGTCAGGTTCAGATCAGGGAGGCCAGTCATGCCAGTTATCTACATCGTCACCACCTGTGCATTGGAGTCTCCCAGTAGGACTATCGACTCCCCCACTGGAGCCCCAAAGCAGGACTCCATTCAGCGTCTGTATAGTCTATCCCCTTTACAGGAGTACGCATGCAGAGCCGAGGCTGTACGTAGAGGTAAGCCTCACCAAGTCTAACTGATAGCGCTCCCACATGAGCTCCGGCTCCTTCTCCCCCAGAGAGGTGACGTTCCGCATCCTCAGAGCCAGCATCTGCTGCCGAGGTCTTGTTCGTCTAGAGCCACCACTGTCACTGCCATCCTTTTAGCGGCGCACCCGATCCCATCGTTTCCCCCCACAGGTGGTGAGCCCATGGGAATGAGAGTTCCCGGCCAGGTTCCTCGGCGAGCCCTCCATCTGGGCTATGCTTCAGATTTGGGCCCCGGGCTTCCTCGGACCGGGTAACTCCTTCCCTTTTCTGTTTTTTCATGGTCTTCGTGAACCATTCATTTAGCCCCTTGCCATGATATTTTGTAGTGCAAAAGTGCTTTGAGTGGTCAGTAGACTAGATATTCGATTACAGTTCATTTACCTTTCTCCCCCATATGTTTGTGATTGTGTTTATCTAGAGTGAGAAGAAGTATGTATGTAAGCAGGACAGTCAGTGTTCAAAGCACACCAACAAACCAGGAAGTTATGGTGAGAACTTCTATCTGTTGCTTTTTCCTCTCTCATAATATTAGATAAAAACTTCAGATCATAATTGACTTTATTATTATAATTATTACACGTATGCATATGCACTGAATGACTATGTTATAGTTCATTTCGGATTTCTGTTAACATGAAAGCTTTTATTTTCCTGCTAAGGTATCCTGACAGGAAAATGTGTTCCGTTCAACGCCACCATCAATATGTGTGAGATGAAAGGATGGTGTCCTGCTGAGATCGACACCATCAAGACGTAAGACTACAGCGGGCATGCAATAGACAGCCTTTCAGACACTACAGCACTGTGAAGAAAAATACTGTAGTTTTCCGGCTTTGGAGATTACATATTCAAATATGATGCTGTATCCCTAACGCTCTGTCTTTTTTCTTCTGTTTCTTCCTCTCCCTCCGTTTAAGTACGCCAATGATGGAGGTGGAGAATTTCACCATTTTCATAAAGAATAGCATTCGCTTTCCGACCTTCAACTACACTAAGTATGACAATTTTAAATATACTGATGGTCATGACAACAACACTGAAGCCTGACATGTTGATTTGATAACACCGTATGTCTGTGTGTGCAGAGGGAACTTCCTGACTACCATCACTAACGATTACATAAAAATATGTAACTTTGACATGATCAACAACACCTACTGCCCCATCTTCAAAGTAGGAGACGTGGTCCGCTACGCACAGCAGAACTTCACCAAGCTGGCAGACAAGGTAGAGTTGGGAGTGTGAGTCTTGTCTTTTAAAAAAAATCAAGGAAGGAGAATCAAGATAATTTCTCAGTGCTGATCATTACAATGATTAAGCATTTCACCTTTTTTTATGTTAATGAAATCTACCAGAATTCCTGCACATGGACCTGATAGCTACAGTAACCGCGTTGTACTGCTCTGCACGTCGAGGTCTTTGTTCTAATTGTTCTGGGATTTTTTTGAACATTATGTTAAATTTTATATTGCTCCGTTTAGAATATTGCACCTTTATATGATATATGTGTCACGGTGTGGTTTTATTTCCTGTCTTATTTTGTAGTTTTCGGCTTCTTGTCTCCCTGGGTAACTTCACTTCCTGCCTGGTCCTGTCATCCCCTGTAATTGTCTGATTGTTTCCACCTGTGTCCAATCACCTGCACCTCCCTAGTGTATTTAAGCCGTGTCTCTCTTGTGTCACTTGTCGCGTCATTGTCTATTGTCCCGGATGGTCCTTCTCTATCGTCCTGGATGTGTCTCGTTCCTGGCTGCCTTTTCCCCCCTGTACTTGTATGTGTTTTTGCCCGTTGGCCTTTTGCTTTTTGAATTTTGACTATTAAAGTCTTCTTTTGTTACTCCACGTCTGCGTTTGAGTCCTGCCTTCCACCCACCCTGACAATATGACCCATTATGCTATTTCACATACGTATATCTCATATTGCACATGATAAGTGAAGTGAGATAAGGTATTGTTACACGTATTTTAATAGTTTTGTTTTGCGATCATTCTGACTGCAGCAGGGAAGAGGCTGTTCTATGAGTGATGATGCTGTCCGCTCTGCTGTGTCTCAGGTTGTATATAAAGTGTTTATGTCTGAGCAGAGAGTGAGCTGGGTGGAGTCTCTGATGATCCACTCTGCTCTTTTACAACACTGCTGCACATACAGTATTATTTCTTTGGTTTTGTCTGTTTTGAGGATAAGGTAACTAGAGTCATTGTAACTACTGGGAGCATGAGGCCATTTCTTAACCCTACAGAAGTTGCACAGATTGTCCAACTCTTCCAGGATGGCACATGAACAGGTGCGACGATTTGATGTACAGTATATGCTCTTCAATCTGATTCATTCTCTCGCAAAAAATCTTCATTTTAATAATGGTGGTATTGTGCTATGAAACCGGAAATGTGAGACTTCGGAAAGGATGTAGTTAGCAGACCAATTGCAGCCTTGCAGGCTGCAGGAGGCCTGCGTAGCTTTTGACGCAAGTCTAGAAAAATGGGTCGACGCACACAAGGACGCAATGAAGGGTGAAAAGGCACACAAGGGACACGCAAGGGGCTCTTGGGTCTGGGTGTCCTTGCGTCTCTCTGAAAACACAGAAACATAAACAAGGCTAAGAAACAAGGCGCAGAAGCAATGGTGTCCGGGTTCACCGCATACCTACAATTGAGGGAACAGTTGGCAAGACCCATATGGGGACGATTGTTAATTGGTAAAAATACAACGCAAGTCAAAACACACACAATGAATCGTAAATCATAATAAAACTTGCAAGAAATCAGAAATAGGTAGGTCATAATACACGCAAACAATCACAAATCAATAGGTAACAACACATGCAATTGTCCATCCATCCATTTTCAACCGCTTATCCGGGGTCGGGTCGCGGGAGCAACAGCTCCAGCAGGGGACCCCAAACTTCCCTTTCCCGGGCCACATCTACCAGCTCTGACTGGGGGATCCCAAGGCGTTCCCAGGCCAGTGAAGAGATATAATCTCTCCACCTAGTCCTGGGTCTTCCCTGGGGCCTCTTCCCAGCTGGCCGTGCCTGGAACACCTCCCTAGGGAGGCGCCCAGGGGGCATCCTCACCAGATGCCCAAACCACCTCAACTGGCTCCCTTCAACGGAAAGGAGCAGCGGCTCTACTCCGAGCTCCTCACGAATGGCTGAGCTTCTCACCCTATCTCTAAGGGAGACGCCAGCCACTCTCCTGAGGAAACCCATTTCGGCCGCTTGTACCCGTGACCTAGTTCTTTCGGTCATGACCCATCCTTCATGACCATAAGTGTGGGTAGGAACGAAGATTGACCGGCAGATCGAGAGCTTTGCCTTCTGGCTCAGCTCTCTATTCGTCACAACGGTGCGGTAAAGCGAGTGCAATACCGCCCCCGCTGCTCCGATTCTCCGGCCAAACTCACACTCCATCTTCACTTACTCGTGAACAAGAACCCGAGGTACTTGAACTCCTTCACTTGGGGTAAGGACACATTCCCTACCTAGAGTAGACAATCCATCGGTTTCCTGCTGAGAACCATGGCCTCAGATTTAGAGGTGCTAATCCTCATCCCGACCGCTTCACACTCAACTGCGAAACGCTCCAGTGAGAGTTGGAGGTCACAGACGGAAGATGCCATCAGGACCACATCATCTGCAAAAAGCAGCGATGAGATCCGCAGCCCCCCGAACTGTAGACCCTCCTCCCCCCGACTACGCCTCGATATCCTGTCCATAAAAACCACAAACAAGATTGGTGACAAGGCGCAGCCCTGGCGAAGGCCAACCCCCACCGGAAACGCCTTTGACTTTTTGCCGAGCAACCGAACACAGCTCTCGCTTTGGGCGTACAAGGATTGGATGGCCCCAAGCAAGGACCCCCTCACCCCGTACTCCCGCAGCACCTCCCCCAGTTTCTCTCGGGGGTCCCGGTAATACGCCTTCTCAAAGTCCACGAAACACATGTAGACTGGATGAGCATACTCCCAAGCCCCCTCTATGATCCTGGAAAGAGTGAAGAGCTGGTCCGTTGTTCCACGACCGGGACGAAAACCGCATCGTCCTCTTCAATTCTTGGTTCGACTATCGGCCGAACCCGCCTTTCCAGCACCTTATAGTACTTGCATTTATGTTTCCCCTTCTCCTATCCTAAACCCTTATTGGTTCTATGTTCTTAAGAAGGTTACAACAACATTAATTGGCGAAGGAACGGCCTCAAAACAATCTGAGTCTCCGGCACCTCCTTTGGGGCGAGGAACTCCACGCACTCGTCTTCAACGTGAGCCACCGACAGGAAGTTGCACCCCCCGCCACGGATCTCGCAGTGCAGGAGGTGAAGGCCGAGCACGGACCACCGCTCGCATTTGATGTCGAACAAGGGTCCTGTGGCCTTCTTGTGATGCCGGGCCAGCAGCCTCTGGTCCTAGGGGACGATCCTGTGAACCACTCCCCCCTCGCCCCCCAAGTGGAACACCAGGCCGGTTACGCTGCACAGGCACAGGCCTGGCCTGGAGCACCACAACCTGAAGTTCTCCTCGTCCTTATCGTGCGTGAACTCCTCCTGACCTGCTTTCATTGGGGAGCTTCCTTGCCGTTTCTTCCAGGAAAATCCTATTCAAAATGTATCTGCAGCCATTACATGTGCAATTGGCAAACATTCTTTCTCCTGAGTAGTAGTAAATGTAGTTTTTAGGAGACAGGATTGAGTACAAACACACTGATCCACACGCCTCTTGTATTTAGGGTGGAGTGATTGGAATAAAGATCGGCTGGATATGTGATCTGGACAAGTCAGATGACCAATGCAACCCCTCGTACTCATTCACACGACTGGATGCCATGTCACAGAAGAATGCTGTCTCACCAGGCTACAATTTCAGGTATTTAGCCACACAGTTTGACTGATTGTTAAAGCTGGGGTAGGATAAATGTCTATTGAAATGAAATATATTTGTTCAAACTCTGATTACATTATTTCATTTGTTCCTTGAGGACCGAGCTCTGAATCTTTAATACAATGATGAAAAAGGAAAACCTCCAATCTGTCCTTTACAGAGGAGCAATAGAAATCATCCTACACGCTGGGATGTTCACGGCCCTACAGCGGGCCGCCCTTCAATCAGAGGATCGCTTTGAGCGCTGCCTCCATGTCTTTGTGTCCTAGTCCAACCCATGATGGGTGAGACCCAGCAGGTGGGACGAGTAAGTGTAGGAGGTGGGGGGGTGGAATCCCACAGGTGGGTCAGGTGGAAAGGTGAAAGTTGGGTGATGCCGCTTGGTGAGATGGTTGTCTCAAGGCAACGTGATCTCCAAAACCTGTTCGTAAAAATGTATACGAAATATTTGACATAGAAATTTGTAACAATACATACTAACTGGCGGTGGTTAACCACGCCCCTTGAGTGAAAGTCTCTCCGCCATGTTGGATTTTTTGAGGGGGCTAGGGTTAGTATTGTATTCTTACAATTTCTCGTTAAAAATGCAATCATAACATGTTTATTTTACATCGTTAGACTTCACGAAGTGTGTTTACGGGGTGCAGGTCCCCATTCACTTTGTATAATCGGTCATATTTGCGCATTTCTTCCGACAAAAGTTCTTAAATCTGCTCCGTTCTCTCGTAAACATTCTTCGTTTTAATAATGGCGGTACCGGGCTATGAAAGCGGAAATGTGAGACTCCGTAAAGGATGTAGTTAGCGAACCAATCGCAGCCTTGTGCGCTGCGGGAGGCTTGCGTTGCTTGCGTCGCTTTCGACGTCGCTCTGAAAACGCAGAAGCATAAATCAGGCTTAATGAGTGAGGCGTCTGTCCAGCTGAGGATCCTTAGCAAGGGTGTGGAGGGGACTGGCCCACTCTACTAAGAAGGAGGAGAACAGGTGAGGTCCAGAGCTACAGTCCAGATCGACCACTGATACATTGATTGAATTGAAATGTTGTTTGTGTGAAAAATAAAGTTAAAAAAAGTTTTTTTTAAATCTCTCTCTCTCTCTCTCTCTCTCTCTCTCTGTCTCTGAGAGGGAGCGTGCAGGTGGTGAGCTGAGAGCGTTAGCGTGTTTCATGTCGGTTTTTTTCGCAAATAATTGACAGCTAAAGTCAACGTTGTGTACGCGTTGTGGGAATGTGCAATTTGAATGTATCTGCAGCGTTTCGGAGTTTGCAGGACGGCGTGCTGCACGCCGCCATGGATTTCGGCAGGCTGACGCGGAAGCACGGCGTGAGGATCGCGCTGAGCCCCTCGTACTCGGTGGAGGACTGCAGTCTGGCCGTGGGGAAGCTGGTGGGCCACCGCAGCGTGAAGTCCGCAGCGCGCATGAACAACGCGGTGGTCATCTTCCTCGACAGTGTGGAAAAAGCGGACGCGGTGGTGGTCAGCGGGATCGCGGTGCACGGCGCGCTCGTGCCCGTTCTGCCTCTCTCCACGCCGGCGGTGAGAGTGACGGTGTCGAACGTCCCCCCGTTCATCGGGGACGAGGCTCTGGTCAAGGAGCTGTCAAAGCACGGGAAGGTGGTGTCTCCCGTAAAGAAGGTCTCTTCGGGGTGCAAGTCCCCGCTGCTGAGACACGTGGTGTCACACAAAAGGCAACTCCTCATGGTCCTCAACAACAGGACCAAGGAGCTCAACCTGATGTTTGGAGTCGAAGTGGAGGACTTTGTGTATGTGGTGTTTGCCACTTCTGACAATATGAACTGCTTCAGGTGTGGCAGAAAAGGACATCTCGCCAGGACATGTCCGGGAAAGGACTCTGCAGAGGGTGCAGGAGAACGAGGTGTGGAGGATCGGGACAGTCAGGGAAGACAGGAGAAGACAGGTGGGGTACAACAGGAGGGAAAGGAGGCACAGGAAGAGACAGGTGGGGTCAAGCAGGCGGCTGAGAACGGACAGCAGGGGACTGGTGGGGTCCAGCAGGGTGGGGAAGCGAGTGATGGGGGCCAGGAAGGGACAAGTGGAGGACAACAGGTAGGGCGAATGTGTGGGGAGGGGCCAAGGGAAGTTCAGCGGGAGAGTGAGGTGTGTGAGAGGGGAGAAGATGGAGGGTGTGGTGGAGTCCAGCCGGCCTGCCAGGGGGGCGACAGAGTGACTGAGGGGCTGATTGAGGCCCAACAGGTGGGCCAGGTGAGTGTGGGGGTGAATGAAGAGACAGGTGGTGTCAGACGGCTCAGCCAAGAGAGAAGGGAAGGTGTGAGTGGGGTTCAACAGGTGGTTCTGGGGGGTGAAGAAGGGCAGGAGAAGCTGGAAAAAAGTCAAGAGACACGTGCTGAGGAAATGCGGTCTGAAAGCAGCGCCGAGGACATGGAGGGGGAGGAGGAGGAACGTAAAGCCCCCCTGAAGAGAAGGAAGACGAGGAGCAGCGGAGGAGCCTCTCGAGCCAAGAAAGGGTCAGAAAACAGAAGGAGCACAAGAGGGAAAGCGGGTGAACCCGGGTCCTCTGCTGACTGGGATTCCACTGACAGCGCCTCTTCTGGTGGGACAGTGACCAGCAGGTACGGGGTGGGGAGAGTGAAGCTCTTCCTGAAGGTAACAAAGAACATGAAGGGGGTGGACATGGAGGAGTATTTCTCTGACCTAGAGAAGTTCTCTCGCACTGCTCGGAACGGTGTGAGCAAAAAGGGTAGTGGGAGATACACCCAGCAGGAAGTCTTCCGGATGAGGAAGATCATCCTGAAAATAAACAGGGGAAGCGAAGGTGCTTCTGTGGACTGAGTGCGGCGTCCATCCGGTGGAGGAGGATCCTGGCCGGCTGACGCAAGAGGAGATGCTGGTGGGGAATAACTGAGGAGTGGAGCCAGCGTCCAGATCGACGGGCAGCTCAAGCTTTTGAATTTTTCAGCGTTGTCGTGTATGTGACATGTTTGTGCGTTTTAAAGAAAATAAAGGTTTTTCAAAAAATCAAAAAAAAATCTCTCTCTCTCTCTCTCTCAAGAAAGCCAAACTACAAAGTGCAATGGGCCATCCTAAGTGCAAATAAAGTGTTAACTAGTCCAAGTATAGTAGGTGCTGTCTAAACAGGGAGGGTTGTCGCTGGCAGATGGACCTGCTAAGAGGCAGGTAAAATAGTTAAGGCGTTAAATGACCAGAGCCTGGATCAGAACCTGCGTCGTCTCCTGAGTGAGAAGGAGACGTGTTGTGCAGCATGTATCTACAGGAACGTGTTGCTGCTGTAATGTTGGCACTGAGGGAAAGTTGACTGTTGAACACGGAGGTGAGCGTCAGGTTAGGACGGAGTTGTCAAGGGTAACGGTCAGGTCGTGGGTGGGAGAGCCTTTCCCTGGAAGGAAAAGAAGTTCAGTATTGTCAAGGTTCATTTTCATGTGGCGTGCGGCCCTCCACTGAGAGATGTCAGTTAAACAGGCAGAGATGGAGAGACAGGATTAGTTTAATGGTTCCTCCAATTCCAAGTATAATTAAAAGAAATGTTGTGATTAATGATTTTGATGTGTTGAGTACGAATTTGAATCATTAGCGTGATTGGTGCTAACTGTTCCACTAGCATCAACTATTTTTAAATATATGATAAAAGGACTATATCAGACATTTGCATCTGTAATCCAACATCAGTTATATCTTCTAATTTTCATCCATGTCCCTGATTGAGAGGGGAAACTCCTAAAGCATTTAGTAACAGAAGCACCTGTCCATTTTGGTTTAGATTTCGTATCAGGCTGTTTGAGTTTTTACCACTGTAGTTATTTGCTTATTTGCTACTATGCTTGAAATGTGACATATGATGAATATTTTACTTTATATCTATTTCACCAAAGAAACGTCTCAGTTGGACACTAATCCATAAGCTTAAGTATTTTCTATTAATATAAGACTGGCGTGTTTTGTGTTGTTCTGGACAGGTTTGCCAAATATTATAAGATGGAGAATGGGACGGACTACCGCACTCTGGTCAAAGCCTATGCTATCAGGTTTGATGTTCTGGTCAATGGAAATGTGAGTATATACATTAATGTATATCAACATATGCATGTCACGGATCCCATGATGAACAATGACATTTGGATATGAATCAATGGAAGCTTCTTGTTCCTCTATGAAGATGCCACTGTTTTTTTTTTTTTATGCATGATAGTCCTACGTCTTTTTAACCCTCTTGTGTTGGCCTTTTGTATTCCACAATAGCAGAGTGATTAAAGATGGGTCAGTGAGATACCAAGCCTGACTGTGAGTCCTTTGCCATGTGATGTGAGTGGTTAGTCGAGTAGATGTCCACCGTGCTGATTTCATGGTAGGACAGCGGCACGCAGGGCGTCATTGTCTGAAGCTTTGGAGCCCAACCCTAACCTGCAACATTTGAAGCAAATGAGGTTTGCTCAGGGAACAATGACAATGTCAAAGTATGTCCAGCTATGGAAATGGAACATTGTTCAAGAAGAGAAAGGCGCCTCCAAAGGGAGGTTCACAACAGACATTCTGAGTTCATGTTTATGGCCCAATGGTGGAGACGCTTTTGTCAGAGGATCGTTCTACTGAAGTTTAACTTTAATAGATTAAGGCTGAAGTCTCCTTAGGGACTGCAAGCGGGTGTTTAATGCTTCAGCGCCCAGTCCCTGAGTGCCACCCCAATTACATTTTATTACATTACAGGTCATTTAGCTGATGCTTTTATCCAAAGTGACTTACAATGCATTTTTAACCCATGGCTTTTTACATTTTTGCCCAGGGAGCAATTAGGGGTTAGGTGTCTTGCTCAGGGATACTTCCACATGGGACATGGAGCAGCCGGGGCTCGAACCACCAACCTTGCGGTTCCCAGCACACCATCTCTATCCCTGTGCCACGTCCACCCAATTAGTGAGGACATGTGGGTTAATAAGAAGACAATTCTAGGGCGGTGCTGAATACTTGGACAATTCAAAGCGTCATTCATCATGTTAACATTTCGGAAACAAAGAAGAAACACTAGCTTTTCCAACTCTATTGATTCTATTTGCCTTAGGACTACCAATGCTTTTTAGAGGAACAGGAGATGACACTGTGATTGGTTGAATCTGTGTTAGGCCCAAAACACACCTGGAACCTAACACATAGATGCCGTTCAACCCTCTGGAGTAACGTGGGAGCCGCCGAACGCACTGCTCAAACACTTTAGACCATGTACTAGAGATTTGTCTCCACCGGGGTTTTCAGTCGTTAAGCAGCTATGATCAGTGAAATTCAACATTTCGACAAGGCTCTATATCGGCCACTACAATCATCACGAGGTGAAGTTATTTCTGGCACTACTAACCCTGAAGCCTGCTGAGATAAACTGCTCTTCTTACTTTGCAGGCAGGGAAGTTCAACATGATCCCCACACTCATCAACCTGGTGGCAGCCTTCACGTCGGTGGGAGTGGTGAGTTGTTGAGTTTTATCTTATAATAAGTTTTGCCTTTGCTGAGTAAACGTCTGAAATGTTGAGTCCCTGTTTTATCTTCACTGTTTCATCTCTACGCTTAAAGGGTAAAATAGGGTGATTATTATCATTATTAACATAATTATCACTCAAGGGAACCGTGTTGTGTGACATCATTCTGCTGAACTTCCTGAAAGGAGCGGAGCAGTACAAGGCCAAGAAATTTGAAGAGGTAAAGTACCCGCTTCTGGTTATTAGTCTTAGCAAAGATGTGTGAAGCATATTTTATTGAAGCTGAATTAATTCATTTCTAGCTATTTAGGGGCAGTGGACAGAAAACACACCAGTGGTAGGACCGTCCTTTGAAGTTGTCAGATCAGTCTAGTATTCAGACCTCTTAGTTCTCTTGTTTTCTGAATGTGGTACAGAGAGTAACTCTACCATCAGTGTTAAACCCTTAAAATGTGCTGCGCCCTCGCACTGAGAAGTAGTCAAAAGGTCCAGTGGGGAACTTTGTACCGTTGTCACCCTCATCTAGGGAAAGAGTACCAATAATACAAAAGGAAAAAAATCTCTATTTACAAAAAACGGCCGTGAATATTTGTTTTGATCAATGGTTCACAGAAACACATGGCGAGGTATTGGTTGTATTTAAAGTTTTACATCACGGTACAGCTTATGATGTCAACTAATGTGTTAGACAGGCGTTCACAGGCAATTAAGTGATAACACTGCAGTTATGAGAATAAGTCCTCATCATGCAGCTGACAAGACCACAACGCTTAAAGTGGCCTTGTTGAGACTGTCAGCTCAGATCGTTTTTTGGCATTTTTAAATTAGATTTTTTTTTCCAATTCTGCACCTAAAAAAACAGGCGGCGACAACGTATTTCTACAGATGATTGTCTGGCCGCTGGAATCTGATTTCCGAGTGAGGGGGTATCCGTTTACTGCTGATGGCAGAGTGCTGTGGAGGACGACGGCGTCCATGACAGCTGGAGGGTCTGACAGGAGACAAAATGTGTGGCGATGTACTCAAATGCGACGTGTCTCCCTCCCTCTCGTCTTCTGCAGGTGTCGGACAGCCCGCAGGAGTCCCGGAGCAATGGGCTCTACCGCTCGCAGCTGTCCCTCAGACAGAGTGAGACCATCATGAGGTCCAGTGACTCGGGGGCCTTTTCTATTGAACAGTACTGCTAGACGGACGGAGCAGTGGAATGGGGAAGATTTGGGTTGGGTTTCTCTCAAAATGGAAATGTTTTTAGGTTTCATCAATTTTTCTAGATAAAAAAAATGGAATTTTCAACGACAAAGGACCTTTAATTGTTGCTTCTCTTTAAAAGTTATTCTCAAATGTTTGAAATGATAAATACGAGGGAAAAAAAACGTGTCTTGCATGGTGACACTTTGGGCATGTGGCGTTGGATCAGGACTTTCTGAGTTTATGTTTGTTTATGTTTAAAAGAGCGTGACATCGTAACATTCGGAGCATCGATGTAGCATCAAACCACTATCACCTGAGTCGTGTCTACCTGAGCAGAGAATGAGGTCTGCCCCTCAGAGCGTCATGGCACCACGTGCTCGTGTACTTCGTACTTTTAGCGCTGTTAGCATCGCTGGCTACGGGCCATCGGCTCCAGCGCTGCCGTTCCGGCGGATGAGAGAGGCAATCCAAATGCTCCTGATGTTATATCTTTATTTCTGTTTGTTTTGCAACGTGCATTGAAACTATACTGTAAAGCACCACAGCTTCATTATGAAGCGTGAGAATAAAACAGGAATAAAGCAGACAGCAGGCATGACTTCATTCACTCGCTTGGCCTTCTTTCTTAACTCTTGTGCTTCTTTTTCTAAAAGACGTACTCTGGGTAATGGAGCTGCATTGCGTCAGTTGCTTTGCCCAAACCATTGCACTAATGAAAAACGTGTGAACGCGCCTCGCCCACCTCTGCAGCACTGTGTTAGGACTGGACACAGGTCGGGCCGTACCCTGTTGTTCTGCTAAGGCAAATAAAACCCCAAACTCAATCATCTGGTGTTATGCATAGCACAGGATGATGAGGCCTCATGCTTTCAGATGTAGCAGTCTTAACAAAATATGGATATTTAAAGAGCAGGAAAAGACATGTAATGGTGCCATGAACACATATGAAAGACTGTACCACACACAGATAAAACCAAGAAAAAGGATTTAGCAAATGAGGTGGAGACATTCAATGAAGATATCGTTACCATGTGATATCTTCTCATGTTTCAGGTGCAGCCTCTTATAAAGCAAGCACAGTAACGTGTACATTGTATGCGCGTGTGGGTGTGTTGAGTTTTACTTTGTAGGAGAAGAACCTCTTCACACTAAACATCACGATGTGTGGTCAACCTGCTTCCTGACCTTTCAGAAACCAATGTGTTAATCCAGCGCAGGGCCAGACTGTATTGCATGTTGTACAGAGAGAACATCCCACCATGAGAGAGCCATGGGGGGGACACTGGAAGGAGAAATACTCTCTCTTAATGGTTCCTCTCGTGGGACGACCGGTTGCCTTGACCCGTGGGATTGAGACACAAAGACAACAAGAACAACACTGCACTGTAGTATTAGAATAAAATCCAATCCAATCCAATTTAAAATTGGAGAAAGGCTCACACCAAAACAATCCACATTGATTCATAGTACTAGGAAGGAGCTTTTGGAACACAAGCGTTAAACGGTCAAATAAAACATGCATCTTCCCACACTTTAGCCCCGCTATTATTGCAGGTTCAAATCACATGTATCACCAAACCAAACCGTAATGTATCCCACTTATTGCAGAATGACTGTGATTACATGAACAGGAACATGGAAGTGAAGTAATAGTAGTACTTTGCTGTTCAACGGGGTTACTTGGTTACTGTTGTATGCATGGCTTGCTCCCAATCACCTGTGGGCCACTCTCCTCTGTTCACCTGTAACCTTAAAAAACCTGATAACATGACCTAACCGAGGGCGACTAGGTATACACTGCCACCTAGTGGTCAAAACCTTCAAGAATACATCAGAAAAACCTTTATAGATAAACATGTTAAACGCTCCTGTAAACCTTTATAGATAAACATGTTAAACGCTCCTGTAAATATTTATAGATAAACATGTTAAACGCTCCTATAAACATTTATAGATAAACATGTTAAACAATCCTATAAACCTTTATAAATAAACATGTTAAACGCTCCTATAAACATTTATAGATAAACATGTTAAACGCTCCTATAAACCTTTATAGATAAACATGTTAAACGCTCCTATAAACATTCATAGATAAACATGTTAAACGCTCCCATAAACATTTATAGATAAACATGTTAAACGCTCCTATAAACATTTATAGATAAACATGTTAAACGCTCCTATAAACATTCATAGATAAACATGTTAAACGCTCCTATAAACATTTATAGATAAACATGTTAAACGCTCCTATAAACATTTATAGATAAACATGTTAAACGCTCCTATAAACATTTATACATAAACATGTTAAACGCTCCTATAAACATTCATAGATAAACATGTTAAACGCTCCTATAAACATTTATAGATAAACATGTTAAACGCTCCTATAAACATTCATAGATAAACATGTTAAACGCTCCTATAAACCTTTATAGATAAACATGTTAATCGTTTTGATGCGATCGCACCTCGAGCCCGAGAGTGGTGGAATTGCCTGCCGGAACTTCTGATCCAGTCCAATGATCGAAGGCCTCGTTCCTGAAGCATGTGAAGGCTGAGCGTCGATCCAACTTGGGGGGACTACATGGTTCGACCGTGAGGTAACATCCATAGACAGTATCCACACAACCGAGTCACGCTTTAAGTGCAGTACACTAGGGGGGATAGTGAGAGCTGACCAATGTTCTTATTGCAGGTGTACCATCAATATGAAGGAAAGGCCCTTCAAAAATGCCTGTCTTTGTTTGGTATAGAGATCATCAAAGGTGACTAAATTCAGCTTTATTTGACCACCGATGGTGAATGGGTCAGTATAAAGTCAGCTTTTGTTTTTTTTAAATGCCATGATTGCCAGTTTAATTTAAGAGCATTATGGGCTTGCCAACTGCCAAGGGGCTTCAACAAACAACACACACACACACACACACACACACAAACAGGGAGTCACAATCCAAAGCTGCAGCTAAATGATGATGTAAAATTAATAATAAAAGTAAATGTAAATCCATAATTTCCTGGTGGCAGGATGTCAGAATTGTTATTATTTTGGAGATTGTGTGTGTGTGTGTGGTGATGTTTGTGAGGACCAATTTGAGTGTGAGACCTTCAGAGCGATAACATTTTTGGAAAGTGAGGAGATTTTGGCCAGTCCTCACTTTGAGACGGACCTCCAAAGGTTTGCTGGAGGGTTTGTGTGTGAATGAGCTTTAGCAGGGTTGAGGCTGGGTCGGCATTTAGCTGTTTAAGGTATTAGGTGCTAGGGAATGCATTATGTCAATGAGTGTCCGAACAACAAAGACTGTAGCCCCTGCTGTCATTTTAATCCCCTACTTGTGTTGCCAGTGTGTGTGTGTGAGTGTGTGTCCACATAATTGGAATAATCATGCACGCGCACACACACACTTATACACACGTGCACACATAAACAAGTCAGTGTGTCAGTGTGTCACGTGAGAGGATTAAAACCTAATGTCAGGGACCGTTTATAAGACAAACATGCTTACTTACAATAACATATATTAAGGTGTTGTTATCTATTGCATTGAGTCGACGCGCCCCGCGCAGCGTTCCGCTGTGCTGGTGAATAAACGTCATCACGACATAGTGCCACCGTGACGTTTGCTATAAGGGGAGGGGCGTCGGGGCTGGGGAGTCAATTAAAGCAGCTTGCAGCTTGACTGACACTTGTGTCATCCAATCAATGCTGGTTTATTGCGACAAAACTACTGTTTAGCCCCGTTAGACCCTCACGTTAGAGTTCTCAGTAACGTTACTGACAAATATGTCGGCCTCAGGGAGTCTCTTGGCCACCAATATTACGGGTATATGACAAGATTATTAGTTCATTATTTTATCTTCTTATTTTTCTTGTCTTTAACTTCCGTATTGGTGGATAGGCCTGCAAGACAGAAGCTATTTATTTCAAAGTAGTAAAAAAACAAACAAACAAGTGGCGTCCACCCCTAGCTAGCAGTTAACGTCAGCTACGTTAGTTACGTTAGTTACGCTCGTGAGGTTAGCTGCGGTAACATAACGGAAACGTAACGGCATCCCTTCGGCTAACTAGGCACACGTTTACCGTGGACTGTGTGTGAATTAGCTGGGCGCCGGGGTAACGTTAGCTAGTCCGCGTCGCTGAACCACTTGCATGTACAGTATACGAATGGATGTACCGCCGACGTGGAGGAGCTGTCTCTGCTGAAAGAACACGAACCGGACTGCTACGTCCTGGTCTCGGTGTTTGGACCCGGAACGAGTGGGAGCCCCCTTCACAGGTGAACTGTTAGCCTGCTCCTAGCAGGTGCTAATCAGTGGAGTACTGTTAGCTTACTGCTAGGTAATATCAATGTTATATAGACGATATGCTCCTACGGCACACGGAGCCTTGCAATAACGCGAATGTTAACGTTTCTCTTCGTTTTAAAGGCCAACCGGCCGTCTTTGTCACGGAAGGCTAATGTAATGTTAGATGGTTTCCATTAACGCCAACGATCTCCACCCCACTTGGATCGTTTCATCCTTAATGGACTCGCTGACGTCACGGTCAGCATTCTCATACAGAACGGTTTCCGTTAATACAACGGCCGAATGGAACCGAACGTTATCTAATGGGCGCCCTTCGTCCCGGCTGTTCAGCCGTGTGATCGTGGTCACTGCGCGTCCCCACCCCGGCTCCATGTGTCCCCCACTGTCCAATGTGGACATGTCTTTCGCCAGCAGGCACGGCCAAATTATTATGAATCATCAGCTGTTCCGATAGCACAATTACAGCGTTCTCTGCACGCCGATGTATGGAGAGGATCGATGGATCGATGGGTTGAAGGGGGGGGCGTCTATGGGCGGTGATGAAACGTGTCAGTTCACTAGCTTGGCGCATCCGCCCCCCTCCCCGCATTGAGGGAGACGCTTGTTCGGAAGTAGATGGCACATCTTGGCCGGTGGTGTCCAGCTGTCGGACCGATCTGTGGTCGGGTGACTCCATCCATGGGGGGTCTGTGTCACCTGATGTGTTCTGCGTAATCCCACCGAACCAGCAACGTATCACGTCAATGATCATCTGAGAAAACGCAGCTGTTGCATGCTTGGACCCTTTGGTGCTCATGGAGGCTTTAGTGCTGCCATGACTGCAGCAGGCCCTCCACACCCAGGGAGTGTGTGTGAGTGCTGTACGCCCCTTTCTTAGATGCCATCATGTGCGTGCGTGCGTGTGTGTTTTCGAGCATTTGCAGCATTGCAAGATCCACATTCTGCGTGATGGAGTTAGGATGCACACTTGTGATGAAATGCAATGCAAAGGACTAAGAGTTGAATAAATATCTTGTATCTTCATGGAGCTTGAAGAAATGCAAATGGTGGTTTACGTTCAGAATTCTTTTAAATTTGGGTGTGAGTAAAATTAGGTAACACTCTGGAAACCGAATATTGTGCTGGTGTAAGTTTGCTAACACACTTTATGAGAATCCCCTCCACACATACAACCCCGGGCTCCAAAGACATCCCTACGACTAAGAGAGTTTGGTTTGAAGAGATCGGCCAGACGCGGCCAAAAGCCTTTGCCCAAATTAAATATGTTTTCCTGTAAAACTGCCTGTAAAAATCAGCAATGACTATATGGATATTTGTATTCATGTGTCAAGTTTGAGAGGAACTGTGCTGTGAAGAAGCAGTTTGAGGCTGCTTCCTGTTGCTGGAGGGGTCCATGGATGAGGAAAGGGGGAGGCGGGCCCAAACAGGTGACCTCGTATGTTGACTTACAGAAGAGTCCATGGAGTGAAGGACACGTGCAGAGCGAGCGCGTCTCTCCGCTTGTCTTTGTCCCCACTACCAGCTTCCTCTAGGCGAGCTCTGTGAGGGACGGAGGCCAGCAGCGGCTCTGCTGTTGTTGAACAACACAGAACGCTATGAGTTTTATACGTTTGGTGCGTGTGTGCTACTGCGGAAATGACCCGATGGGTCCTGTCCGCTTGAACTGATGCTAATTAGAACAATTTACATGCATCTAAGAAATGAGTTGCATCTGCAGCCTGTTACTGCACTTTAATACAGATGTTTGCTGATTTAGAAACCGCTAACCATTTAACTGATGCTACCGGTACGGATGCTTTCAATCATCTTATTTCATGCGACCAAGACGTCCACTGGTCAGTGTTCTCTGGTGACCTCAAACCTCGCTGAGCATTTCTGTTCTGCACCTGTACTGAAGGTTGAACTAATTATGTTTTAGGGTTCAAAGGTCACTGGGACATTCTTCAAGAGTGTACATTACCAGTCAAAAGTTTAGACACACTTTCTCACTGAATTGAATGTGAAAATGTGTCCAAACCTTTAACTGGTTCTGTATATTCTGTATATACAGAGTTTCTCAAGTTCACACAATGTCTAACAGGAAAAAATGATGGAGTTCATATTTCACACATGAAAATAAGCAACCAGTACGTGTGAGTTCAGAATAAAATGAATGTGACTAAGGCGTCGTTCCTCTGCTCTGTTCTGCAGGTGCATCGCGACCAACCATCAGACTGGATCCTCTTCTGGGTTTCATCTTTAAAACCCCTCCTCTGTGTTTTATTTATTTTATTCAAGAGCTCAGCTGATCCGCACTGAATCCTGCCCTGAGGTAGGGGAAGAATCCAAGCTTCCACACATAGAAACCACTGTTTTCATTTCCTTGACTTTGCTCCGAAGAGGCTGTGTCCTCCAGGGGGTTGCTGTGAGGGGGGGCTTATCCAGGCCTGGGAGCTCTGCTGGGGAGGACTGGCGGTGACATAACCAACAAAGTCCGTGCAAGGAGGAGGCCGTGAGGGGTGGAGGGGGTTGCTGGCTGATGTGTGAGATAATACTACTGTCTCGTCATACATAACCCCTCACGCTCCAAATGTGACCTTTTCATTTAATTCCCATGGATACCAATGGATGCTCCACTGGGTCTCCCTCCGCACGTTTTGGGAAGAACCACACGGCCACTTCCTGCTTTCTGTCTTCCAATCACGTCCCTGGTGCGGCCGGCAGGTGAGGGGGTTTGAGGATGCCCCGACACAGGAAAACCAGGCTACTCTACCGGCCCGTTTACAGACTGCTGATTTTAATCCCAGTGCTGGACTGAAAGCCAGTTGTCTCCGTCTCGACCAGAGAGCGAGGGCTGCTCCCGTTTCATCTGCAGAGCCTTTCCACGCGTCGCTCCGGCCGTCTGGGGGCTGAACCGTCGATCGACGTGATCTGCGACTCACGGACAAGTTCCCATTTCTACTCTAAGCTGAGGAAAGACATCGTCTCGTCTGTTCCCCTTTGTCTTTCCTTTTCAAGCTTTCCACTTTTCTTTCAATGTCATTCCTTGCGTTGTCTTTTGACCCGTTGTGTAAGCTCGTACCTCCCACACCAGGCCTACCTCTACCAACTGTTGTACCTCACTGAACTGACCTCCCGTCTATGGTCGAATCCCACATTATCAGCTTGGCTTCCCTTTGGGTTCCACGTCCACAGGAACAAATCATTAGAAAAAAGGGTTTTAACAACTGTTTTTATATCTCAATTATGGCCAAGTTGTTTCCTTGGCACTGCAGTCATGTTTCTCACTAAGTCTTCATCCACCTTGTTTTACATGAAGCCGATTCTTTGTGCGTAATTGATTAACACATGTGGGGTTGAACAGAGTGAAACTAGGGTTGTGTATTTACCTGCAGAGCTTTAGGAACACTCTGCCCCCCCCCCCTCCCCTCTTTACAATCTGTGGCTTATTTGTTCGTCCTGCCTTCCCACCTGTTTACTGGCTGACAAGAAAAAAAGGCTTTTGACTTGTAGGCTTATTTTAATCTCCCGCAGTCAGGATTGACCTACGAACTTAAGCTCCTCAGTGTGGGGAAGAAAGTGTTTTGCATTTGCCCACGTGAAAGAGGACCCCCCCCCCTCATTTATTCCTCCATCTCTTTTGTATTGTATTGTCCTTTCACCATCGTTTTTGTCCCCGAGCTACTAACCCCCCCCGCCAAACAGAAGTTACAAACAAAACAGGCACACACTTCCACCCAAAGGAAGTGATGCCAGGCGTCAGCAGCAAGAGCAGAGGGCGGGGTCCGTCCTCGTCGCCCCTCCCGCACACCACGGTCCCGACCGCCAGACCCCTGAGACCCTCCCGCTACGTGCCGGTGTCGGCGGCCACTTTCTTCCTCGTGGGCTCCACCACGCTCTTCTTCTGCTTCACGTGAGTAGCATCACCCCGTTGTCTCACACGAGTAGGCGGTTCCCAAGCTGCGCTGAAAGGACCGCTTCATGTCCAACATGTCCCCCGCGTCTGTCTGCTTGTCGTTTGGGTTCGCTCTCACAGCAGAGAGCATTCTACGTGGGAAGTATCAGCAGGGAAAGCTTTTCCCCAGGAGGACACGTGTCCTAAAGCAATGATGCGTTGGACACTTCACAGCTGTAAAACAATCATTGGCCCACAATCAAAGCAAATTCATTTGATTGACTGGGTTAAATAGCTTGATTAGGCCATCAAAATCATAAGTACAAGTACAAATGGGTTGAACTGACCAAGGAGCAGATGAACAATTTTCCAAATGCCCCATTTTCCTTATTATTATGATGACGTAGAACCACGTAGTATCTTAACTACATAAAGTAAATGGGGACTAAAATGGCAACCAACCACATCACTAGTTTGAAAAGCAAGAGCAACACAGACCCAATAAGTGTAAACTCCATTCAAGCACTTTACTCCCACGTTCCTTCACTGACGGCCGACTAATGCTCACTCACACACCAATGGCGGCATCAGAAGGAGCCTGGGACCAGAGCGGCCACGTTGTTTTTTATATGCGACGGCACCGTCATTGAAGATAACCTCATCGGAGAACGCAGCTGACCTGAAGAGCTGGATGAGATGGTTAGATAAGATCACGCTGGGTTCTGGCTGGCAATCAGACAGTAGAGCGATGAAGGGAAACGAGGACAAAGGAGATAAGGAATAATGCAACGGTCCAGGCAATCTCTAGACCAGGGGTGTGAAACTCAAGACATACTCTCCACTTTGATGTCACGCGGGCCGGACCAGTAAAATCACCGGCCCTGGTCTGGTCCACCAGAGGTGAGGGGGGTGAGCAGACGCGGATGGTCCGGTCGACGGCGGTTCGAGGGGGCGCTGCTGCCTGGAGGAACGCTGTCGTCGATCCTGGTCTGACGCATGCGCTCGCTCAGTGCGCCCCCCAGTGGACTTTTTAGGAATAGCAGCTACTTTTATAGAACTACAATTTATGACTTTCTGTCATTTTTACACTTCACCCGGCGGGTCGTATGTTTAACAGCCCGGCTCTAGACCGTTTATTCTCCATCGAGTAGCAGCATACTGGTGCTAAGACCAAGTTCTGAGTCATGTGCTAAACGAGCTGCTCTCATAAGGCACAAAATAAGGCATTCTGGATCATTTCACTGCAGCTGCTAAAGGGAGGGGACACAAGAGCTGCTACGTCCATGTTACGTCCATGCCGTATCCATACTACGCCAATGCTACGTCCATGCCGTATCCATACTACGCCAATGCAATGTCAAAGCCATGTCAATGCCATGTCCATGCTACATCTGTGTTATGGCAATGCTACGTCCATGCTACGCCAATGCGACAATTTAAACCAATTTACAAGTGACTTTGTCATCAGGCTCCGGTTCACATACGGTGAAGCTTTAGTGGAACACGTACCCATCCTTAATATAAACCGCATATGATAATGCAAGTGGGTGTCTGTAAGTCAATAGTCGTTCCTAATCTCCCTCTCAACGTGGTACAAGTAGCAACGTGTGTGTGTGTGTGTGTGTGCGCTGTCAGCTCGGCAGATTAGTGAGGAGAAAATAGGCCAACATCTGTCACTCTGACAAAAGCCCATGATCTGTGTGTGTGTGTGTGTGTGTGTGTGTGTGCGCGCAGTCCCACTTCCTCCTATTGTCTCAATGGTGCATTAATACACTACACAAAAAGGCAGACCAGTTTTCCAAATAATGCATGAACGACACACAAACCTCCTGGGAGACCATTAAGCGGTAGACGGTGGTGATTCTTTGATTTAAGGGTTTTAATTTGGATAATAATTTGCATGACTATGGTATACATGTAGTAACTAATAAGCAAGCTTATTTTTCTTGTTCGCTGTTTGACCCAATGACTGGAAGCAGTGAGCAGTGTCCATCAAATGTGGCTGAATGTGCTTTCATACACCTCCAAATATCCTACTTACACATCACATTGATTTGTTGAAAAGCAAAACGATGGACGTAAAGAACTGGATGGAACTGCCAGCTGTGTCCTTTTCAACGATTCCCTCACTTTGAATCGTCACACTTCTACAGGTTGATGTGTGATAAGAGCCCGGGGAGTCTTAAAAGAACTCATCTGTAATCCAATCGGACCCCAGCTGTTAGAAAGTATGTAGGAAGTCTGAATAATGAGACACAACGGCCCCCTGTGTCCCGTCCCAGGTGCCCGTGGCTCTCGGAGCGCTTCTCCGTGGCTGTGCCCATCTACAATGGAGTCATCTTCCTCTTCGTCCTGGCCAACTTCTGCCTGGCCACGTTCATGGACCCGGGCGTCTTCCCGAGAGGTGGGTGTCTGCTAGCAAAGCGATAGCCGTGCTGCTATCACAAAATGTCAGGTTTGCCTTTTGGCTTCATTATTAATGCATACACATGTAGTTCAATGTATTTCAGGAGCTCAGTTCACACACAAAGACGTTGCTGATGACATGGGGACATCAGCTTCTGGTTGATCAGTAGAGGGAGCGTTGAAGCAATCGCAATCTGCAGTCTGACCACTGGCTCACCGCTCCGTCCAGCGCTTCCATATGTTTATGTGACCGCGTGTGTCCCCTGTTCCTGTCCCTGCAGCCGAAGAGGACGAGGACAAAGAGGATGATTTCCGCGCTCCCCTCTACAAGACCGTGGACATCCGAGGGATCCAGGTCCGGATGAAGTGGTGCTCCACCTGCCGCTTCTACAGACCGCCACGGTGCTCGCACTGCTCCGTCTGTGACAACTGTGTGGAGGTGAGCGACCGTTTACCGTCAGAGGCGTGTTAGATCTGTTGTTTTGCTTCTGATCGCGTCAAAATTACAAACGGTCTCCACTGCTTCAGTCCGGTTCTCTCCTGCCAACAGTCCCTCGTATGCTGAGATACTTCTAGTCTAAGCCATGAGAGACGTTTGGGAGTTTAGTGACATTTCAAATATGATGTGGTTAAAGCCTTAAAGCCTTAACAGGTTAAATTGTTTTATTTTCTTCTTCTTTAAACTAGAACACTAGTCCTCCTTCAGCTCAGTGGTAGTGACCTGAAGTCGCGTGACGTGGTGTAGTTCATTCATTCATGCTTTCATTTGTGACGAGGATCTCTCTGAACAAACATTCATCATGGCACTTGAGATTGACCGGTGGACACTGACTGCTAAATGTGTTGTTTTGGACATACTGTCATATGTATGGCACGGAGTCCCGTCACAGTCGCAGTGTAGGACGTGTGGGAGGATGCAGCACTCTGATAGCTGTATTCATCCAGTTCCTTTTGTCTCTCCACTCATCTTGTAGGACTTTGACCACCACTGTCCTTGGGTCAACAACTGCATCGGCAGGCGGAACTACCGCTACTTCTTCCTCTTCCTCCTGTCGCTGACGGCTCACATCATGGCCGTGTTCGGCTTCGGCCTGCTCTTCATCCTCTACCATCGGCAGAGCGTCGACCGCCTGCACGCCATCGTCACGTATCCTTCAAAGCGCTGTCCCTTGTCCATTGGCCATTCATTAAAAAGCGGGCTTTGTCCGTCTGTTCGGGTCTCTCGAGGTTCCTTGACCCCCTGTGCTCCCAGGCTGGCTGTAATGTGTGTTGCAGGCCTCTTCTTCATCCCTGTTGCTGGCCTCACTGGTTTCCACATAGTGCTTGTGGCCAGAGGCAGGACCACCAATGAGCAGGTAGGACCATTGATCCTGCAGCTGATTTCCAAACAAAGAGGTGCTTTTAGGGGGAAATAAACAGCCTCAACAGCCGCTTTGGACTGAAGATCCAGTAAAATACACATTTATAGTTTGACGCTTTTTCACATTTTCCACACAGTTTAACATCAATGACAACACTCACCTGTCCTCTAGGTAACAGCAGAGCAAGCATATAAACCTGGTGCATCCCTGCATTCCCTTCTCGGTTCTTTTTGCAGGTCACGGGGAAGTTCAGAGGAGGTGTGAACCCCTTCACCAACGGCTGCTGGAACAACGTCTCTCATGTTCTCTGCAGCTCACAGGCCCCCAGGTGCATTTCCTGTCTCCGGTTGTGTGTTCATCAACATTACATATTCTTGCCTAAAACCACATAACAGTTCTTCTGTGCAGCCAGTATTTGCAACTACATAAGTTTGATGATAATTAGCACATTTCAGCAGAGCGTAAAACTGCATTCACAGCAGGAGGATAGTTTCCACCAAGAGTCCTGCTGATTTCATGGTTCCTTCAACCTCCTGTGTTCTTCGTTTCCATGGCGCTCTAAAGACCAGGGGCCTCATTTATAAAACCTTGCATAGGATTTGCGCCAGAAGTGGCGTACGGATGAAACGTAGGACGTGCGTACGGACAGAAATATTCAGACTTATAAAACCGTGCGCACACACGTCCTACGCAGTTTTCCCCTAATAAATCACTTCTAAATGCAGCGCAGCTTTTGCGGCTTCATGTCACGCCCATAGTTGGCCATATATAGTCTGTGGAACGCCCACAAATGAATATTCATCGATTGCGAAATCATGACAAACACTGAGAGGAAAACGAAGAAACGTGACTTCACTTGGTGTGAAGTGGAAATGATCATTGGGAGGTGGAAAGGAGAAGTAAGATGCTTTTTGGAGGGCACAGTGTGGGCATCACTGATGCCAAACAGGCACTCGAGTGGCAAAAGGTTGCAGAGCAACGCTGCAGCCTCACAACCTGAGACCCAAATAAAGAAAAAATGGTCTGATATCAAAGTGGATGCAAAAAAGCGTCCACTTTGATGTCAGACCATCGCCATCGCCAAAGTGTGTCTGCCACAGGTGGGGAAAGGGGACACCGGAGCTGTCCCCTCCTGATGAGAGACGGGCGGCAATGATTGGGGATCGGGGTCAGGGTCTGGGCCAACATCGGCGTCAGGGGGTCGAGGCACGTTTGGAAGCTGTGCCACATCATGTAGCACAGCACACGCAGCACGATGTTGCACACCTTTTCAGGAGTAAACAATAACCTCCCTCCAGTGCAGTCGAGGCAGCGCCATCTGCCCTTAAACAGGCCGACGGTGCGCTGCACTACAGCGCCAATCCTTCCATGTCCCACGTCTAAGAGCGCAAGATCAGCCATCAGCGTCATCACGCATTGTGACGGCATCATGGCATTTTATTACCGTCCGTCTGATTGCATCTGACAAGCAACAGCTGTGTTTTGAGGATGAATTGCATAACATGCCAATATTATTGCAGAACATATTTCACTTTTCTTTCTGAAAATGTGTTAATTTGTATTTCTGTTTGTTTTACGCTGCAGATCGATCAAACGGGTGTTTGTGTTATTTATGAGAGGCAGTATTGGCATTTCTTCTACAACAATCTAGTTTTACACACTTTCACGCACGTTTGCGTGTTTCTTGCATTTGCCGACGGTTCTCATTTCACCCGTTTTTGTGCGTACGCATGGGTCCGAGCTTGCGTGAAGGGCCGCACGTTTTTCCGTCAAGTTTGCTTTTTATAAATACCAATTATTGCGTAGAGCGGCGTACGCCTTCTTTTGTGCGTACGCAACGTTTATAAAAGAGGCCCCTGGACACTCGTCATGCACATAGAAAAAGAAAATCAAACTTTGTTTTGTCTCACTGTTTCTCTTCTATGTCGTTTTTAACACGAGTTTTTAACACGAGTCACAAAGTGACGTTTAGCAAACAAGGAGAGCGTCTCTCCTCGCGTCCTAAAGATGAAACTGGTCCGTGAGTCGCTCAAAGGGACAAGGCAGCTCCCAGCGGTTTGTTCTGATGACGTGCACACGGCTCATCTCTGTGCTCCGTAGATATCTGGGCAGAAAGAAGTGTGTGCAGAGCGTGTGCGTGCAGCCCCCCTTTCTGCGGCCACAGCTGACTGAGGCCCAGCTGGCTGCAAAGATCCTGGACAACGGCATTCAGGGAGACCTGCACCGGGTAAGAACAGCTGCACAGCGGCGGCACCTCCCTGTGGGATGAACGGAGCCGTGTTACGGCCTTTGGAATGCCCGGGGGTACAGGCTGGGGGGGGTAAACCGGCACTAGATGGGCTAAAGGTGAAACCAAGCGGGCCGTGACATTTATTGAAGGAAGGACGTCTCAAAGGCCACAACAACGATCAGAACCCCCTCACTAAGTAAAAAATAAAGAATTCAGTTCAGGTGGAACCAAAGGGGGACAATGGGGAGTTTATAGGGAGCTTTCTGCTGATCACCTAACACACACACACACACACAGCTCCCTTCTAAAGGGCGGTGTGCCTGTGGGGGCCCGCCGTATGTAGGGTTGCTTATAGGCCAGTCCAGATGGCAGCAAGAGGTTTAAGAGCCAGAAATCCTCAAAGGTCACATTTGTCAATGCGAGGCGGTCCCATCTATCAGCTTGTTGTTCTGCTCCCACAGCACAACAAATACATCCATTTATGTACATTTACATGCACCTTCAAAGTGTGTTGGTATTGTGTTGTTTTCCATATGGCAGTGTAACAAATGTAACAACAAGTGTAGCGATCCGTGTCTTTCTGGTTCTTGTGACGGGTCTGTGCAGACTGGACCTAAATGATGTGTACACCGAACCATATTTCAGTCAGCTGATTGTGATTCTTTGGGCTTTGCTCTGACTTGTATCCAGTCTAAGTCCAGTCTGGAGATGATGGAGAGCCAGTCCTGTGACGCAGAGCCTCCCCCTCCTCCCAAACCAGAGCTGCGCTACCCTGGAATCCCCAGAGGAAACCCAGAGGGTAACGCTTCATCTCCGCGTCCTGTTCCCATCCCGTTCTACGTTGACTTCACCTGACATTCTGTACTCTTTGTCTCCCCACCTTGATGCAGAGTGCCGTCTGCTCAACAAAGCCCCCCCCACCCCCACCATGTACAAATACAGGCCGAGCTACAGCCCCGGCAAGAACCACACGGCGCTCACGCACGCTTACGCCAACCAGGTAACGCACTCATGAGTCTGAGTCAACTCGGGTCATCGCCCCCCAGTGCACAGTGCATTGGACCAGCTGCTTATCAGACACACTGGCTCACACTCTTGCCTGCAACAGGGGTCAAAGGTCAACAGGCCACAAAAAGTTAAAAAGTATCCACCCAGTCGGCTGCAGGACCTGTTAGCCAGAACACATGCGTCCAGCTGTCGAGCATAAACTACTTTATTGACCCGGCTTCTAATGCGCAGAGCAAATGTCTCGCCGGTCAGGAGCTTTTATTGTGAAAAGTAAGAGGCGTAGTGCTTCTGGTCTGGGTGAACATGGATCAGACCAGTCAGTCTCCCTGTTGGAGGTTCTCCATGTGTCCTAAGAGTGGTCGTGTCTCCACTGGTGCTGCTCTGTGTTTCTAACGGGTCTCATTACTGTTTGTGTTTCTGTTCCTCAGTGGCTCTCTGTTGATCAGTATCAGTAAGTGAGTGTTCTGGGAGCCTTTTTCTCCTTTTCTTTCATTTCTGTTTGCTCCAGACATGGCTGTAATACTGTTTGAACACATTTAAAAGTGTTTGTATCAAATTCATCCGCCTCTGCAGTACGAGGCTGATGAATTCATATTTGATTTAAACACATCTGAACACATCTGGTCGGCTTCTGCTCAGTATTGGGGCTCATGTCTGCTGTTTGGTTCTCCTTCCTTTCTCCCTGACTAGAGAAGTGTCTCCTGTAGATTCCCCCCAGCGTTGCAGCTCCAAAGCCCCCCTGTCCGCCGCGTAGTGTCCTTCAATATCTCCACGTGTCCTCCTGATGTTTTGTGCTCTTGTCCCCTGAGTCGGTCTCATGGGGAAAACCTTCCCACTTCACTGCCTATAAAAGTACCAACGAAATGAGCTATTTTCTACTTGTTCTGTTCAATTGAAGGGACGATAGTTTATTCTTGATTTAAAGAGGGATGAGGAATATGAGGATTAGTGTGACTTTCGACTTCTTATCAAGAGAGAGATACTCTCTGATTGTACTTCCGCGTTGGGATGGGACGAGAGGGGACCTTGATGCATAATTAGTAATGTAAGATTAGCTTTCCTAATAAAACACTCATTTGGGGGGTTGATCACCATGGCAACAGTTGAAGCTTCCAGGCAGACGGGTGGGTAGATGTAGTAACCTCAAATATCAAGATATAGACATTTAAACAATCCCAGAACTCCAAAATTATGTTTATCCCCAGAATATTTCCCTTAATTTCTTTTCTTTCAAATGATTTGGCTCCATAGCGTCACGGCTACAGCACATGGATGTATGTGTTAAATAACATAAGTCAAGAACAAATGATTGAGAAAGGTGTGTTAGGACTATTGAACTGGCGTTTAAAGTAACATAAGTCATGTTAGCTTTGTGTGTGTCTGTGTGTCTGTGTGTGTGTGTGTTGTGTCGGGACCTGACCACTAGAGGGAGCTCCAGACAAACAGGACTCTGCTCTCTTCCCTGATCTGCTCCGCTTCTTCTTCTTCTTGTTTCTTTTCCTTCCTGCTGCCCCCCCCCCCTCTCCTTCTCCTCCCCGTGCCCCTTCCAGCTGAGTCGAGGCGAGAGTGTCGGCAGTGCCAGGGACTCCTCCTCCTCCACCTCCTCCCTGCTGCAGGCCAGCCAGCAGCCTGGTTTCCGCTCTCAGCCCAGCCTGGACCAGAGGGACGCTTCATCCGACAGAGGGACGGTGGGAAGAGGCGGGGAGAGGAGGGAGGGCAGAAGGGAGGTTGGGGCCGGGGGCATCCCCGGGATACTCCCTGGGCGGACGCTCGTACCCCTCCTTCTCCGACCCCACGGTCCTATCGGGAGGGGCCTCGCGATCTTCCAGCTCCACGCACGCCTCAGCGGGCGGCGTCCACGTCTCCGAGGCAACCACCGCCTCGGCCAGCTTCAAGAGCTTAGCCAATCAGACGCCCCCGCCTCACCACCCGTCCCGCAATGGCAGCCTGTCGTACGAGAGCCTGCTGGCCGGTGGTGATGATTCTGACAAAGTGGGGGCGGGGCCCCGTGAGGTGTCCTCCGGGAGACCCTGCACTCCAGCGGCCGGTGGCCACAACTCCTCCTTCCTAATGTCACAGCACAGGGATGCTGAGACACACTCCCAGTCCTCCCAGTCTCCCCATCACTACCACCACTCGTCCCACCACCACCACTCCTTCCTCCATCGCTCCTCTTCCTCCACGTCCTCCTCCCCGCCGCCTCCTCCACAGAGGGAGCACCCGCTGGGCGAGCTCCACCCCGGCTCTCATCCGCCATCTGCCAATCATTCCTCTGCCCCGCCCCTCCCGCATCATCACCACCACCACCATCACCACCACCACGGCCATCATCACCACCACCATTCCACCTCTTCTTCCTCGACCTCCCGCCCTCCCCGCTTCGCTGCCCCTCATGCACCGCCCCACCACGCTTATCCATATCGCACCCGCTCCACTGACACCCCTCTGGGATCCTCCTCCACCTCCACCACCCACCCTCCTCGCTCCCCGCACCCTCCCCCCCTGGGAAAGTCGCTGTCCTACTCGAGTGCTGCCGCTGCTGAAATGCAGTATAGGCTGGTCCGGAAGGCTTCTGCGTCGGCTGGAGCCAATGCGGCAGGTGTAGGAGGAGGAGGAGGGGGAGGAGGAAGTGGAGGGATGGGAGGAGGAGAAATACAAGCGGCAAAGTGAGTATGAACTTCACCTTTTGTCGGGCCGATTGGTTTGCTGTTAACCCTGAAAACCCCCCCACCTGCCCGCCTGAAAACCTGATGGACTGCTCCTCCCGCTCCTCTTCCTCCCTTCTTCTCTTCCTCCTGCCAGATTGCCTGTGAGTCCTTCCTTCTTTCCCCTTTGCCTGTTTCTCACTGTTCCATGTGTGATGTTTTCCTTCCTGTCCTGTGTTTGGTCCGTTCATGATTCTGTCCTTCTTATGGAAGACACAGCAGTGGAGGGACAGGGAGACAATGTGTCACAAGCAGTGAGATAGGACGTGTAGAACAAGCAGGATGGATGACGTGGGCCTTTTTCAACATATGAAACATGAAGGAAGTTTAGTCCTGAGCCTCATCTCATTCAAGGGGTTATTATGTGCATCGGGGTCAGTGAAGGGCCCCCTGCTGGGGGTCAAGGAGCTCAGTGGGGGGGGTGTTAGCTTTTCACCTCACACTTCAGACATCATAAATGTTTGTTTGCCACAGATCTTATATCATCCAAACCCAACAGAAGAATCACATTTACTCTTATCTGTATATTCAGTTCCACACAGTCAACAAGGTGTTGCTGTTTATTCTTCCAGCGGCATCTCTTCTCTTCCTGTTTGCTTATACCAGGTCATGTGACCAAGCCACATGGCTCATGTATGTTCTGATCATCTTTGTCATCAGGGATGAGCCCATCCAGATGAAACCTCTGAGCCGGGCCAACGGCTGCAGGCCCTTCTCCTCCACCTCTTCCTGCTCCGCCCCCTCCTCTCCCTGTCACCCAGTCAGCGTGTCGGCCCGGCCCGGAGTGGCTTATCCCAGCTCGGCATTGACGCAGAGTCCCGCCCACAAACCTCAGACTGGCGGGGTGAGGAAGGTGACGGGGGTCGGAGGCACCACCTATGAGATTTCTGTCTGAGTGGCATCCAGGCGCCCCCCCCCCCCACCCTCCCCATTTCTGCCTGGACAGAGAGATTTAGGACAACGAAGCACTGAGCGACACCCGGACCTCCATCCAGGTGTGGAATCGCTTAGTGCAGATCTCACTCGCCGTCGGTTGATGGGCTGTAGCGCTGGACCTTGCTGGACTGTCCCGCCTCCAGACATCCACCTCAGTAACTGAGTGAGACCGGTGCTGATGGGGTCGGGACTACCTGCCACTGGGTGGGGGGGTGTCACCGCAGCAAAGCGGGACCCCAATGCGTGTTTGATCCTCACTGTGGCGCGAGGCACCGGTTTGCTCTGGTTCCACACGTTTGATCCCCACTAGCGGCCTCTGGATCGGCTGGGAGTCCAATCAGCACTTCTGGACTGAAGCTCCATTTGAGCTTATGTTTGGAACATCATCAAACTCAAAACCCTCCAGAAGGGTTCGGTCTGCGGCACCAGGACAGAATCCAAGTCAAGGGCTTCTCGCAATGTGATCAGTCTCCAGATGAGGACACAGCTGGTCACAGACTACCTTTAACAGCCTGCACAAAACAGGGATTTTATTTGGCCGTGGACACGCGGGGGGGCTGTCCTACAGGAGTCATCAGGCTGTCACTCAGAGCAGTTCTGGATTGAGACAATGTCCCACACGAGGGACGAGGACAAGCGTGACATTGAGAAAATAAAAATAGATGGTTCCCCATTTGTTTGATTCCTTCCTCGATGTGAATATGATGCCATGTTTGTACAGAATGATGTGATTTTAAATGGGTTTCTTTTTGTAGATGGCGTTCAGACAGCAGCATGCACTATTACTACTGGCCAGTAGAGGCCGCTGTGGACCAAGTGGTCTGTGAGCAAACTGAAGTGAACAAGGAAACCATGTAGAGAAGCCTTTGTCAAAAGGTCCTTAAGACGAGGCGGCAGAAAATTAATTCCTCGAGCAACTGCCTTGAAATGAAAGTGTTTTTATACCACCTATTTAATTTGAAATTGTTTTATATGAATTTATATGGAAATATAGCTACTGTTAAATTCCGTTTTTAATATTGACTCAGAGGGTTGCGCTGTAATCTCTGACCAGACGCCTTATTTCAAACATGGTCTCACAGTCCAGTTGCATCTGTCTAACTGTGAACGTCCTCCTGCTCTCAACCTGCAGTGGGAGATGATTTCAGGATTACCTTCAAACATAAACGAGGCTGCCAGTCTGACAAAATGTGTTAAATGGTAAAACAAAAGAATAAAAAAAGTTGTGATGTAGTGCAACAAGCCTTCCTTTTCCCAGCGAGTCATAAGCTGCGCATTCCTTTCCAAGAAATGACGTTGCGGCTTTGGGGGGGGGGGGTCAAGGGTCAGACTCCCTGTTCGTCTGTGAGACCATCACACCTTCATTGTTCCTTTTTGATTTCAGAGAAGTGAAATAGCACGACGGAAGGATGGCTTGTCTCTTCAGAGTGACCGTCTGGCTGGTCTGAAGGAACATGTCATTGCTTTGTTATGACAGTAAGATGTCCATGCACGAGTTCTCTGGGGTGTCCCCTGGACTCTCCGTCTCCGGCCATGTTGTCTTAACCAGTTACGATGAGATTAATGGAACAGGAAGGGAATCCTTTTTCTGGGTTTGATTGGGACAGGGTGAGCGAGTGGACATTAATCAAAGTGTGTGTGTGTGTGTCAATAAACAAGGAGGCGGAGACTCCCGCAGAGGGGTGGAGGATCGGAGCGCACTGTGTGCAGCATCGCTCCCTTACAGCCTTTCACCCCTCTGCAACCCGTTAGCTACCAGCCGCCATGTTGAGAGCGTAGTGGAGTGAAACGATGGCGTTACACACGCATGACGCCGTTACTGGTGCTGTTTGATTGGATGTGAAGTCTAACCTACATGTATGGGAGTCCGTGTCATGTAGAAGTAACCACTAGCATCGCAACGCCTCGTGTCCACTTTGTTTTATTGCATGAGTAACAAGAACCGGCCGGCAGACTTCTGTCCACGTAAAGGAACCGGTACACACAAGCCTACAAAAAGTCAACTAAAACAGTTCAGGACTAAAATCAGGATACAAGAGAAAAAAAACTGTCAAACAGCTAATCTAAAACAGTAAGTGTGCACATATTTAAAAGCTGCTGATGGAATGTTAGTTGGAAATAATGTCCTCTAAATACAAGAGATGAAGACCAGCTGTTCATTTAATACTGACTGACAGATCTGCATCTCACACGTCTTTCTATACAATAGTAGTTATTTGGTCTGTGTGTGCATCATCGCTGTTGAAGGTCTGGACATTAACTATTCAAAGTAACAGACGGGTCCGAGGGAAACACACAGACGCTGAACCACCAGCTACTCCTAAAACATAACACGTGACCTTATAATTCAACATGACCAAGCCAAAATAAATGAAAGTGCTTTGAATAAAGAACGTCCGGCACAGCAGAAAGGACAGCGATGTTAGCGGACTCACAGCTGACGCATCACTGCAGGTGGACACGTTCTGTCCTCTCGTCTCAGAGCCACTGACACTGAACACAGCAGCTCTCATTTTACACTGAAAATAAATTGAGTTAGAACTTAATTTGCATGAAGAAACACAAATGGAAATGTTAAAAATCTACTCTAGTCTCATTAAATTAGTTGAATAAAACATAATGAAAAAAAAGTAGTATTACATTCACTGCTCCCTTGCTGTTAATTAGTGAGAACTGACGTCACTCAGACTTCACAGCTTTGAAATGTGTGGAAGAAGCCAAAGCACATCTCCAGGCCTTGCACCCAAATACTGGACCAGGTTTTACAGTGAAAAGTCCCAAATTGCTCCCTGCCGAAGAGCACACTTGTTCCCTTTGCTCATTGAAGACCAACAGACTGGAAACACGGGGCGTAGTAGGATGGTGCTGGAGACAGGAAGAGGTACGGTGGCTACTTTGATGCTCACGATGATCCGCAGCCACACCGGTCCTGTTCTTTGAGGGAGAAGATGGAGGAGGACGGGGAGCTGACCTGGACCCACAGCTTCCATCCACCAGTGAAAGCTGAGTGATGGAAAGAGACTTATTTGTCCTTCTTGGATTCTGGCTCGGGAGCCTCTCCGCCGGCTCCTTGTGGCTCGGACTCGTCCTCCTCGGGGACTGGGGGGAACTGGGACTGGCCGACCTTGTCTCCCTTGGTCTTGTTGAGCTTCTTGGATTTCTGGTAGAGTTCGTTCAGGTTAAACTCTCGGATGATGTTCTCCTGGTGGAGAGAGACACGGACGGTTGATACGAGATGATGTGAGCGAACAGGATCCCACAATGACCCACGAGTTATAGTTGTATATCGGAGTGGTCTCCCAGCCTGCTCACAGGGACTCACGCGCTTACATCGTGTCATGTGACCCATAGAGCAAGCCAGCCGATAGACAAGAACCCTTCAACGCTACCGTGGTGTCGTATCGGCCCCCCAGCCCATCCATTACTGAGAGATGTCGATATTGGTTTGGACTGATTCAAAACGTTTCATTCCTTCAGCCTTTCATTAAATAAACCAATAGCAGCCGTGTTTCTTTATGAGTGCATGCATTTAAATGAGGCTGTCTGCATTGGGGCGACACAGAGAGCAGTATAAAAATGCCCCCCCCCCCCAAAAGATAATAAAGTAATTTGTTTTCCTATAACAAACAAGATAAAGCCTTAATGTTAGTGGCTAATCGCTTTGCTTTAATATTTCAGTTGATTCTATTTATGTTTAAATAGACATTAACTGCTACTGCTGTTAAAAAGCACCTTATTAAAGTAAATAAAAAGAATAATCATGCTGAAAATCAGATTCTGTCCCAAGTCTGACCTCTGTGAAGCTCCAGGATACGGCTCTACCCTTCTTGTCCACCTGGGGGCGCCGCATCACCTCCACCCCCCCCTGAAACAACACCAGGGACGGGAGCTGCTTGGACAGCGGAGACGCCGACACTTTGTACCTGCGAGGAACGAACGCACATGAGGCCGCTTGGTAACACGTGTAGTCACGGAAACCAATCCACGGGACGCTTCTCAAAGACGTTTCTTACTTTTTGGAGACCTCTCCATAACGTCCGATGTCCACCTTGCCAAACTTGAGCCCGGCACAGTTGTACCTGAAACAAGAGCAGACCGGTGACTCCAGTAGCTGTCGTCGATGCCGCTGTGTGACCCCTCCCCCTGCTGCTGGGTGGGCGGAGTCTTACTTTAGAGAGAGATCAGCGTAGACAGAAGCAAAGGACTGGCACTCAGGGGACCAGTTGGCGAAAAACTCAACTATCCACGTCACTCGACTGTCTCTGTCCAGCTCGTCCTGCAGACACAAAGACAATAAGGAGACGTTGTACCCGTCTTTGTTCCTGGTGACAAAGTGAAAATTCCAGCGTGCGGACTCACATCGATGGTTTTGTCGCTGAAGTACTTGATGTACTCCGGTCCCATGTAGAGAGGAGGCTTACAGGTCATCAGAAACACTGCAACACACACAGGAGCAGCAGGACATAGAACATATGGGACTGATCCAAACTGGAAATGTGCTGCAGCAGGAAAACTTCACAGATAATGTTGGATTTACGTAACATGGCTGCTTGCGTTTGGCTTTGAGCATCCACAGAGGAATATTTGGCTTTTTACAATCTCTCACACACAATATCAATTATTGAAGAGTCGGTCCAGTTCTTCAAATGTGGATCGACTTAGTTTGATTGATATTAACAGAGATTCAGACATGGATTCATTTTGGGATACAACATCTTGGGAGTTTTATTTTAAAATGAAAAACATGTGCGACTTGGTGGAAATCTAAAAGCCTTGAGTGACAGACGGCAGTTGAGACCGGCACGTAGCAGCTTGGACCCGCCTCCATATGCATATGCAGATGCCATGTAAATGAGTAGCTTTTACCACTATGGCATGTTGGAAAATTTTAATTTTAAAAAATATGCACTGCTTTAAATCTATATACGTTGGTGGAAAATGGTGAAGCATTGAGTCAGACATCCATACCGCTCATATGATGGGAACATGTCATGATTCAGCGTGCCATGGCAACGCTGAAACAACAAAGAGGGACACACGCGTCGGCCGTGCATGCTGAAATGAATAAGCAAAGAAGCCACTTTCCAGTAACGGATTTATGGAACGAGTCAGAGGACGTGCACACACACACACACACACTGTGCTATTTTCAAGCCGCTGTTTTATGATCATTTCTCAGTGAAGTCAGATAAAAAAACATTTACGGGATTTACTTATGGAGGCGGGTTCATGCCCCTACATGCCATTCTGAGATCGGTTCATGCCATTCTGAAAAGGGAACCTGCGACTTTTCATCTCTCAAACAGGACTTTGCATCATAGCAGCCAACACATCTGCAGCAACTGCGTGATGCTGTCATGTCACAGGCATGAAAACGGGGCAATGGTGAAAAAGGTAAGAAGTATATTCAACTGGTTTTGTCCCAGGGACCACCATTCTGAATAGAAAGTAATTTGCGGGCCCACTGACGTGCCTGCACGCGCGTGCGTGTTTGTAACCACCACGACCCCCCCCCCCCCCCACAAATATTCTGGCTCCGCCCAGATAGTCTGGCTCCGCCCCCTTGCTGTCAGAAAGAAAAACAACGAGCAGAGACTCTCCTCGCGAGCAACGTTCACGCTCCGCGAGCGAGCAAATATCTCGCGCGAGACAAAGTTTTGCTTGCGCGAGACCGGACTTTTGCTCGCGGATGTTTGATTTATAACCCTAACCCGCGCATCAACCTGAATTGCGCTCTCGAATTTTGACAGTGATTTGCCGCCCGCCATACCCCCCCCCCCAAAAAAACTCACCGAATCTACACGATTCACGTACGTCACCTATTTTGGTTTCAAAACGGCGAATTTCGCCGAAAGGTGAGGGATTTTCATGCCTGCATGTCAACATGTGGTTGAGTGGTGTGGTTAGTGGTTTCCCTTTTACAGCTCAAGGTGGTTGGTAAAAAGCACATTCAAAACAGAAGGAAGCAGTACACTTGCTAGGGACTATTTTTCACGACGGATTAATCCACACTAGGTGCTTTAGTGAGTATTTATATGTATTCATCCATCCTGAGCAGCGGGGCGTGTGTGTGAGTCGAAGGTGGAACGTGTCACCTGTGCAACAAAACATTCACCCACCCAACTAAGCACCTCTGACAGTGTGTGTGTGGGACGGACTGACCTATGCAGAGGGTCAGGTAGAGCAGTCCCATCCTGATGTCCAGTCTGAAGAACAGGATGACGTTGGCCACTTTGCTGAAGAGGATGATGTTTCCCACATGCTGCTCCACCGTTACTGATGGGAACACAGAGAGACAGTTGCTTTTCCACAAGCCATGAAACCCTGAGCAGCAAAGAACACTCAACCAGTACCGGTTTAGGGTGTGATGTCACTGTTTATTAAACTAAAGACGACAATGGCTTATACTTGGAAGCCTCACAATGTGCTATTGTAACAGAGGGGGACAACCCAAGAGACGTATTATCCATTTTTTCCCTCCGATTTCATTGTGGACACGGTGGAAGAGACGGATCACTAAAACTGACTGGTTTGTATCACCCAAGCGTGATGAGACGACACCTCGGCGTGCTGCTGCTCAGGAGAAATGACTTCAGAAGATTCAGACATTTACTCACTCGCTCGCCTGTTCTTCATCATGACGATGGCACTAAGGAACATGAGGATCTCCACCTCCCTCTGAGAACACAGACACAGAACCAGTCTCAACCAGAGCCGTTTCACACCACCAGCCACATAATGTGTTAATCAGTGGACAGCGATTACACAGGCAGAGTTTTTACTTCTGGGGGTACAGCATGTCTCCTCGTTGATTTGTTAGCTACATTATTATTATTACAGGAGGAATGCAGTACATGTATGTTTCAATCAGCTGTTGGCACACTCGATACTAACCAGGTGGTACATTCAGGGACACTGAGCAGTGCAGGATGTCTGCAAAGAGACCGTGTGCCAACAGCAACATCATCATGCAAGCAAAGATCACACTGCTACTTAAAGATACAACATGTTCTCTTATTGGGGACAACGTCACAGAAAACTCAAAGAAAGTCGAGATTAAAATCATTTTGCTGTCATTGTCTATGTGGAATAACGACCTCTAAATGGGTAAGTAGTATATGATTTGACTTTTGAAAACCTTGATTTGTTTACTCTCCTGCATTAACATTCCACAGAACTGCCTCTTATCAACAACGTGATGAAATGGCTAATGTTATTTTTAAGGGTGGGGAAAAAAAATCGATTCTTCGATTTCTCTCGATTCTCTCTAGAAGGATTCGGTCTCGATTCAGAAAAGTTAAGAATCGGAATTAAAAAAAAAAAAAAGTGCGTCTCGCGCGAGATATTTGCTCGCTCGCGGAGCGTGAACTTCCTCGCTCGCGAGGTTAGTCTCTGCTCGCGCTCGAAGGTGTTTTCTACGCGCTCGCTGTTGTTCTTTCTGACAGTAAGGGGGCGGAGCCAGTCACCATGGTCTCTACACCTGATTGGTTACAAACCCCGTCTTTAGATTGGCTGGAGTGATGCATTCACACAACTATAGAAGCCCATTTCCGCACTAATGTAAGGGGATAAAAAGTCGAAATTATGAGATAAAACGTTGTCAAAAAACAAACGCCCCCCTTCGGTAACCGTAGTGGACCGTAGATGACAACCAGCTACAACCATCATTTACCATCATTACCAGCATATTAAGAGCAATGCGTCCAGCTCGCAGACCGGTCCGTCAGTCTGAATCTGAATATCTTGCCAACTTTACCGAACTATGGAGGAGCCTGCGCATATCTTACCTCATTATTTTGATTTTCCAAAAAGTCGATCTGTATTGAAAGTTGGCAAGATATTCACAGATTTGGACTTTTTTCAGGTATTTTACAAATACGGACCGGTCTGAGACTAAGAGCAGCTTTTTATTCATTTAAATGAAAAATGAATCTGTTTAATATTTATTTTACATAGGCTACTTCCATATTGTGTTGAAATGCAAGCTGCATTGGTTCTTGCATTGTTGATAGAAAATCATATTTGTGACAAAGATTTTTTCTCTTATAAAAAATTCGAGAAGGTCATTCATCTGTTGATTTTCTTTAATTATCAAATAAAGTAGGAAGTGATTAGCATCCTCTGAATAGCAAACTCAGATTTGAGAAAATTTAGAAAATCGAGATGCATCGATAATCGGTTTAGAATCGATAATCGGTTTAGAATCGATAATCGGTTTAGAATCGAATCGTTGACCTCTGAATCGGAATCGAATGGAATCGTGAGGTGCCATGAGATTCCCACCCCTAGATATTTTGCTAAATCGATAATGGATGCAGTAACGGTGCGTTACTCCCAAAAGTGCTGATTTATACTCCATGTAAGCCGTATACTATAGTAATACTCTAGATTACTCCAGCGAGTTATACATGTAGCTGTGTGTGTAGATTTATAAAGCCAAGAAGAAAAACATTATGAATTTCCAGTTTTGAACGGAGGTTTGGCCCGTGCAGCTGAGAGCAGCTGACGTCACAGCTAACGCTAGCCTCGGCTGCGCTAACTCGCCAGCTAGCTAGCTAACTGGCTATTCGATACCAATTCTGGAAAAGCCATTGGTTCATTTCCTGCGATTTCTACTAACCCAGTCGAAGTCGCAGGAGTTGCCGTCCTCTCTATCTGTGTTCAGATGGTCGCAGATGCCAGGCGTCTTGCGGACAGCTAGAAATGCTACTGACATGAAGATGGACGCTATGTAGTAGGGCTTCAGCAACCACTTATACACCTGCGGTAGGTGGTAGAGGAACGCGAGTAACGGCGTTATCAGAGCCATGTTCTAGCAACTGTCTCACTATAATTGAAACTGGAGACAAACCCCGAAAAGACCGAGGCAGCCAAGGATGAAGCCGCTAGCTTAATATGAACGCTTCAACGCCAGCTGTCTGTAGAGAAAGTAGGCAAACAAACCATTTCCGGTGTAGATGTTTACAAAATAAAAGTGATTGTAAATCATATTATAATAAACGGCATGTCAAGGTCTTTACATTTATTTAATTTCAATGTGCAGTGTATTTTATAAACAAATTATATTGATATTTGTATTAACTGCATGTTTGCGTTGCTTACACCCACGGGCGACTTTTTCCCAAACACCTTTAAAATGAAGATAGTAATCCTAACTTCCTGTGGAGCTACTTTACGCTCGGTGGCCTGTGTAGGCTTTACATAGTGAAGTCGGCAAAATTGTATTAAAACCCCATAGGGGCAGAAAGAGGTGCAGACCACCGAGGTCATTCAGGACGAATGGGTTAAACCTAGCGCTGATTGGTCAGTGTAGAGAACAGGTCACTGCTGATAGGTTCATGTTCTCTTTTATAGATGCCTGTGCTAAGACAATTTTAAGACTTGTTTGCATTATTTCTATTGACTGAGGAATTTTTGTAGAACATTATGCTTTTTGTTTTTTACAATTCCATCACAAATTGTACAGTTTGTACACACGTGATATCTCTTAGAAGAAGGTTTAGATCTATATCAATCTTGATCATCTGACTTCCATCATTTCCATCAGGGCCTACAGCTGCCTGCAGGGTTGCACCCGAGGACGTTAGAATGTTATCATTAAAGAAGTTCATAAAGTCGTTACTGCTGAGGTCCAACTTTTAGCTAATCCAGGCAGAACCGGGTGTCCGGTGCCGGGCTGCATGCGGGGTGTTTAGGCCTGCGCCCCTCATCATTTCCTCCAGCGCCGACTGGGAGGTCGAGTCAGAAGCAGAGGAAGAGAAAAAATCCTTATTTGTATCATTTGTATTTGAAGTATGTCACTGCTAGTTTATTTGTTGATTTATTTATGTATCTAACTCAAAATGTGCGTCATCGCCAGTACGCCACCTCCGGCTCTGTGGATGGTCTGGGATTGTTTGTTGTAAATCTCTGGTCTTTCAAGCTTGAAGATGTAGAGAGAAGACTGATTCCCGATCTCTCGATAGTCACAGAAAAATATACAGGACGTTCAACTTTAACACAAGTCTTATGGGGGTGAAAATGATCCTCCAGATGAAAACCAATTTCCAGACTTATTTTTTTAGTGCAAATGTATTTCCTTTATAAATTGTGGGAAAAATCTGCTTTGTCATAGCACAATAAATCCACGTTGTAACATATTACAGTTTTAGCCTTTATAATTACATTTTTGTTAATTCTGTTTCATCGGTTCCAATGCAAAACTTGCATTTGCCTTGAACTAAAAACTGCTTTGATATTTTGAATAATAAAATTCACTCGTTTTCATTACTCGTTTTAAAAGTCTTTTATTGTGGTAACCGGAAATTCTCCGTGGTTGGACTCTGTTTCGTGTTGGTGATCGTCCCAACGAGCGGCTCATGAAGCAGCGACCCAGACGGGATTATCAACAGCACAAACTGGTGAACTAACGAGCATTATTCTGTTTTCACTTCTTCTCGGACCGCACCGACATTTCCATCCGACCGACGTGAGTACACAGGGCGGGCACGATGCCTCCGCAGCCCGCTTGTCATTGACAGCTCCCGTTATTAGCGGTAACCGCGGTGCTTCACTGACCCGGAGAATGACGGGATTTCAAAACGCAAACCGTATATTGTGCTTTTTATTTGGCCCCCGTAAAATAATGCAGTAAATAACAAAAACAGAATAAAATAATAATTTTAAAAACCTCCAAATGTTGTTAAAAAGATGGTTGAACGAGGCCCGTGAAGAGCTGCAGCTCGACGTTATCCGCGGAGGCTCATCGCGCTGCTAGCTGGCTTCTATCCGGCTTTTAGCCTCGCGTCCGCCGCCCCCCCGCACGCACTCAGCCCCTGAACACATCACGCGCGGCCGTTAAATGCGACCACATCAGTGCGTATTAATGCGTCATAACGGACCCCTCGTTCATTCCCGTTATTTGTGAAGTGCCGTCCCGTTAACCCCGCGGCTGTGATATATTAGTGACCTATATTAATCCCTGATACTTCCACAGGGGACTTTACATGGCAGCCGGCTGCTCCGCCCTGCTTCACCCTCTCATCCCCGCCTCGGAACTAACGGGATGACGGAGGGAACCAGCCTCCTCACGTACCGGCACGGGGAGGCGACGTTCACGGGCCGCAGGAATTTCTAACAAGCCGCTGCAGCAGCGAGATTTGAAGTGTCTTTCATTTTGTGAGACGTTTCCATCTTTTCCTGAATGGTAGACCAACCTTCACCGCCATGACAGGAATGAGATGATGTGCCAATGAGAACATCTCTATCAATGTGATACGGTCTCAGATCATCAGATCAGAACATCCATATAACGGTTATTCTGACATCACGATGCCGGCCGTCTCCATCACCTCGTGTCTCTGGACTACAGCGGTCTGACAGACGTTCTGGTTCCCCCTGTGGGAAAGAACAGAGCTACTGGAGTGCGGCGGTCCGCCAGCATCATGGACTACCACGCCGAGTGCTGCTTCTGCGACCCCGAGGAGGGTCACGGCGGCCCGGACGAGCCGCCCCTCCACAGCATCCACGCACCTAATCGGATCCGCCCGTCCTCCTACCGAGCCCTGAGGAGCGCCGTGTCCAGCCTGGCCCGCATCGACGACTTCTTCTGTGAGAAGATCGGTTCAGGCTTCTTCTCTGAGGTCTTTAAGGTATGTGACCCGTCTAGCGATTCAACAACGACTCGTCAGTGGGTGAGATGATACGAAATGAAATCCCAAACAATCATTGTTGGGTTCCTCACGAGGCGACGTCCTAAATCCAGTCCAGCAAGGACACCCTCTCTACAGTACAGCACCATGCATCACTACGTCAGAGGGTGATGCATACACATCAGTCACCACACTTTGTGATGTGATTACATCAGGTGTCAATGTCATCGAAGACATTCAGCAAAGGGGTATAAAGAATTAAATGTTCACAGATTTACCTTCATACAAACAAAATATGATGGAAACCAAATCCAACGTAGCCTGACTCTGCTCATGAATGAATTCTATATATTTTAAGATCCACACGAGCTGATGTTGTGGTTCTCCATCCACACACTGATGGCAGGACTCGGTGTGTGTTGTATCAGACCGCGTACCACAGCGTGTCTTTAGGGACATAATGTGAATGATAACTTCCTGCCTTGTCAGGAGTCCACTCAGCGCCGCCTGCAGCCGTGGAGCCCCATGGTGTGTTTGCTCAGGGTTTATCCAAAGTGGATTCCAGCGCACATTCCTCTGCTCTTATCTGAAACACACACCTACGGACATCAACAACGGCTTTGTATCAACTTTGGACTTGACGTGATTTGGGTCACCAACAATGTAATCTTTATTCATTGTATTCCTTGTTGATAAGAGAACTCCACGGTGACCCAATCCTAATGTTTGATCCGTACCATTCTAACGGTAGAATTTAGCTCAGAGTGTCTGACTCACCCTTCAATAAAAGCATGTGGTGTGTAGAGACCTTTCTCAAGTTCACACTTCCTGTTCCATGGCTGAGGGTTGATTCACATCATAATCATGAATGGAAATGCAATCATAACAACCTCCTCACAGTGGTGCCCCTAAAATTAAATTAACAACCACACGGATACAAAGATGTAGTGGAATACACCTTAAATGTTTACATCTGGTACACAAAATATACTATGTGTTCTTTTAATGAAGCTGATTATTTGTCACTTTTTTTCAGAAGCAACTGCCAGAACCAGTTCATTAGTTCTATTATTACTGGTTCACTGGGTCTGTTATTTCCTTGGTGTGTGCGTGCTGGGACAGGTCTCAGTAATGGGCCAGTGGATTTGTGCAGATCAGGCGGACTGATGGGAAATCCAGAAAGCCTATTAGTGCTACGCTATTAATATACGCGCACACACACACACACACACACACACACGGATGCATGTACTTGCAGGTCCAGACACTGGCGGAACCTTGCAATGACCCGTCCAGTCACACACATGACCACAGGCCCAGCGCACGGGGACACTGGTTCTCTGCTGTGTGGAATGAAGGTCCAACCTTTGACGTGTGTGTGTGTGTGTGTTCTGTGCTGGTTGTCCAGGTGCAGCATCGGATCACGGGGCAGGTGATGGCGCTGAAGATGAACACTCTGGCTAGCAACAAAGCTAACATGCTACGAGAAGTGCAGCTCATGAACAGGCTTTGTCACCCCAACATACTCAGGTAATAGTGTTTATCTGCGCCTGTTTCACCAAATTTTTTTTGTGTGCCACATCAACATTAAAGTTTAAATATGACACCGCATCCCATTTAAAAAACACTGCCGTCAGCAGCCATCGCTACATCGCACACACTCGCACACACACTCACATCGCACCGGGAGGATCTGACAACCTGCTTTAGAGTGAGTGTCGCCTCTTAGTTCAATCAGCGTCCCGCCAGCGCAAAACAAATGGATATTAGAAAAAACAGCGAGCGTCTCGTCCATCCGAAGCATTCAGTCGTTACCTCACTCTGCACTGATTGGAATCCACCTATTAGGCATCCCTGTTCCACAGCACGGACAATAACTCTTTATCTGCGTCCCTTCAGGTTTCTAGGGGTGTGTGTCCATGAAGGTCAACTCCACGCCCTGACTGAGGTAACACCATCTCCTTTTAATACTCTATTTCTGAATGTGTTTCATGTCCCTCTTCCATTATTACGACAGAAACCACACTGCAAAATAAATTGAAATAGGTGCTTCAATGAGCGCTTCAATGATAGTAAACTAGGCTTTCAGTGGTTGCTATGGTTACCAGCAGAAGTTGAGCTAAACCTACTGTAGACTGTTCTGGAGTAAACTGGTCAAACTGAAAACGGTGGTAACCATCATGGAGCACGTGGAGCACATTACAGTGACACATGTCACATATTGAACACATGAAGCCCTGCTAGCACCTTGCAAATGGTAATGACCGACCTGCTGCTGTCTCTCGCCGTAGTATATAAATGGAGGCAACCTGGAGCAGCTGCTGGACAGCGACCTGTACCTGTCGTGGTGCGTCAGGATGGGTCTGTCTCTGGACATCGCCCGAGGGCTCCACTACCTGCACAGCAAGGGCATATTCCACAGGGACCTCACCTCCAAGGTACGGCGCGGCGTATGGATCAGCGATTGTGCTCTGGGAAATCAGATTCAACCTTTTTACCAAGAAACAAAGCGCTTCGGCGGATTCCGCCGGGAGTCTCCTGCTGTGTGAGGGTCAAAGCAAAGGCTCAGAGCCAATGAATGAATGATCGGAGAGTGTTTGTAGCACGTGGTACCAGAGTGCTGTTCAATGACACCAGCAGCGCAGTGGGGTAGGCGTCCCCCATACCCGAGGCACAGATCCTGGCCGTTACCTGAAGGGCTGCCTCGGGTTTGTTTTAAGGCAAGGCTCATTTCAGTCTGAATGCCTTGTTATGCTCAACCCGGGTACACAGATTCTATCCAGATTGATCCTAGAGAGTCTGGACGGAAAAAAGCAAACACATGTTAAATTATCATGACCAACAGTTTGAAACGCGAGACGCGAAGGTGACAGAAGGTGTAACTAGTGTAGCAGCCCGTGCTGATCACACACCCCCTCTGATGGAGAAACAGATGGGATGGTCTTGCGGCGGGTCACGGGATGAACACCTGCTCCGTCAGGTACTCTCTGAACCCACAGAGTCGCCAACATTGAGCCGGGCTTCTAACAACCTGGAGGAATGAATGAAGGGATCAGTACCAACGTGTGTCATTGTGCCTTTGTATTGATTAATATGCTGATTTCTCTTCCCCTGCAGAATTGTCTGGTTCGCTGTGATAACGGCGCGTTCACAGCGGTGGTGGGAGACTTTGGCCTGGCAGAGAAGATCCCTGATTACAGGTCAGTGGAGGGGAAAGCAGGATGCTGGTGTCTATTCTTCCACTGCAGTGAAATAACAAGCCCTTCATGGTCTGATGTCATTCGTAGCCTGTCTAGCTTTATGTGTAAAGCCGACTAACAAAGGATCATCATCTGTTCCAGTGTTTTGCTGTATTTGAACGTACACATCTCATATCTATTGAGGAGCCCAAATAAATGTGCCATTATCAGAGGTTATTTATGCTGAACCCATCTCAGTGTGTCTGTTGTGCATTATATGCCGATGAATGACTCCTTGTGCACAAGCACGTCTTCATCTCGCTCTGCAGATGACTGCATTCTCTCATTAGCCGGTGATTCTTGGTACAGACGCGTCGCTAATACTCAGTTCCTCGTCGGAACGGACTGTAAACCATCTATATGATGTGAAACAATGCAGCGACTAGGACGTGTTGCAGGGCTGCTGTTACAGCGTGCACCTTGCTTCTTCTGCAGCGATGCTGCGGGGAAGCAGCCTCTGGCCATCGTGGGCTCCCCCTACTGGATGGCCCCGGAGGTTCTGAGAGGGGAGCTGTACGATGAGAAGGTACAAACACCCACTGCACTACACCACACTGTTAACACACAACGTTTTTTTAATCCTCGTACACATTTTAAACAAGAACAGCCAAGCCGTGGTCATTTTAGTCCACTCAGGCCTTCACTCGGTGTGGTGGGATGAGTGCAGATGTTACTGAAGCCACACGTGCCGGTACGACTTTTAGTTGCTTAATAGTAGAGTCAAAAATACTCCCATTAAACAGCAGAACCGGGGATACATTTATATGCACATTTAAATGCTCCAAACACAATAAACAAATGACCAAATGTCATAATTCCTTTGACCAGAGCTGTGCGATACACTACAAAAGCTCTGCAGCTCAGTGGTGAAACACTGAAACAACACAAAGCGCTTTCGACCCCTAAACTGTCTGTACCTAAAATCGATCCTCTTACAACAAACAATCAGCATCCCGGTCAGTCATAGTGATTTGATGAACCTGAACCCTTTACTGTCTCATGTGCAGGAAGAAGAAATAAAGACAAATGTTTTGCCATCTCTAATGAAATTGTTTAAAGTAAAATATAAATCCCAGTAGGTAAAACACATAAACTCCCCTTTGTCTGTTTGGACGTTGGGCAAAGACTTCACTGACTGCATGAGGTTTGAGCTGACTACCCAGCTAACACGCACTCCTCTCCTCCCATCAGGTGGACGTGTTTGCGTTTGGCATCATCCTGTGTGAGATCATCGCCCGCATTGAAGCCGACCCTGACTTCTTACCCCGCACAGAGGTAGCCTCCATTAGACAGCTGCTGTTGTGATGTGACACAGAAACAGGTTGCTACTTTTATATTTCGTGGTGGGAGGAATGTGCTCTACGTCGCTGGTCCAAACTGTTTCAGAGAGTCATGGATACTAATCGCAGTTTAACATTTGAAACACAGCACCAAATTGTGAAGGCATCAATGTATGACTCTGAAATGTGTGTGTGTGTGTAGGACTTTGGTCTGGACGTGGAGGCATTTGAGAACATGGTTGGCGATTGTCCGGCTGCGTTCTTGAGCCTCGCTGTCACCTGCTGTAATGTAAGTGCTCACACACGCTGGTCACGGCCTGGAAGCTCGTCGGTGACTGATGTTCACACACTAATTGTCTTTGTGGGGATCACTGTCCTCCCGCTGTTTTCAGATGAGTGCGGAGAGGCGTCCCTCGTTCTCTGACATTGTCCTCACGTTGGAAGGGATGGAGGGAGAAGAACAGAAAGAGGCGTCCATTGCACTCGGTAAAAATGTCTTACGTCTTCATCAAATGAGAAGGATGTCTTTCACTGCACCGCCACCAGTCTGAATACTCTGATCTGTCCCCTGTCCCGGCGGACATTCGTCTAGTTCCAACGGAAATGGATCCCTGATATAAGATAGCATAGAAAGGCCAACACTCGGAGGGTGTACAGCTCTTCTGTTTAATCGACGGCTCGTCCTCAAGTGGATCTCTGACCGGTGTGGAACGTCCTCACGCGGACGGTCTCAGCCTGTTGATCCACGACTGGCTGCAGCGGAATGACTTCTTTTAGGCCTTTCAGGCCTTTGGGCGGTGAACCGTACAGGGTACAGTGGGGCAACTCCCGGACCCTGGCCCCTTCCTACCTCTCCCCCCTAGATCCTTTTGTGAGCCCCTGATGTACAGTAAACACACCAGCACAGTAAAGCAGCAGAGCATCGTACCGTCATTGGTAAACCCCGTTAGAATGAAGAGCAGGTTTCATTCGGCAGGTAGCAGATTGGTTTTGGGATACTTGAGCCTCAGGACCCTGAAGTTTCCCAGTCGGCCTTGGCTACAGCTGGTGTGACGGATGGGTTTCAAACCACAGACAGCCTTGGCTTGAATCCTGGGAGATTAGATTCTGCTATTTCCTACAAGTTCCTCCCAGCATCTGCGTCTTCCACCAATTGCAAATACATGAATGATACAGAAATGTACCGTCTCCAATCCTCATTTACTGTCCATGATTAAACCCGCTCAGAGCATATGATGAACACCTGTCAATCATCGGTGCTTTGTCTCACATTTCTTTCTCCTCCCCTCCCCCCCGGTCAGAACCGGTGGCGGTACAGGTCAGCCCGTATCGGCGCCGCAGCTCTCCGGGTCACCCCGGCGACCGAAGCCGGCAACGCCACGGCTTGGCGAGGAGCCAGTCGGACATGTTACCCTCGGTGACCCTGACCTCTCCTCTCCTGGGGACCCCCCCGCGGGTCAACCCCTTCTCTCTGAGACAGGACCTAAATGGGGGGCGTTGTAAACTTTTAGACACACCCAGCAAGTCGGTCATCTCCTTGACCTTTACCCTCCCGGCGCTTCAGGACCCATGTTCCTCCCCCCACCTTCTCAGAGGGATGCCCGGGACGCGAGCTCTTCCCAGGAGATGCCAGTCCCTCCCGTGTACTCCAGAGTTCAGCCGGACTCTTCCCTTGCTACGGTACACTGAGAGGAAGGAGGAGGGAGAGGAGGAGGACGTCAGATCGGCACTAAGAAGAGGGACGGTGGAGGATGTGGAGGACGACATAAGGGAGGACATAGAGGGGTCAGAAAGGACGAGTGAAAGCCTGCATGTGGAGCTAATGGATATAACTGAGAAGAGAGAGTTGGTAAAGGATGAGCACAGGACGGGAGAGGACGCAGGACTTCCTGTGGAGCTGGAGATGTTGTCTTTGGCGCGGCTGGAGGAGGTGGAGGAAGAGGAGGGTGTATGTCCAACAGAACCCATGGACTGTACCAAGTCTCCGGAGCCAGCAGATGGAGGCATGGAGTGCTCACCTAGTCGGCCCCTGCTCATCTCCTCCTCTTTGCAGACCAATGGCTGGCGACTTCCCAACTCCAATGGACCGCCCTCCTCGCCAGCTCCGCCACCACTGGACAACGGCTCGGCCCTTGTGATTGGCCAGCAGGTGCAGTGGGGCGGAGGAGGGCGTGCCAATGGTTACAGCGAAGCCCAGAACTCTGAGCAGGATGAGGTCATTTCCTGTCCAGGCTGCTGCCTGGTAGGTCTGAGTTTTCCCTTTGTGTGCCTCCGTGGCTCAGCGGCTGTGCCTGCCCCCCGGCGAAGGGCCTCGTTACCGCGGCAACGACCCTACCGTAACCTTAACGTTACCATAACCGGCAGCGCCCCCTCAACAACGGCCTCCACGGCAACCAAAGCTCTACTCTGTCGCAGCACTAATGGACTGGCAGTGGGTGGGCCCTCGGCGTCTTGTGGACCCGGGCGGTCCCTGCCGGAGGCCCAGTCATAGAGGGGCAGCGCCTCATTATGTGGAAATCCCGCCCACTGGGGGGGAAAACATTCGCCCACACAAAATGCAACCAGGGGATGAAAGGTTGACGTGTGCCAGCTGCTAGCTGAATGTGTCTCCATCGGTGGCGACGCGTTAGCTGTTAGCGAGCTAATGCTCTCTATGTGTTGGCAGGTAGACTGTGCCTACTAAGGCAAACTGATCAACCCACATACCGATAACGCCGCAGACTGTCTGAATGCACAATACAAACTGGATAGAGAACCATAGAATGGTTTTCCCCTCCGGCGGGGGCGGGACTTATTTGGGCTGTGTCTCTTTAAGAATAGCGAAGGGGGATTTGGTTGCGGCGGCTGCGGTTCTGACTAAATGGGCCGAGCAGCTCCACAACTGTGCTCGGCTTCTGGAGAAAGTATTTATGTAGTTCTGGCCGTCATTTCTATCTGTAATAATAATGTGCTGTCATCTGTGACCATTCGACCCTGTGTTAGCGTAACTACGATTACATTCAGACTGTTCCTACTTCTCAGTGTTTATTTGATCCTAATCATAGTTATAAATGACGGCCCGAACTACAAAATCTGAAATGTCCTTTGGTATGTAGAGTAGGTTGTGTAAACATTTTGGAATTCATTATCCCTCCTTTAGGAGGAATAAACTGACTGGTTCTCTGTGGCTGCAGGGACATAAGCATATGTAATAACACTGTTATTCAATTGACTAACAGTAGCTGAAGGCTCAATATTTATAACATGTATGAAGAAGATTTACTTCTACGTTTCTACAGCAGTTGACCTGCATGTGTGTGTGTGTGTGCGAGAGGGAAGCTGATCACAATGGGGACTTAAAGGAAGGAACTCTTCCTGGGCTTGTCATGTAAACACTTTATTTTTGCACTTTGATTTTACTTAATATTGCTTAATTTAAATCTGTGCTCCAAGTGGTAGTACTCTGTGTGTGTGCGTGTGTGCTTCTGGCTTTACAAGCTACACACCTCCCATCCTTTGACCTCCACGCCCCCCCACATGTACCTTGGGTGTTTACAAGTACATTTTGATTATACACATGTAACTTAAAAGTGAAGCAGGTATTTGCATATTTATTGTACAGATCATTCCACACACTGTGTGTGTGTGTACGTGCTTTTGAATGAAAGGTAGACTGACAGATACTTTCATAACTTTTTCATCCGTCATTCTAGTGTCATTTCTATGTTCTGTTCTTCTACGAGAAACCTGCAGGCAATAATCTGGTAATAAAGAAATTCGGTTGTGCACAACCTTCTGCGCTGTTGTACTTTGTTTTTAAACATTTAGTAAATATGTGAATGTCAGCAAGAAGTGACACGGGGGTGAGAAACAAAAGTAGACTTTTCTGGACAATAACCCCTCCAGAAGGGGGGGGGGGGGAGGTAGTATAGACTATTACCAGCAGGGGGAGACAAGAATGACAGTGATGATGTTTGAAGAACCGACTGTCAAACAGCAGAGGACGGCTGCGATAACGACTGTTGATTCAACGCACATTAACAAGCGCAATAAGCCCTCTCTACCAGCAGGAGGCGTATTTCTACACAGTAACAGTAATATGTGTGTAATCATATGCGTCAGTGTGGTTGGACCTGTGTTTGTGTGTTTACGGGCACGGCCGTGGTGGTACATTTAGGGGTGGGTAAACTTTTTTTAAATGTTGTGACCAGACAGACTGTGATGCAATGCAACGCGGCAGGCGACTGTGAGGCTGTGGCTGTTTTCCATTATGTTAACAAGTCATATCTAATCAATGAGAGTAAATGCTTTTGACCATAAAGAAAAGTATGTGTAGACCTCACAAAAACAACGGGGATGGAGAGGGAGACCAAAGGAAGGCTTCTGGAAACAGGCCCAGGGGTTTACAGCTAAAAGGTATAATGCATTAAATACTTTAACCGTTTGGAAAAATCAAATGTCAACACAACAAGACAAGTGCTGGAATAAGAACCGTCTTGATCTCCTCCTTGGATTCCTGGGTTCATAGCTTCCCTGTGCTTTACCAGCCAGGGCTTCACATACTGTGTTGGAATGAAGTTCATGAGCGGCCATTAAAGTTAGTAAACTTCGAGGACGACACTGGGGCATCGTGCAGTCTGCATCTCGGGTGGAACAACACGACGCTCTCACGCTCAGCAGAGATAACTGCAATGAGAAGGTGGATATTCATGAGTGGTGCGAGGTTTTCTGGAGTGTTGCTTGAGTTATCCTTGAAGTCCCCCAGTTACTTCTGAATTTCTCTTCTGGGCTTTATTTTCAGATGACACACTCTGTTGCTTTGATGAACCTGTAGTGAACAATCTCTTCCTCCAGAACTCTGATGCAGTTATCTGCTTCACCCTCGGGGTGCTTCTTGATTTCCGTTCAACTAATGTTTTTCTGCAGATTCAAAGGCCTTCTGTCACCTGGACAGGTAAACACCGAGGAAACAATGCAAATCGTTCGTCTCATCCTTGTGTCTGCTCTTGTGAGGTTCATTCATTTGCTTGCAGGTTTCGAGAGAAGTGGACAATCTCCTCTGGTGAGGTCACACGTTGTCATTTTCATCTCTTGTGACATCCACTGAAGCAGCACTGAAGTGGCGATACAGGGCATAATTCCACACAGCTTTCAGTTCTTAAACTGCGGGCTGCCCATCTGACATCAGGAACACTCACAATCCTTTGCAGATTTACTTTAGCCATAAGGTACGAGAGGCAGTTTAGTATCAATAATGTGCTGGTTCAGAGTTTTCCGGCTCTCTGCTATGAGTTGGACCTGACAACACTCTTGAACAGTGACAATCCAATAGTGCCTTGTACGGTGGCCCTGAAGTGCAAAGCACAACGGCAAATAGGAAACACAGCGACATTAACTTCTTACGGAAAGGGCAGGGCCTTATAGCAGAGGACGGACCCTTCTGATTGGACAGACGGACTGTCTGTCTTTTAACCCTCTTAATCTGAAGCCTTTCGCGGGCGATGGAAAGTGACGTGGAGGATTCAAATGACCGTGACTCCTTGACTATTCGCACAATCGGATTCTGAAAGCTGAGAAATGCCGCTTTCTAGATATTCTTTCAATCAATAAATCAGAGGCGGGACTGAGAAGTGACGCAGCAGAAGAGCTGCAGCAGAAAGTCACGGAGAGATGACGATGTTTTACGAGTGTCTTAGAGTTTCACCATTGTTTTACCGCTGTTTTGTTGTTCAATTATATTTAGGTGTTGTAAATAAAAGTAAATAAAATGTGTGGGGGGCGCGGGCGGTATGGCCGGTGGACTGTGTGGAGTCTGATTCCTTGGCGTGAGGAATTGGATGTGTGGCGGCAGTGAGTGACTGTCTCGCTCAATGCGTGACACTTGAGAGCCCTGAGTCATTTCCTGTTAAAAGACAGACAGTCCGTCTGTCCAATCAGAAGGGTCCGTCCTCTGCTATAAGGCCCTACCCTTTCCTTAAGGAGTTAATTTTGTTTGTGTGTTTTCCTACTTGCGTTGTGCGTTCCTATTTGCCATTGTGTTTTGCACTTCAGGGCCACCATAGTATTGAGTACCTTATTGCTTTTATAATAAGAGTTCCAGTGACATTATGTGTCACAAACGGGTTAGGTGGAGGCAGGACTCAAACACAGAGTTGAAAACAAAAAGGACTTTAATAGTATAAATGTTTAAAATGGTAAAACGCAGACGGGAACCAGGAACAGGCAGGACACTCAGAGTAGGACATTCAGGATTCAACATTCAATGACGCAACGAGAGACAAAAGACACACAGGGTTCAAATACACTGGGAAGGTGCAGGTGATTGGACACAGATGGAAACAATCACAGGGGATGACAGGACAAGGCAGGAAGTGAAGTTACCCAGGGAGACAACTGGCAGCAGGCAACAGGCAGGAAACTACAAAATAAAACAGGAAACAAACCCAAACGTGACATTATGAATAGGAACTACAGTGGGTACGGAAAGTATTCAGACCCCTTTACATGTTTCACTCTTTGTTTCATTTGCAGCCATTTGCTAAAATCCAAAAAGTTCATTTTATTTCTCATTAATGTAGACTCAGCACCCCATCTTGACAGAAAAAAGTGTAGAACTTTCTGCAAATGTATTAAAAATTAAAACTTGAAATATCATTATAGGAATCTAAAGTTAGTGGGATTTTAAAACGATATGTAAACTAGTAAATATGGCACTTTAGTTTTTGAATAAAACAATCATTTGCTTTTAAATAGCTTGTTCCGACTTTCAAGATGTGAATAAAGGTCACATGGCTGATATTTAATTAATATGAATATTTGTAGACACCAATCGTTTCAAATAATGTCAGCATTATGAAGTGTGTCCCCTCTTTGCAGACACCGTGTAAAGCGCTGCACGGACCGTCGGTGCGGCTCGCTGCTGCCATGCGCGTGTCCGCGGAGAAGGCGCACGCCCGCTCAAACGAGCCGTCCGCGCCTGTCCGTCGGTCCACGCAGCAGTCTTCCATTTTAGCGGCGACCTCACCGGGACAGATGTCGCTGTGTGTCCTGCGAGGGGACACGCGTTATGTCTCCTTGTGAACACACGAATGCATTGATGCACAGAAGCTCTTCCGACGTCCGGCAGATGGAAAACAGCGGTACGTATGGATCTCATTTCACAGCAGGTCTCCCTGCGTGTTTACACACTTTCCTATTTCCATCAGTGTGTTTACCAATGTGGCTTATTCTAACATGATGCGATGTGTTGCATGTATATACACAGATTACATTAATGTAATGTAATGCATGAGACGGGTCATGCAGTACAGAGAAGAAGGGATGGAGAGGATGGGTGGTGCCTTCCCCTCTCTCATCCTCCCTTCACTGGTGACCTGTTCACTAGTACTCTGGTCCACAATCCTCCTGTCATTCTGTAAAGATACAATTTAATTTTTTTTTTTTTTTTAAGAATTCTCCTTAGGACACCTTCAATGAGGTGATGATCAAGCGATGCTCTTTCCCCGTCCTGACAGCCAATTCTGAAAAGTGAATGCTTCATGTGTTCATGGATAGAGCGACACCGGCTCAGTGATAGGACAGGGTCGACCTTCAATCCTGGCTCGCGTTGTGGCCTTGGACAAGACACTTAACACAAGATTGTTAGCACTTTGCCTGCTGCAGTGTGTGGATGATGGTGTGTTTACCATAGAAGTCTTGATTTATTCCCTCAGCAAACATTGTAAACATGGGTTTGTGGTCTCAATCTCCGGTTTCACGTTTTTTTCAATACAGCATGATGTTTATTTAGTAAATGATGGTCCATTTAAAATCAAATAGGCCATCAAGCATGGGCTGCTTTAGGGCGGGGCTTACAGTGATTGACAGGTCTCACTTTTTTTGTCCCTTCTGAGAACTCTCACCATAATCAATGTGTTTTCAGCTCCACTCTCGCATGTCATTTCAAGACAAGAGCCAACATGGCAACAGATAAATATTAAAGGCTTCAAAATGTGAGAGGTTGTGGTGAATACGTCCACTTTCATTCCGCCAGCCTGGGACTGACAACTTAAACATGTAGACATGTAGTTTGTTTCCACCATATTGTGTTACAGTTTTTTTTCGATTGCTAAACGACAGTGGGCACAACTGGAGTCACATGTGCAAAACTCTAACTACAGTCTGCACAGCAGCAGTTCATGTGGACCAAACTCTAGTTCGTTTTTCATCGCTTCAACACAGTTTTCAAAACTCTACACACTTATCCCATGACTTATCCACAACCTGCACAACACTGTGGATTTACAGCACTTTGTTCAAATGCTAACACACTGCTGTCAAAACTGTGAACCACACATTCAAAACGGAACAAATTTCAACCTTGTGCCTTTCAAACACTGCTGATTGCAATTTCAGCTGAAAGGCAAAGCAGGTGTCTTGTTTTAGACTTGTTAGTGAACACACGTCACACACACACACATATATATATTACAGCATATATATATATATATATATATATATATTACAGTATATATAGGTAGAGCAAGACTGATGAGAAAGACTCATTTTGGAAATGGAACAAGGAAGACGGGTTGGTGGAGGGAGACAAAGATAACAAAGAGCTGTTATTTCAGATGAAATAAGGGCTTCACTTATAGACCATGTGGTGACCCACGGTCTCTCATTGAGAGAGTTGAGGGTGCAACCCGATCTGCAAAGACCCACAGTGGCATCTGTAATGCACATTGTCCATCATACAAACAGGTGAGAGGAGTTTTTCTCTGCCTGGAGGTGGAAAGTGTTTGGTCACCACCCACATGACCAAATGTCTCTTTTGGAAGCCGGATGTGAGGACACAAGTCCAGAGGACTGCCAGGGATGGATGAGGACCTCCAGAAGGTTCTTCCCCAGGTTCATGGCAGAGAGAACATTAGATGTGATGGTGATGAAAACCTGTGGCCTGATGCTAGAGAGGCAGGATTGGCCCCTCAGTTATTTGTTCCAATTACAGTGTGTACTTTTAGTTTCTACCTTTTTTTCTCATTACTGTAATTCTGTAAATTACTACAGACTATTGAAGAAAACTGCTAATTTTCATTTACCTTAAAGAATTGTTATGTTCTAAAAATGTCAATAAGTCATGTGAAAGAATGTCACTCTTTTTATTGAAGAAAATCTTACTTTCTATGAAGTCACTGAAATTGTTCAAACTGTAAAGATGAACAGTTAGTATTTTGTGTATTGGTGTTTGATGCTGGTGTTTTTACTCTGTGTGTTCTGAGTGACAGTGTGTGTTCTCTCACTGAGGCTTGTGCACAGTGTTGGCTGCACTGAGCCTGTTTTGAGCCGTGTGTTACAGTTTTTTTCGATTGCTAAACGACAGTGAGCACAACTGGAACTACATGTGCAAAACTCTAACTACAGTCTTCACTACCAACAGTCACCTGAGCTAAACAGTTCACATCACCTGCAAAACTCACTCCAAGCAACATAACTCTTAACACATGGCTCAAAACAGGCTCAGTGCAGCCAAACACTATGCACAACCCTCACTGAGATAACACACACTGTCACTCAGAACACACTGAGAGTAAAAACACTAGCATCAAACACCAATACAGAAAATACTAAATTTTCATCTTTACAGTTTGAACAATTTCAGTGACTTCATAGAAAGTAATATTTTCTTCAATGAAAAGATTGACATTCTTTCACATGATTTATTTTATTTACATTTTTAGAACATAACAATTCTTTAAGGTAAATGAAAATTAGCAGTTTGCTTCAATAGTCTGTACTGTAATTTACAGAATTACAGTAATGAGAAAAAAAAGGTAGAAACTAAAAGTACATACTTTAATTCTAACAAATAATTGAGGGGCTAATCCTGCCTCTCTCTAGCATCAGGCCACAGGTTTTCGTCAACATCACATCTAATGTTCTCTCTTGCCATGCACCTGGGGAAGAACCTTCTGGAGTGCCTTATCCATCCCTGGCAGTCCTCTGGACTTGTGGCCTCACATCCGGCACGCATGGCTTCCAAAAGAGACATTTGGTCATGTGGGTGGTGATCAAACACTTTCCACCTCCAGGCAGAGAAAAACTCCTCTATTGGGTTGAGGAAGGGTGAATATGCAGGAAGGTACAAAACTATAAATCTGCAATGTGCTGCAAACCAATCTGTGACAGCTGCAGAGTGGTGAAAAGCAACGTTATCGCAAACTATGACAAAAACTTGGGGGTTTCTTACTGGCTCCCCCTGTTCTGCTGGCACTAGCTGAGCATAGAGCTGTTCTAGGAAAGCTATAAGCCTTTCTGTGTTGTATGAGCCAATGAGTGGTGTGTTGAGAAGCAAACCATCATTGGCCATTGCAGCACACATGGTTATATTTCCCCCCCTTTGGCCTGGAACCTCCACAGTGGCCCTTTGACCTATAACATTCCTTCCTCTGCGCCGTGTTTTGGCAAGGTTAAATCCAGCTTCATCGATAAATACAAATGAATGTGGTGTTTCCAGTGCTTCCACCTCCATTACTCTCTGAAAAACAGTAAGTGCACAGTTTACGTAACTGTAGTAATGCTAGTGGTTTTTTTACTGTAAATATTTTTACAGTAATAGCTGTGTATGTAACCTCAGACGTCTTACCTGGACATATTGGTATCTTTGCTCTTTTACCCGTTCACTGTTCCTCTCGAACGGTACAGTGTATAACTGTTTCATTGTAACTTGGTGTTTCTGTAGGACTCGAGCAATAGTTGTTGTGCTGACAGAATTAACATTTTCAAATATATCATTATCAGCCAGCACTCTATCTTGAATCTCCCGCAGTTTTATTGCATTGTTGACAACAACCATGTCAACAATAGCATTGTCCTGCGCATCTGAAAATATTTTTGCTCTTCCTCCTGTTGGGGGCAGCCTTTGGGTCCTGTTGTAAAAATATATTTTACAGTCAAACTTACTGTAATATATATTTGTGTAAATATTCCATAATTGCAATACAAAATAAATTCCTGTAATGTTTTCATTTACTATAAGGATGTAACTCTCACCTGTTTGTATGATGGAAAATTCGCATTACAGATGCCACTGTGGATCTTTGCAGATTGGGTTGCACCCTCAACCCTGCCTCTCTCAATGAGAGACCATGGTTCACGACATGGTCTATAAGTGTAGCCCTTATTTCATCTGAAATAACAGCTCTTTGTCTTCTTTGTCTCCCTCCACAAACCCGCCCTCTCCCTGCCACCCTTCTCCCTCCACGAACCCGTCTTCCTTGTTCCATTTCCAAAATTAGTCTTTCTGAGCTTTACCTGTGTATATATATATTTTGTGTGTGTTCACTAACAAGTCTAAAACAAGACACCTGCTTAGCCTTTCAGCTGAAATTGCAATCAGCAGTGTTTGAAAGGCACAAGGCTGAAATCTATTCCGTTTTGAATGTGTGGTTCACAGTTTTGACAGCAGTGTGTTAGCATTTGAACAAAGTGCTGTAAATCCACAGTGTTGTGCAGGTTGTGGTTAAAGTCATGGGATAAGTGTGTAGAGTTTTGAAAACTGTGTTCAAGCAATGAAAAATGAACTAGAGTTTGGTCCACATGAGCTGCTGCTGTGCAGACTGTAGTTAGAGTTTTGCACATGTAGTTCCAGTTGTGCTCACTGTCGTTTAGCAATCGAAAAAAACTGTAAGAGTTGTGTTGCTTGGAGTGAGTTTTGCAGGTGATGTGAACTGTTTAGCTCAGGTGACTGTTGGTAGTGCAGACTGTAGTTAGAGTTTTGCACATGTGACTCCAGTTGTGCCCACTGACGTTTAGCACTCGAAAAAAAACTGTAATAATAGACTAGAGAGACACGGATGGAGTTGCGTGTGACTGTGATATTGACCGGAGCAGCAGACCTGAAGCCTGAAGGTCCGCTTTGACTTCAGCATGACCTGTGCCCCCTCACAGGCATGGCGCCGTCTCTCCCTGTTGTCCTCTCTTGTCATTGTCCATCCTCAGACTGTGGGAGTCAGTGATGACATCTCTCAGGCATCGTCTGACACTTCCCAATCCCTAACTGCATTACCATGGCAACAGGAAGAAAAGGTAGGATTGAGACATCTACCATGTGAATGCCCTGCTGGTGGACTCTAGACTTTGTGTGGACGGATCAATGGGAAACAGTGGAAAAAAGATGTCAGCAATAACCTACAGAGATTACTGATCATATTTGTATTAACTTTAGACTTTGTGTAAAGGGTTTTCCAAAGTGGGAGCAGACTGCACATACAGAGTCAGAAGTCCTAAGTGTGTCCTCAGAGCATCGTATCTGTGTGATGATGTAACACGCCCTCGAGCCCTCCCTCACTAGACCTCAATCACAGACCATCGTTTCCCGTGCAGCTCTTTACGTAACAGCATTTTCTCAGTTCACGAGTAACTTTTTGAAATTCAACATTGGCATCAATCAGAGGGATTCATCTATCACATTTACACAAATATCTAGATAGAAATTGCTGTTTCTGCTTCAGTACAGTGTGAATATAGGACATCCTATGGAGCTGTTCCTCAAAATCACGTGCTTGATGATTTGGGTTCAGAATCCAATATGTATTGTACTGGTTAGGTACGTTACAAATACAAGGAAAACATTACAATTTAAATATGATCTGGTAAAAAATAAATAACATTACATGGAAACAAGTGTATTATCAAAGTGGAAGTAAATATTTTCCAAAAAGAGTGAGAAGGATACAATCAATCAGTCTCGCTAGCTACGTGCAAGAGTGTAACTAAAAGTCTCAGAGTCAGTCGGTGCCCAGAGCTTTATATTTAAAACCTCTATCTCCATCACCAGGCTCCACCTCCAAGGCTGGCGGGGTGCACTTCCCCGACGACGAGGAGCCCCCCGGCTCTCCAACACGGAGACACGACGAGTCCAACCTCTGTACCCTCGTTGCTGTCCTGGAGAAGGACGGCAGCTACCTGGTCAAGGTGTGTCCATGTGTGAGGTGTGTGTGTGTGTGTGTACATGGAACCAAAGAGGCCCGTCCAAATAATGAGACGGCGTGAGAGGGTCAGGCGCAGTGATGATCAGCCGGTTGTCCTTGGGCAGCTCTCTGGCTTGTGGGTCATTTCCTGGTGTCCTTTTCAGCCGCAGCAGACAGCCGCCCAAACGTACCCCTTCACTCTCTGGCCGTGCTCTGTGATTCCTCTGTCCAGGCTGGTTTCCTGAAGTGCCACCACTGCTATGAGATTGTCTTCACCGTCCCAGATGTCCCCACCCTGGGCAAAGAGCTCTCTTGTCTCCCTTCCTCCTCTCCAACTCGGCGGTTCCCCAACCTGCGGGTCCATCGTATTAATTCCACCGTGGAGGGTAGGTATAGACATTTGGAACAGTTGACCTCTTGCTTGATGCTGCAGGATCTGTTTGGGATTCCACTTGGAGATGCATGAACAGAGATCATGCAGCAATAGTTGGTCGTTGCTGGGTTTTCTACCTTTGGTCTACTAAAGGCACATTGGCTCGTTGTTGTGTTCCCCCCTTTCTGTAGAGTCTTCTGTCAATTGATGTTATGGAGGTCACAGAGGTTAAAACTCTCCACCAATCCAAAGGGAAATATGAGCTCTGCGGTTCCAGACTTTCCTTCTTTTACAAGGATATGCAGCTTTACACTTAGATTTCTGCATTTCTAATCATTCTGGATAATGATTAGAGAAGCAGCCTTTGGGATGGAGGAGCATTGTGGCTTCATAGAACACTGTGAGGTCCTATTAACCTGCTGCCTCCAGCAGGCATCCATAGGAGGTACTGTAGAGTGAAGTGAACTAGTAACTGGCAACTGAATAAAAACAAGACGGAAGGTTCTGGTCGTTGCTCCTGATGGCCGACCCAAAGCAGTGCGTAGGTCCACTCTCCTCTGCTGTCCACTTCAACCTGCGTAATCTCCGGCTCATTCTTGATCCTTCCTTGATCCCTGTGTTAAGCAGCTGTCCAGATCCAGATTTTTGTGGCTGACTATTTTTGAGCCTGCAATCCGTCAAATCCATTTTTAATTATTTATTCATTTTCATTTTGTATTTTACGGTGGTTGCTTTTAATTTGTACGTTCTTGTGCTATTTTACAAACCTTGTCTGGCCACTTTAATTTTCTGTTTTTCGGACTATTTTATCTGTATAAAGAACTATATAAATACATTTGATTTCATTGTTGTGGTTATTATCATAGAACTTCATCACTGAATACAGTATTTACGCTTTACGAATAGGCTTTGACATTTTTTGGGAACAACGTAGCAATAGCAAGTAAATGCATCAACCAATCAATAATACACTATGGTGTACAACCACTGGGAAACTCTATAGTCCTGAACAATACGGCCAACTTTACTAGTTGTGTTGTATATCGTCTGGAGCCTGTAGTTATTGAATGTGGGGTGAATGTAGGATATACACATAGATATTTTAGGGATGTGCAGTTCAATGCGTTATTATTGCGTTAACACAGTAATTAATCAAGGCCAACAATCATCATTTTTTTATTATTGGTATTTTCGAAGGTCGGTTGCAATTAATCACATTTTAAAATTGTAATTGTTGACGAGCATATATGTTCTACATCCAAGTCAGGGGAATATACCACAGTGAGCTCATTTTTGATGCAGAAATGCAGTCAACCACACAGACAAAGTACCAGCAGAAGATTGAACTGTGCCCCCCCTCCCTACTCCTTCCTTGATAAGCTTAAACTGCATAGTGTAAGTGAGTAAATGTCTATGTGATGAACCCTGTCCTCCCCTCAAAGGAGGAGTGAAGGTAACGTGTGAGTACAAGACTCACCAGGAGGGAGTGCTGCAGGAGGAGATCACCCTGGGAACCAGAGGGAGGAAAGGAAGCAGTCTGAAGGTCAGATTCCAGGCAAAGATAATTGGTATGTGGTGGCACACACACACACACACACACACACACCTGAGCATGCATGCATTTCATTCTAATAAGCATGTAGTGTGTCTGCCCTAATACACTTTTAAGTTTTGCACGCCCAAGATTAACTTCACAAACACACAGCAAAGTGTTTTTGTAAGATATGATTCTGAGAGAAGTTTCTGTTGCTGCTTCACCAGTTCAACGCGTTGTAGAGTTGCAGTAGAAAAAATGATGACTTCATTCATTTGACCTGCTTCAGGGTCAGCGTGCTGGTGCATGCTGGCTCACTGACACCCTGTCATGGTTAACTGGGACAGAGACACCATTAGTTAAGTGAGACCTGACATCCAGAATAGATTGAAATGTTTTCTCTCTTAAGGAGTTTTGCATTAAGCTCCAGAATGCCGACACAGAAAGGATAAACTGTATTTAAACGTGCAGTACCAGGAGGGAACACAAACTCACCCCGCTCCCTTTCTCTCCCGCTGTACAGACCCACATCACGGGACTCCCATGCTGCTAGAGGGGGTGAAGTGTCTGGATGCTCAGAAACACCCCCACAGGAAGCAGAGCAGTGAACGAGAGAGGATGTGATACAATGGTACAGACACGTTTCTGTGTCTTCTCAATCTGGGTCAGGACCCAACACCAAATTAGAAACCGCTTCAGTGAATAATGGCTGTGGGAAGCTAAGTTTGGGTACCTTAATATTCCGAAATATGTGTCAGATAATGATAACCTGTCAAAACCCTGTCACAAAACATGTGCTTGATGATGAGCCTCTTCCCCCCCAAAAAATGTTAAACACTTTGTACCAATTACCACATTTACTTGTCTGAGATCTACTCTTATGTTGATGATCTGCAGCCAGTTAGCATTAAAAGTCCAGACTTAATAGGGAGTCGGCTCAGATTCCCTGCATGTAGTCAGAAGGGTTTGTGCAGGATTACACACTGTTTCCCACGAATAACCAAATATTTTACTGCACTTCATTATTGCACCAATACTATTCCCACTGTAGACTTTAGTGACGCCACTTGTTCAGGGCACTGGGGCAGCACGGCATGTTTGCCATAAGATCTCTTCATAACAAGTCCACCTTTTGCTATCAGGTAACATCATTCCAGCACTTCAAAGCAAAAAGATGTTCATCGAACCCAACTGTCTGTTGTATGTATTTTATTTGTGGCTAAAAATGTAACTTTTATAATATGGGACATTGCATTACATGGTTAACAACACAATAATTCTAACATTTTTGATGTGCTTAAGAAGTAGGACATATTATCCAAAGACTTGACTGATTGTGATCTGAACTGAAAGACAAACTGTTTATTTCTGGGCAGGAAATGCCTTTACTGGTATTATTAAATTATATTTAGGAGTTTTAAAAACATGCTGTTTTGCTTTAAGCATCTTTTCTGTAAGACGTCAGCATTGCCTTTTTCATGTGTATCATGACAGCTCCCATCAAATATTACAATCACTTGTTGTAGTTGTAAATATACTGTTATAACATACTGGTATGATGTAACAACATAAAGCATTGGTGTTTTACCCTTTATTTGCATGATTATTACTGTATGTAAGAAGGTTTAACCAATTTAACTGTCCCGACTAAATAACAAGGACATGTTCAACTTCTGAAGTTTTATAGCTGTTCATGTTCGCACGAGTAGAGCAAGATAATGTTTGTATTGATGTTCAATCACCTTGATGCAGACATTCTAGACTGCATGCTAACCTGTTAGCATCCAGTAATGATTGTTACGATGTCTCAGTGTATTGCTGCAGGAAATACATATATTTGTAGGCTAGCAGGAAGTTAGCATCAGGCTAGCACCTCAAAAGGCCAATTGCATTTGGCACATTGCAGACAAGGAACCGTATAAGAAAACAATGTTTATCATACAGGTTTGTCAAGATCTTTTTCCCCTAATGGACTCCTCTTCTGTGGCCTATAAAGTATGAATACGTTCAGCCGATGGAAAACGCTAGTGTAGCTGTTGTGCACTATGGTAACATCAAATCATGTACGATGTATGATGTGCTTAAAAACTGTTCACTATAAAGTCATAACACTGAGCATTTAAGTCTGTTTGGTATTTACACCCATCGGTCTGCAAATCTAACCGTTGTGTTGACTCAAGCACAGAGAGAACCGAGCTGTCAATGGTACCATTTGGGTCATTTTACAAGTTATCAGTAAATATGGCTTCACCTTTGATTCTATCAAAGATATTACTATTATTTTACAGGGGAGAATTCTACCAGTACTAAATAAGCAGTCTACTACAACATGATACTTGCTAAATGTAGGGTCCCTGGTTGCGTCGTTTATTTGTCTGTCCCTCGTACAACCCACATGTGCTACATGTTAGCTGTTAGCCGTTAGATTACGGTTAGCTTATGCTAACAGGCTTCAAAGTAACACCGCTCGCTTGTTTCTCAGTGTTAGAAAGACGCTTTGATGCTTCTAGAGACACGTGTTGGGAGACATTGCTGTTGGTTTAACCCTTGTGGATTCTGCACTGTGGTGCTCTGATTGTGTGCTTCTGCCCATCACTGAACCGCCTGTCTGTCTCCACCATGTCAATAAAGTGTACTCTTACGTGTACTGTGTATCCTTTTCTATTTTTGTTTAGTACACACATACTGTAGGTCTTTATTATCTGCTGATGCTTCTTATGGAATATTTTTCTCATGTCATATAGGTAAAAATTAATGCTAGACAAGGATTCACATTTTTATTGCAATTTATCTCATTCTCATGTGATTATTTGTATTATAATGCGCAGAATTCAAAAAGAAACTTTAATGAAAAGTAGTGCATTCTGCACTCTTTTATGTGCAAACACTATTAATGTGCTTTTTAATAGCAGTATTCCCTTTCCACAGTAACCATTATAATATTTATTGTTAATCTAATTAATTAAGAGGAATCAAATTACGATTAGGGCTGGCCACTTTAAGGCGTTATTATTGTGATAGCACATAAATCGATTCACGTGGGTAAAAAAGATACTTGATTCTTGACTCTGAATAAACATACAGGCACACTATGGGTCGCAGCGAGAGTGCGATATTAATAAGCGTCATCGTACTTCTCAACCAATGAAAGCATTGGAGGCCCTAAGACTGCTCTTCAAGCTCACATGAACCTCCAAGTCTGAAGTGAATATTTTCATTTTAAATGGATGATGGGTCCAAAGTTATAAATAACAGTTAAAGATACTGCTGTTAAAAAGCGCTGTGTTTGTTTACTGTTTGCATAAATAAAAGTGCATTAACACTACCTTCAAATTGATTGTTCAGTTTTGTGATGAATTGCAAAAATATCATGCGATTCATCACAATTAAAATTTTAACCATTTCTGACCTGATTCAAATTAAAATCCGTGTTTTTATTGGATTTCCTTTTGAGTATCCCAAATAACGAAGGAAAAAAACACTCTCAGTGATGCAAGTTAACTTAACTTAGTATTAATAACTTAATCCACTCCGTCGTCCATCAGCAAAGTTGTTCACTACCTTTCTCCATTTCTCTGTCCCCCGCTGCAGCAGTCTTTGGCCTTCCTCCCTACGGACTTTCAAAATAATAATCATTTTTAAAAACTGCGCCAAAGCGCAATAAAATAATGGTGGGTTGATTAATGAATCCAATAACGGAACAATAATGTCTTAACTTGCCCATCGTGCATAATTTACTTTATTAATATCCATGTTAGAACACAACAGTGTTGCAAACAAATATTGCATCGGCCCGGATGTTATTATACAAAATCTGACTAACCGGTAGCTACAATATTCTTAATGACTATCTGAAAAATCCTGAACCATCCCTACAAATCCCGACCTCGAAGTGTTTGCTGGAGATCTTGATTTGAGGGGGTGTAAGCTGTTTTCCTGAGGTATTTAGTTTGTATTTTTGACGATTGGATAATTATTTCTGACAAAGAGTGATGTGAACACAACCTCTATTGGGTAAAAAAAAAGACAAAAACACAGTCAGAGGATTATTAAACGTTACTAAAAGTGACAGGATAACTGATTTTGAAGAACATGATCTGCTTGCAAAGCATTAAATGTAACGGTTATCTTTGTTTCTCTACACTATTGTTGTATTAAATATAACACGACATATCCACAAAACATGTAACTTACTCAAATGATCAATGACAGAAAATGGGTTCATTAAGTTGAGATGAAATTAAGCCTTTTAGATCACCGTCCCCATCATATTGTGCACCTATAAAATATAGGCAAAGAAATAATATTTTTTCTTCTTTTCAAATCAAGTCTTTTCTTCCTGTAGAACTAAATATAACGTGTACTTATGTAAGCCAATATCAGGATCTCCATTTATCGATCAATCTGCATTTTAGAGACAAAGAGGGTGTGGGTGGGGCCACAAATCTAAGCACGCCCACTTTGTAGCAGGCAAATCAAATGTGGAAGATTTGATTTGAATAACTCTTGTAACACACTTGTAACAGAGCTCAAATATTCTGATTCACTGGGACGAGTAAGGTTGGGAACGTCTGCTCTTTTGCGATGGGTAGGGATGTTACCACAACTGCATCTCAGTCTTCTTCCAACAAACAAGGTTAATAAAGACGTCCTCTCATTTCATTCCGTCTTTGCAACAGGACAAATGGTCAGTGGAGCCTCATTCCGTCCTGATTTATTGGTACAGGGACTGAAGAACGCATGCAGGGTGTCAGAAAAATGATCTGAGAAAGTGTAGATGAGCACTTTGTCTTTCACGTTGTAGAAGGACACCAGTCCCATTTCGTAGTCCACATAGATTCCAATCCTGGAAGGTCTCAGGCCGACTGTCAAGCTGGTTGCGGGTTCTGATCGGAAGACGTACTCGGTCTGATCCCGCAGGCTGAGGAACCAATAGCCATGGGCGGGGCTTGCGGTGATTTTGCCTTTTCGATTCACGGAGTGACTTGCAACTCCCAGGTCCCAATCGGTCTTTTCCCCTACCTCCACCTAGAAGTGGGCAGTGAGGTACAGCTTACAGCTTGAGTGCAGACCCTTTTTACAAAATTGAGAAATTGCATCAAATTAGCCAAAACTCTACACAGGGTCCCTAAGGAATACATCCACTATAAATATGAAGTGGATCGGATAGAATCTACTAATAGACGCCATTAGCATAGAGATTGCAAAGTGGCGAATCGCTGGTTAAGTCAATTGGCAGACGCGCCGATCAGTGCTGACTGTCATTGGGCATCTTGCTCATGTCAACTCATTCCTGGTAATTTACTGATTAAGCTGAACTTTTTGCTATGCTACTTGTCATGGTACATCTCTGCCACATCTGAATTGAGCTTTTGGCTGGTGAGGTCGCCGCACATGGGTCCTATGATGCCCGACTACTGTTAACAGCTTCACCCTGGTCCCACCTACCTCCCAGTAATGGCGTCCCGAGTTGAAGCCCTGTTTGGCAAGCACACACACCACCCGGTCAAAGCGCTCGGGGTTGTTGGGTACTGGCTGATTGCGTTCTCCACAGTGCACCTGCTTTCCGTCTGGTGAGATGATGAGACGTTGGTGTGCTGTGCTGGCGTCCAAAGTGATGTTGGCTGGCGGGTTGAGAGAGAGTGTTGGTTGGTGATTTAAGTGCCAATAACGTGACATATGTCCACCGTGTTCAAATGACATGCAAGCGGATTTCTGAACCCTGACCTGCATAGTCTTGAACCCTCCTCTCTGCAAAGAAAAGACGATATATTTGCTTTAGTATTTATTTTGACACTTTTCAATTTGGTTGGGATGGACCAGGAAAGAAAGTTCAATATCTCATCAGAGTCTTACTTGGGTCGGACCTGGGTACAGACGGGTCCAATAAGGCATGCTGGCCTGTTTAGGGAAGAAAACATGTTGTTTTATATTGCTGTTTGGATCTTGTTCAGTTCTGCCTTGAATGAAAACACAGAATACTAAAACAAAAAATACTTCGATTGTTTTTTCCCTTTTGAGTAACAAAGATGAAGGTACTGCTGTGGTACAGTTGGTACATTTGGTTCCAAGCTTAGCTGTACACATTGAAGGATCAAATTATATATTTGATACAAGACACTGCACATCAATAAAAACATTTCTGTAAATGAGTTAGTTTTTAGATTGTAGAATGTTTCCCTTAAATCAACATCCTTACTTCAGGTCTGAATGAAGACTTACACGCTTTGGGTAGTTTCTGCATCTCTTCTCTAAAGCGCTCCATCATTTGATTGACAGTACTGAGAATGACCCCTGTGGTCAGCTCAGATTGCACACACACACTGGACCAGTCCTTAGCCTGTGGAGGGCTGGAGAGGGCAGGGAATTTCTGCAGAGAGAAGAAATGTCCCATGTGGCTTCAGCTGGCCTACAGACAAACATCCTCTGTTGGTGGATCATTGGTGAGTCCTGCATGGAAACAGTGTGACACACACCGCTGGCTCCACATGTTGAAAACTGAAAGTGAACCATGCAGGTTTTGGCAAACTTAAAGCAGCCTAATTTAAAGCACACAGCTGAGGATACCGCGTTCTCAGAGTCCCTATTTCAGGAAGATAACAATGTGGAAGGTCTATACAAAAGTACAAAACAATTATTAAAAAACAGAAATATTTCTTCTGCCTAATTCCAAGAAATGTCATATTTCTGCAGACCATGGATATTGTCAGAGTAAGTTATGTAGAAAGTTCCTTGGTGTAATAATGGGTATAAGAGGAAGGAAAGTCCCTTAAGAGGGAATAAGAAGCATGGCTCATGGGTCAAAGCACCTCCTGTTTGTGTCTGAAACCAAAAGTCAATGTTCTTACACTTGATGCTACAGACATTGTGCTACATAAATAACTTCCAGTGGGCTTGATGCTTGTAACTTTGATATGGAGGTCTGACCACTTCCCAGAGCCTATTAACAGAACAGCGTGTGCGTAGGCTGGTTGGACTGGTAAACACAATAAGGAACTGTCCTTCAAAGCATAGCTGCCATTATGCTGTAGAAAAGCTTTTCAAGCATCGTGACCGTCTTGTTGTTGGATTGATTGATAGACAGTTCAAATCTCCCAAGTGGAAATTATCTTGCTACAGCAACATTTGTATGTACATAATAACAGAGTATAAAATCCACAATATACACAAGAAATAGCATATTAAATGAATCTAGCCAACTGTTTTGAAATGTTTGTTTTATATTCTTGCCAACCTGGTAATAAATAAGCAGCAGGGGCTTGTGGGGAGGCACCAACTACAGAGGATGTTAATTTCTCCTGAGGTTCGGTAGGTAGCGTCACACTAATTCCTAATCATTGGTGTCGGGAAGTTTGGGGATTTAACGACAAAATAGTGGACACCAGCGAATGTTTGTTGTGTTGTGTTTCATCGGTACCCGGAGGCCCATTATGTAGTCTTCTGACAGAGCCAGCTGGCTCAGTGATGAGCTCCTCCTCTTCAGCTCAGCGATCTCCTCCTTCAGCTCCCTCAGCAGGCCCTGAGCTCTGTGCTCAGCCGCACGCCGGTTCATCTCCACCGCCTGGGGGTAAAGGAGGCCACGCAGCGGAGTTCAGATACCTCACCAATCTCCTCCTCAGCACAGGACTTTTACTTCAGTGAAAACAGATTCACCTCCAGGACTTCCGTTTGGCACCACTCCAAACTGGTGATAAGCTCGGTGAACACACACATAGCTCCATCTGTGTCCCTCTCAGCAGCAGCCTGAATTAACAATGAACACGAATTGATTGGAGCTGTTTAAAGACGTGTCACATCGGGGGGGAGGATGTGGACTGGAAGCCCCTGATGAGGGGTGAGCATACAGGTGCAGATATGTTGTTCCCAATCTGACAATATTCATTCCAATCATTTAACATTTTGCTATTGGAAAACAAAATATGTTATAATACCTAATAATATATAATCAGATTATAGCAGTTTGCTATAATGTCATATAAGGTCTCATATATGATTCCATTGCAGGTTGTTTCGCTCTTTCTCTGTGGTGAAAAAAATGAATTTTGTACAACTATAAATGCACAACACCTCTAAAACATAGGAATATAAAAGATTTTATCGTAAAATAAATCTCAGATTGCTGTGTCTGTGTGAGGCCAATCAAAGCCTTTTCAATAAAAACACAGAGCTGTATGTAATGCATCATGCCGGTCTGATCAGGCCGCCTGTGCATCTCTTATCCTCCAACCGGAATCTGGACTTAAACTTCATGTTGTCCAAAACCCATCTGATCTGAATGAGTGATCTCGTCCAGTCAGGATGGACAGCCTTGTGCCAGTTGGACTCACCTGTATTTCTAGTAAAGACTTCTGTATGTCCACCACCTTCTTCTCTCTCACGCAGATGAGATCTTTCAGCTCCAGCACTGTGTTACCTAACTGGGACTGGAGAAGAGGTCAAGCACATCGTCGCTCAGGAGTCTGCCGTTAATAAGCAGCCTTGTTCTACGTCACATAAACCGACGCTGACACAACGCTTCAATGGCTGCAAACTGTTTTGGCATTTGAGACTCTCATAATGCAATTAATGTAAAAATGCGACGCTCCCTAACCGACAGCGGTACCTTCTTGATGCGCCACTCTCTCCTGGCAGGGCTGACGTGGTGTCCTTGGTGCTCTCCTGCCTCCACACACTGGCGGCACACGCAGGTGTTGTCGGTATGACAGAAGAACTCAAGACTTCTCGCGTGGATGGAACACGGCGGTGGATCGGCGGAAGAGTCACATGCACCGCTCACAGTGTACCTGTATCCCCATAGCAGACAAAGGTAACTTCACCCCGTGTCTCAGCCAAAGTCTGACCGGAATTTCACGCATGATTTGTAGCGTCCTGAAGCACAATGCTGTCATTAACACAGATTAATTATTCAACTTTTCAGTTTTTCAGTCTGTCCATTTCTCTGCTACACTCACGTGACTCTTTCAACCAAACATCTGGACGCTATGGAATGCAGTTTTAGTCAAAATTAAATAAATGAATAAATACGTAAATACATGAAATACATCATGAAATAAATAAATGAGGCAATAAATACATAAATATTAAATACATTTAATTATTTCATTTTACTTTTATTTCATAATGCCACTTTTCATTTCATGGTACTTTTATTTCATAATGCCCCTTTTCATTTCCAGAGACTTATTTCATAATTACATTTCACGTTCTTATATGCAAACCAGGGGGCGTGGCTACATCTAACATTCTGAACAGACAACAGAGCCGTGTACAAAACACGCCCCCTGATTTGCATATAAGAACGTGAAATGTAAAACGGCATTATGAAAGAAGTCTCTGGAAATGAAAAGTGGCATTATGAAATAAAAAAACAGTGATCAGGTCAAGTATACGTGTGGTTCATTTGTGGCACAATTATGCTACACTGACTCAACAACCATTGCTATTTTAATAAAACCCTTTTCTGTGGCCACTTAAGTTAGTCAAACCCGTTTCACTGAGGAGAGGAATATAGCTCGTCACCTGCGCGGAGGTGAGTATGGAGGAGGCGGGTTCAGGCGATTCGGGCTTTGTGGTTGAGTGTCACTGAGGTAGGGGGGAGGAGGCCCGTGCTGAAAACGAGTTATCATCTCAGCAAAGATGGTCGGCGGCATCTCTGCTGGCCTCTGGGTTGGAGACAGGGCCAGGTGAGGATCATGGTGGGAACATGCGTTTGGAATCTCCTCTCCTCCTCCACCCGTTGGCACTGCAGCAGTGGACAGCTGCTTGAACTGTTCAGTGATTTCCTTCAAGGTTCGGTTGATATGGAGCTCCGGACGCTTGTGGAACGACTCCTTGCAAAGGGGACACTGGTAGACCTTGGTGCCTCCTTCTCCGTCCCAATAGGAGGTGATACAGTCCTGGCAGAAGCTGTGGCCACATGGTGTTGAGATTGGATTGTCGAACACATCGAGACAAATGGAGCAGGTGAACTGGTCTTCAGAGAGAAAGGCTGCGGGCAGCGCCATAGTCAACCAATCCTAAGCTGTGACAGATAGTGAGCTCATTAGAAAGAATTCAGGATATTCAAAACTGTAGCGGAAGACATGAAATATTGATCTGCCAATTGTTGTGTTTTGCTTTTTGCAGACTTGATGCATTGAAGGTAAATTAAACCATGGTCAATACCAGCTTTGATAGTTATTCTAATCTATATATACTGTGAGATGCATGTAATGGTAAAATATGTTATAACATTGTCTTGTGCTAAACCCGTGTCTGAAATGTCTGTATTTGACCCTGATGTGCAAAGAGCAGCATGATACAAAATGTTAGTTTGCAGCTGTGTCCTGAGAAGGGAGGACGGTCGACTCGATGTCATAGATGCTTCAAAACAAAGGACTTCTGTTCATGGCCTTGGTTCATATCTTATTCGGTACGAAAGTTCTTGGATCCACGTTTCTACTTTATGTCAATTAGTAGCTCAGCTTCACCTGGGTTCTTATCTCAACCTGCTTTGCAGCTTCTCATAACTGGCACTGAGAATATCCCACACATGTGTATAAAACTCAGCCTTTTTACTGCTCGGAGACGCCATTACACAGAACGCTGAGATACGTGCTGGTGTGTTGGACCTCCTGCTTGCAAGCAATAGTTAGAGCCAGATATCTGCAAAGAAATGTAATCTTTTTCTCTTCTAAATAAATGTTAACTTTTTGACTTTAATTGATCAACGTGCTGGATCCTTCTCATCAACCAACTCGGGGGGATCGGAGATCCCGACAATACACAATTTCATTTAAATTATTACTGTGGATTTGCTTTGTTTATGACTCCTTATTTATAACACTTGTTTTATCATGTTTCTTTTATACTGCCGTAAACCCTGTAAATTTCCTCCGCAGCGGGACTGATAGAGGATTCTCTTATGTTAAACAGTACTCTATTACCACAGAGGGAGGTGGATGAGGCCCAATGATGTGACTGAAGTTTGGTGATGAATTAAAACTTAAATCCCAATCCTTAATTTGAACCCATGTCCAAAAAAACACTGTTACTTGTGACCGAATGCTTCAGTCATTAGAGAGAAGTGAGACACATGCAGCAGCATTGTACTCAAGTCAAACGTCGGCCCGTGTGAACGAGCCCACGCCTCCTCTTCAACATACCGTAAGATCAGGGAAATCCGGTTTGGTTGGAACAGCGAGACTCCACCTGCTGACTCTGAGGTCAAAAGTTTCCAACAAACAGCCGCAGATCCTCCAAACTTTCTCTTTGTTTTAAATAATAGCCTCCAGATACACGTGGTGATAATCTGTTTTTCTCATTGGCGACAACACACCAAAACCAACACTGAATATATCTGTGAAGGTCCGTTTGTTGTCATTAACAACTCATCAGTGTTGCATTGGCTGACATTTTGCACCATGAACACACACACAACTGTTCTATTTCCTCCTGTTTAATACCATTAAATGAGTTACCACCTGTTATAGGAACATAATTTATCTTTAAAACGATCTAAACTACAAACACGTGTGCTATTTTAAATCTCCAGTAGCACAGTAGTTACTGTGCTTTATCGTTGCCTGAATAAAATCACAGTGCATGTCACTATGTATCTTCTTCACTGGCCTTTCAATGACATCTTTAGTTACTAACTTGTAAGCACTTCTTACGATCTTCAAAAGAAACTCTGCTTAGAGCAGAAGTCAGTTTGGTTTTTCAGATATTTTCCCATCATTATTAAGTTAACACTTAACATCAGTCAAAGAGAGAATACTTGACTGTGATTGGCTGAAGGGCCCTTATCTAAATCTAGCTCCATGTCTTCTTTTAAGATCACTTAAAAGAAGATCAATCACTATTTTTCTTACGTTCTACTGCTCTTTGCAAACATCTGGGAGCTTTAATGCTTTCTGGAACACGTGTTATTTGTTGGTGTCAGCTGCACAATCTGCCCCGAGTCGCTTGGTAAGAAGTTGAATTGCTAAATTCCAGGTTCCTACATGGCTACAATCATGTCAGCGTGTCACATGGTCACGCGTGTAAATGAGATCAGTGCGGCTGTATAAGTTGTACTATACAAAAACTATCAAATCACATTTTCCACCCAAGCTTTCATGATAACATCACTGCATCAGAAGCATCAACGCTTTTCCCACCACAAAAAGTGTAACCGAGGTAAGTAAGGAAAGTCGGATTATCAGGTGAGGTCGGACCTTAAAAGGCTCAAATTTAAATAAGTTTGAAGTCCGTAGAAAGTAGCACCCAGCACACACATACAGGGGGGTTCAGCCTATTGCAGCTGTCATTCTAAATCTTCATGTTGAGTTGTTTTCACCGCTCCCGTGTGATTTTCCTCAGTGAATGTGAATGTGAGCAGAGATGTGAGGTGCTGCACCACGACTTGTTACTTTTTTGCTTGCTTATTTTCTCTTTTATGAATCAGGTGCTATTTGGGATTTTCCAACGCTGCTCTGCGTCGCCTGTCAACAGCTGCATTGTTGTGTCATTACGTCAGTCATGAGTTGAGTTCTGCTAGAAAAGCTAGATGGTTGAACAGGCTCCTGATGCTACGACAACAAGCCTGGATTGTCTCACGGGCTGTTTGCATTACATTACATTGTGAAGAGCCTCTGTGGGAACAAGAGGCAGTATCCACCAAAACACATGCTCCTAATCACCTTCGTTTAACAGCACAACAATGATCTAACACCAGAAAGGGCTCTTAGTTGAAGAGAATAAACACGGTGGTTAGCTGGAGCCTTTTAACAGATTTTAACACCTTTCATGACAGACTGTTTAGTCCATTGGCTGGACGACATGCTATCAGGACACGATGAAAGACAGGCGTGTGAGACGCAGATTGCTGCTGAATGCGGGTGGGTTCCAGGTCGCGCTGAGCTCGGAGGTCTTACCTGCTGTGATGTGAGGGCTGAAGGACGTGTCAGCGTCTCTGTCAGTGCCGTCCGTCTCTGTCGCTCCACTCAGCTTAACCCATTACCTGCTCTCCAGTTGTCACATTCCTCTTCTTGTGACTTCCTTCCTTCAATCACCCCCCCCACACACACACACACACCCAAGCTGATCCAATCCAACCTGCTCAACAGGTGCAGCTGCGCATGTAAACCTTCTCTCTGCAGCACACGGACGCCTCTCTTTCACTCTCTGGACAAAATGACCCAGCTGATGCATTACGTCCTTCCATATGAAACAGGCCAAATGAAGACTTAATAAAAGGGAAGTGATAAATTGGATTTTACAAAATCTTCCTCACATCCTCTTTCTCTCCCTGCTGATAAATAAGTTCATTAGATGTATTTATAGGACGGTGTAACAACGTTTAAAAGTATTTTTTTTTCTAATTGTATGAATTTCATCAGGTCACTTGGTTGATTTCTAACGCAGCAATATTCTTTGCGCAAGTGTCAAAACGCATAAAAGCAAAATGGTTTTGCTTCTTTTTTCGCATTGTAAAGTGACACCAAATATATCTAACGCTGCAGTGGGTTGGAGGTTATTTTCAGAGCATCAGAAATTGTTTGAAAGATCATAAACCACAAATAAAATGTATTATTTCATCTGTTACAACTAGTAACCTCATCTGGGGACATTTGAGCTACTCTTGCTTCTGAAAAATGACCTTGATGTGTAACTTTGAATTGTATTTGTCAGGTACGGACTCAGATGCAGATCAGGTCAGAAAGATTACTCGACACTGTATTTAACAGGACTCATTTTAACAACACTAAGGTACCACAAAAAAGCCTCGGAGCGAAGCAGGAACAAGAGCACGAGGGGACATCAGAAAATGACCAACAAAGACAAACAAGCCGACGAGACTAGAGACACACGTGGTTTCATGACCTTATGGGAACGCGCCTCAAGTGTGTGTGTGTGTGTGTGTGTTGGGCAGTAGACTTTAATCGACAGCTGACCTGTCTGGTGGTTCAGGAATCAGGAATCAGGAATCAGAAAACATTTATTGCCAAAATATGTCAAACATACAAGGAATTTGTCTTGGCGGTTGGTGCGTGACAGTAGACAGTGTAACAATAGACAAGACAGCAGTGCACAAGTAATAAAATAAATGAAATTAAATGCTAATGCAATGGGTTAGTAGAATAAGGCTATGGGTTAGTATAAAACAAGAGAATAAAGTTAAAAATTAAAAATATTTAAAAAGTTACAAAATATTAAAAAATAAAGTGCACTATCGAACAAGTGACAAAGTAACGAGTGAAAAATGATCCCAATAAAAATGAGGGACAGACTGTGTGACCTCCACATTTAACTTCATTTGACTTCTCGATTTCTTCAACACATTTTTCTTTTTACTTTTTTATTGTTATTTTAATTGACCTTTATTTTACATAGATTGTGTTAATCTATTCCTGTTTTTATGTTGATCATGTCTATTTCCAAGTAAATATTTTCCTTATTGCAAAGCGCATGGAGCTTTAAATAAAAACGACAATTCTTTTGATATTGTGTTTGTAAAGGCGCACACACACACACACACACACACGGTGAAACACACACAGACTATATAGGGTCTCGTAGTTCATCTCTTGCATGGCAGTACTCCGGCCCTGCTGAGGAACAGGAAAGCCTGCGCTGAACTTCCAAAAGTGGCAAATGTGAACGCGATGGGCAACCAAACAGCTGGACTTATTTTAGTGAACAAAGGGAAAACAATGAAAAGAACCATATTGAAAACCAGCATCCCCAACACCACCCAGATGATCCTGACAGCTCTCTTCTTCTGCTGGTTGCCCTCCTTCTCCTGAGCTTTGCTTCCGGGGTTGGGCCTCCGAAGGATCCAGACAATGGACAGACTGCAGAGGAGCTCAATGACGAGGGCGGGGGCCAGAATAGTCAGTGAACAAAAGAATAACATGGAGGTATTCCCTGGTAGGAAGACATTGGTGAGCCCAGAATCTACAAATCAGCAAAAAGAAACAATGAATAATGCTTACCGATCCACAAGGTAGGATCCATATTATGAGGTACACTGATGTATTCGTGGTACATATATGTATTTATATATGTGCATTTTCCTTTGCTTACACAGAACGACCAGCCAAACCGCAGCAAGACAGGTTCCCCTATACCTCAGTTGTTTGTATCTGAAGAAGAAGAATCATGAATGAATGATTCATTCCAGCCCGGAGTTCAGAGGTCAGCCTTTGTTCTAAACGAACACAACTATTGGAGCAACTAGCACCAAGCGACGCTCATCAAACGGTCCAGTCACCACTCGAGGACTGTGGTTGTAAAGGTCACCAGCATTTGGGTTGCCATCAAATAACCCTCAGATCCGCTAATGAAAGCAAACAGCTACAACTTTCCCTTTTAAATAAACGCATCCCTACACGCACACTTAGATTTACCGTCACGCGAAGGTACCCGACGCCAGGACACACCTGCTGTCGTTCATTTTAGATAGAAGCGACTTGCTCATTATTGTTGCAGGTAATAATCTCTCTCATACTTCAAAGACAGTTTTCTGTGATCGCTTTGTGAAAATGTACTATGATAAAGACTTGACGATTATAGATCGCTAAATGGTCCCTGATGTCAGGATGGCGCCCCGTTATTTATTATTTGTGATCTTATTGACATAATAATTCTATCAATGTCAAAGATTTGGTGTCGAGTGCCTTTAAGGCGCCTTTTCAATTACCTGATGAACACCATCGGATGAGCCACAGCCAGATAGCGATCCACACAGATGTGGCACTGGAACAAGACTCTTCCTGTCACAGCCATTCCACGTTGGAATTCTATCAAAGCGACCAGAGCACCCAGTTTCAAAAATATTTCAATCAGCGAAAGAAAAAAACACAAGGAAGTGAAGATTTCCACGGTAAGCAGGTTTAGAGTTAAAAGTTCCGATGTGATGATGCTGCGCTTCCCGGAGACGATCAGCCACAGAGCCCAGCAGTTGACCACTATGCCGACGGCGTGATCGAGTGAGCCACTGAGATAAATGACATCTTCTGCAGACAGATGATGAGCTGAGGACACGTTGGCCATCTGTCTGGTTCTTTTCCTGAAGATCAAGAACCTAAGAATGTATGAATTTTTAATTTGTATCAATGCGGTAAAAATGTGTAAAAATCTTAGTAGAAACAGTTAGTAGAAACAACATTGTACATAATAAAAACTATATTCACAGAAATATTATAAATATATTATATACAAAACAGGTATGATACCCATTATTGAAATGAAAATACCAACCTGTTGGACCGGTCTCCCTTGTGTCCAGCAGCTCGCACCTGCTTCTATATGGGAGTAATTCCACCGGCGACACTTAAGCCTGCTTGCTTTATTTGACTAATGACGCCTCCGTGTAGCTTTAAACAAAACATGACAGAAACTCCAAATAATATCCAAATGATATCCAAATAATAACACTTGTATTTTCTGTCATTGACAATCATCGGAACATTGATTTGTTAAACAACCTCTTAAGGAAAAGTTTACATTGGTAACATTTGTTTTTATTAAGTTGATCTCTTGCTCGACACAATCGGGTTGGAACTTGAATGTGAAAAGATAAAACAAATGAAAAAACAGGATCAGTTGTGCAACAAAATGACATGTTTAGTCACATGAGTATCACACTTTAATAGATTTCCACTTGCAAGGTGTATATGTGATGGATGTATGTACTGTCATATATATATATGTATACATACACACAAGTATACGGTTTATATATTCTGTCTGATTGTGGTGTATAGTGTGTATGTGTGTGCGCTTTATGTCCGGCATGTATATATGCTCCTCCTCCTCCTGGGTCGGCGGGGAGCACAGCGGGGACCCGTCTACGCCTCCTGGGTCAAACTTGTTTCCCCATCAGAACTAAACCTACAAACTTGGTGAGCTGCGGCAGGTTCTCATGCACAACACATCGTTGATTTGAACTTCAGCTTCAACAAGTCTGTGAGGGTCCCACCAGCAGCGGAGTGATGTAGTCAAACCTCCCCAAAAGCACACATTCATGGGTCGCTTGCATATATGAGGTATGGACAATCCCACCACGCAACCTTCCAGATCTCCAACATTAGGAATTAGATTTGGGGGGAAATGTATTGTCAGTCTGCTGTACTACAGTGGCCGCGAAGGCCGGGTCCTCATGAGGATGCAGCCCACTGAACGGAGACACGGCTTGTGAGGCCGTCGGACACCGTTCAGAAAAAAGGAGTATTGGTCAACTATAACTAATATTATGTGCTCACATGTAATATAGTTCTGGGGAGAAACATGTCTGAAGGAAATGTTTTCACTCCAATAAATTAGATAGATTATTTAACAACTACTAATAACAGTAATAAAATTGTTTTTATAAAAAGGAAGAAAAAAGAAAACAATAGCTGCTACGAGTAAAGGAAGCACTAATGTTACACGACTGTCACAACTAGTCTGGTTTCACAGTGAAGCTCTGAGCATCCAGCACACACGTGAGAGACAACAGACCATTTAGTCAAAGGGTTTATTGACACAGTCCGTACAGACGGCCCTCTCGCAGTTTATACTCATTTTATGTCAGTACCAGATATTCAAATATATGAGACTAATCTACATTAATGTCAGCATTTGGACCCTTTGTTAGAAATGATGAGACAACACAACAGGAGGGGAATGGTGAATTCAGTCAGGATCTTCAGGCGGTGTCCGGATTGACAGACACATCTGCAAGCTCCAGGGTCTTCAAGTATTTCTAGGAGAGAATGAACAAGGAACCTGGATTAGACCGGAATATTCTGGCCAAAGATTGTCTGAAGATATTGAAAGCTGCATTACAATAAAAACGCTTTTCACTGGGATTCAGATAACAGCGACTAACACTGCATTACTGGCCAGGGAGCACATGTTCACCACCAGACTCCAACGTGCTCAGAGAGCCATGTTATCATGGCGCCCACGCTGTCACTGACTACGTGAAGAAATCTAGAAACGGACTCAAAAAGTTGGAAAATCCTTGTGGATCTGCATGAAGGCAAAAGGAATGAGGGAACAACAGTGGTCCTTTCACTCTTACCAGCAAATATACATTCAGTAGTGTGAGATGCATGTAGTGGTAAAAACATTCTGTAAACAATTGTCTTGTGCTAAAAGCCAGGTCTCAGTGCTATTAGCATAAAAGTGCTAACATTAGCAGAGCACATCAGCGGGAGATTATCTTTTTTTCTTTTATAAGAGACAATACATAGACATAACAAGAGGACAACAAAGCAGTAAAATACAAACCAGCAAACGTCATGTAGTAGTGTGGGCAAAGGCGGTGCGTGTGTGTGTGTGTGTGTGTGAGCATTTCAGATGAAAGAAAAAAAAGGTACATAAATGAGAATAAATTCCATGAGTTAAAAATGAATAAAGTCTGGAAAAAATGCCTTTAACAAAGTCCGGTGCGGTGTCGCCGTCCACCAGCAGCAGCAGACTGTCTAAGCTGCTAAAGTGTGTTGGATACGTGTTGTCGATGCACAGCCGGCTGGTTGACGCTCAAACACCTTTTTAGAAGTGATGCCTGCACTCCAGCTCAGGAGCCTCAATCCAAACGGGCCGGTGGTCTATTTCAGGGCGTTTGGGCCTCAACCCGTCAACACAAACGACTCTGTGTGTGTGTTTGTTTGTTTGTTTGTTGCCTACCTGTAGGTTCTCGTAGTGTTTGAGGGTCTTGCAGTGGTTTCTCTCTGCCTCTTTGGCTCCAGTGAAGAACCGATTACATACTTTACAGAAGAAACCCGTCTTTGGGACCAGATACTCCAAACCTGTGGACGGACGCACAGAGACATGCTGATGACCACTGAACATGTGTGAAGGCCGTCACAGGGAGTGAAGAGACACGCGTCTTACCAACTGGGCTGCTGGGGTTAAAAGGAGGGAGGGAGTGGGCTGTCAGTAACCTCTGCACAGCCTCCTCTGTGTTGGTATCTGGATCTTCTGACCGCTCATGCTTTCCTGTGAAAGGGCCGCTAAGCATTTTAGACCACAGAGCCGGTCCTGGATCTTACTGCTGCCACACAGAAAAAGTAAGGCCTACCAATGTCCACGGATGGAGCTTCCGTCTTTACGTCCCGCTTATTCTCCCCTTCCTCGGTTTTGTCAAACGCCATGTCCTCCGTTGTAGCCTGATTGTGCTGAAGTCCGTTCTCCCCGCTCTCCCTCTGGGAAGTCACCACTCCTGCTGGGCTGTTTGAGGCTCCAGCAGGAGCTGCAGGTTCAACTTCAGTGGTGGAGTCCAGAATGGCGGTCAGTGCCGCTTCTATGGAATAATGACACAAATGTCATACAAATACAAAACTTTAAAATCCCCCAAAACATCTAAGATGGGGCCACAGAGGAAGTTTTTTTCTGAAAATATTTTATTTTGAAAAAAAGGGCCGGATTCTTCGACACATTTCCCAAGCCTTCTTTTTTCTCCACAGCGATGAGAGAGACAACTATCACCAGTTTAACTCCCTAACAGTAGCTATAAGCAGCTTCAAATATAGGTTTAAAACTAAAACATCTTTTCATCAGTGGCTGTGTTTGTTTTTCTGCAAATAATCAAAAGTTGTTGTAACCTTGCTCAAATTATATTTAAAAATAATAGAAAAACGGCACCTATCAGAGGTGTGGTCTCCGGTGCTTTTGGTGGACATGTTGGCGCAGGCGTTCGGCTGGTTGGAGCGCCCGCCTGCGAAGCGCCCGCCTGCGAAGCGCCCGCCTGCGAAGCGTCCGCCTGCGAAGCGTCCGCCTGCGAAGCGCCCGCCTGCGAAGCGTCCGCCTGCGAAGCGTCCGCCTGCGAAGCGCCCGCCTGCGAAGCGTCCGCCTGCGAAGCGCCCGCCTGCGAAGTGTCCGCCTGTGAAGCGTCCCCCTGTGAAGCGTCCCCCTGTGAAGCGTCCCCCTGTGAAGCGTCCGCCTGCGAAGCGTCCGCCTGCGAAGCGTCCGCCTGCGAAGCGTCCGCCTGCGAAGCGTCACCTCGTGAAGCGTCCCCCTGTGAAGCGTCCCCCTGTGAAGTGTCCCCCTGCGAAGCGTTCCCCTGTGAAGCGTCCTCTCGCGAAGCGTCCCCCAGTGCTGCGTCCGTGGAAGCTGCAGCAATTAAATCTGATGACTGAAAAACATCTGACGTCACAGCTGTCGACACAGTCACAGGTTCATCACCCGTCACCAGGGGTGCTGGGACATCTGACACGCATGTTTCCGTGGAAACCGCCGTGGGCATGACCTACAAAGAGAAAACAGGAAGGGACCCGTGATGTCAGTACATTGTAAAAGATTTAAATCCCCAAAACACAAACGTAGTGGCAGAGAAGAAGTTGTACCCCTGGAGATTCCTGTTGGACGGACGTAGGAGCATCCTCCCCTCCCTCGGCGGTTTCCATGGGAACCGAGGGGGAAGTAGAGGAAGGAAGGTCGTTCACATCTCCAACTTCATCTACTGTCACAAAGTCGCTTAAGTTGAATGGGAAGTCATCAAACTCCTCGTCCACCTGATTCCATGACAGGACACAGAGCAGAATGAGGAAATGAATAAAGCGGAGAGAGTAAACACTTTTGACTCAGATGTGGTTTTTCACCATTTCGGTCTCTGCTTCAGTGTTGTTGCACTGTCCATCACTCCAGGAGCTCTGCTTGTGTCCCTCGGACCAGGAGGACGGCCGTGACCCTGACAGACCTTCACTGTAGGCTCTCTTCCTCTCCCGCCACTCTCTTTCTCTCCTCTCCTCCTCTCTGTCCCGTCTGGCCTTTTCATTCTGCTCCCTCTCTCGCCTGGTCCTCTCCTTCTTCTCCCAGTCCCTCCTCTCCTTTTCCCTCCTCTGCTTGTCCCTGGCCTCCTTCTCCTTTCGTGCCGCCTTCTCTTTTAGCTCCCGGTCCTTCTTCTTCAAGTGGTCCTCTGTGTGGCTCTTGGCTTGCTCTTTGGTCTCCTCGGCTGCTTTGTTACTCCGCTCTGTCTCCATGTGCGTCTCCCCGTGTCCCCCGTTGGAGGGAGCTGCTGGGCCCACGGTTCTTGTTCTGCACTCCACAAGCAGTGCGTTCACCATCTCCTGTGTAACCTGATAGCACGGGGATGAGAAAGAGGCAGAAGAAAACTCACAAGCGTCAATTTCACACGTTCTAGGTTACATTCAGGCTGCAAGAACAGGAGCATATTTTACCTCTGGGTGCTCTGGCATGGCCGCCTCCTGGAAAGCTGCTTCGCCGTCAGAACTAGAAGTCTTTGTCTTTGTCTCTTCATCAGCATGAGTCTCGTTATCGACACCTTTGTTCTCCTCGACTGTCTCCAGAACCGTTTCAACATCTGATCTTTCCCTCAGGTGTGTCTCCAGATCTGCTTCGGTTTGTGGTGCAGCCAAAGAGTCAGAAGCAGCAACAGTGAGCGGGTCTTTTTTCATGTCCTCATCTTGGCTCCTGTTTTCTTTCAAGGCTTCGTCTTCACCAACCGTCTCGTCGGTGCTTTGCAGCTTGGCATCCTTACTATCGCCTTCTTTTTTGATCCCCTCTAATGGAGAATCAGAACTCTCTGTGTGCGTTGTGTCTTTGTCTTTGTCTGCTGCTTGGCTGCCTGTGCCAGTCGCAGTGATGTCCTACAATCAGAGTCCATCAAGCATTCAGCATTCAGCGGTTGATGCACGGTTAAGCTGCACAATTGTATGGCAATATTGGACAACGACTTTTGGACGTTGCGTAAATGGATGACCACTGCAAATCTTTTATCAAAGACACCAACCTCAGCTGAGTCCAGGGATGCCGGGACGACTTTGGTCTGAGTGTTGACTTTGGGGTCAGGCTTGCGGGAGAAGAACAGCGGGTTGTTGTGGATGATGCACGGGAACTTCTGGAAGCGCTTGTACACGGACAAGGCCATAGCTGCAGTCGCCATCTCACAAATGACCTGAGCCGGAAGAGACACAGTCAGATGGACGGCGTATGAGACGTCTTCGCCTGACAAAATAAGGAGCAGAGCGTCGGGTATGTGGAGGGAACACATCGTAACCCGAGGCCACTCACACAGTAACAAACAAGGCTCAGGAGATGACGGATCAGCCCGTTCACAGCTCACCATATTGTTGAGCTCCAGGGTCTTGATGACAGTACCAAAGCGTCGCACCAGTTTCTGGACCTCGGCAGGGCCGGACGGCGTGCTGGGAACATTACTGATCACCAACAGGCTGCTCCAGCCGACAGCAACAGAACTCTCCTGCAGGATGCAAAATGATTCAGTTCAGCGCATCACATGTGCTTCATCGTCGGGAAACGTTAGTCTGTCAATAAATGAGAAACCAGAGAAACCAAACCAAACGTTATGTCAAAACAGTTGGGACGAGGGAGTTTGCTGGTTGAAATACTCACCAACGGGTCCAGTGATCCCATCAGCAGGTTGTAGAGAGCCACCTGTTGAAAGAATGACACCGCTCAAAGTTCTACACACTACAATGTGCAACTTGGGAGACGATGGACAGAGGACACTAGCAGCTGCGTAGAGGATCCGTGCTCAATATGCTGGGAAGCGATGAGTCTTACCGGCGTGTTGAGGCCAACGCGCGGCCGGAGATGCGTCATCTTCAGCTCACGGTCTTGAATCCTTGCCGGCTTGGAGGTGTGGACTTTCACCATCTCTTGAGCAACCTCCATGTCTGGCACTGACACAAGGACCTGACGTACGAGAGGTACGAGGGTTGGTAATACACCTGCAGTTTGTCCTCTCAGGAGACGAAATCTGCCTGAACAGGAGCTCCAGGGCATGTTTTTCAAATGGTATTAGTCTATGACGTATTCAGAATATAAATAATTGAACTATGTTTATAAAAGACAAAGATGAATTCTGTTCAGTGATCATTCATTGTGACTATTCTCTGGAACAGCTGCTTTGGATCCTCATATAAATGGCGGCCAGTTATGTCTCAGCTTCAGATGGAACCGAGGTCACACCAACCTTTCCGATTTGTGTTGCAGTGATGACGTCGGAGGGAGTTCCGAAGGTCTGGACCAGCTGGAGGATGTCGCTCTCCGTCCAGCCGCTCTCCGGAAGTCCTGTGATCAACACCATGCTCTTTTGTGGAGACATTGGATCGGGATGTAAAACAAGATGCAAAAAAACTCAATTACACTGTATTGCAAGTGATGGATTTTAAATAGTAAAAAAAAAAAAAAAAAAAGAGAATGGTTAAATGAAGAATGAAATAAAGCGGAATACGTCCAAATAATTACACAGAACCTTCTGCATTTGGACGACAACATTCACGACTCTTTCACAATGCTGTTATTCATGTTTTACAGGGTTTGTGTGCGTCATGTACCTCATCAGACGTCTTCTGGTCAGCCTCGCCTACTGCCACGGCCGTTAAGGAGGAAGATATGGGGGGGGGGGGGGGGGGGTATCGTTAGTATGTTTGCAATGCCACATACACACACTGTCGCAGGGGTCCGCATTAGTGCTTTTGGTACACTGGCACTCACCTATTTTGTCGGCAGGTGTTGCAGACTCACAGTTCCTCGTCTTGATACCAGATTCTCCCTCGGGGTCTGCGTTGTCCTGCACTGGAGCCGGTTTGCTGTGGAAACCAAATGATTCAGAGTGGAAATGGGAAGATTGTGCAGCATTTGGGGATAAAAACATGCTTTCAGAGGATGGAAACTCTGACAAACCTGTTGGTCGTGTCTAAAGACGGGCCTGCTTTAGTTTTCTAAAAACAAAATAGGAAAACATGCGTTTACTAAGTGTGCAGAAGAATGCATTCATGTGGTCCAGAAGATTTGTGTTTCCTGCCCCTTCTTAAATGTACTTTCAACTGATTTTCCACTCATTCAGAGTTCATGTTTTTGTGTATCTAAGGGTTGCATGGGATGTTCATGCTAGATGTACACATGTTGCATGCATGTGGTACCTTTGCGATTGAAGCACTGATTTGTTGGCCTCTGATGGAGAGATTTGTGGAGTTGGCCAACGTCAGGGCGCAATCAGCCTTCACCATGCAAACAGACGCCTGCAGCAGGGGAGGGGGGCAGTTATGATGTGGGACCAGACATCGCTCAGCAACACAGAGGCAGGATAACTAAGCTGCAGTTCAATTCGATGTGTAGATGTAATAAATGTGGCTCTGACAAACCAGAGGAAAACATCATGTTGAAAGGAAATGGCCAATTACGAGCCTTTTCAAGTGATCAATATGTGGTGTGCAGCTTTTGTTGAGTTGGAGACGTGAGCAGCACCTTTTGTCCTTCCCCGTTGTGTCTCTCCTCCTCCGAGCACGCCATGAGGATCACATTGTTGATCTTGCCGAAGGACCCCACCAAGTCGGTGACATCCTGCTCGGACGCGTCCTTCGGGATGCCTGTCAGATACACCAGGCGGTTTGCATCAAACGGGTCCTGGGAGGCGGGAGGGACCGTTTTCTTCTTCCGCTTGGCGGGTGGGACTTTGGCAGACTGGAAGTCAACAGCAGAGGTTTGTGGGTTAGTTTTAGGGGAGCAGCAGTATGAGACAATTATTTACAAAGTATCTAAATACAACAGTAAATGCAGTTTACAGGTTGTTTTTTTGAAAAGGTTGAATGATAACTGGCAATAATTGAACAATAATTGTACCAACAATAGTTCACCAATGTTAGTTAAGCAACTTTCAGCCATTTGATCGAGTCATTTATCTGCCACTACGCTGCTTTCTGAACATGGTTGATTTCAGGGGTCAGAGGCTTTAGTGGTTTTGTCCACTTTACGGTGTTTGCCAGACACATATTCAGAAATAAAAGGGCTTCTGAAATAAGATAACAATACAGTACAAACTACGTTTCGCTCAGGATAAAATCATTTCTTTTCTCATCGCTTACTCTTTGAGAAGCACCAGCAGCCTTCGCACTTACCGTCTTGGTCGGCTTGGTTCCGGGCTTCGTCCCACTCTTGCCCGTTTTGGCGGGGGTCTGTAGTGGTCCGTGTTTGGAGCTATAACCCGCCTTAGAGGAGGGGGGATGTTGGCCGGCTCCGGGCGAGAACTTGTTGAAATCCTCATGAGGACGCTTCACGCCCCTTTGAGGAGGATGCTCTGTAGACCGGAAGCAAACAAACCGATATTCACAAGTCAAATCTAAAAATGTTTCATTTGAAGCCCCCCGCGAATACTAACCACTGACTGTTCCTTAAATCCATGAGGACGGCTTATACAGGTTTTATTTCATTTTTAATCCAGTAAATGGAAACATACCGCATTCCTGCAACATGATAATAGTTTCTAGACAAAGAACCTTTGTTGCATGTCAGGCCAGCCTTTCTCTACAACTTAAAATCTAAAACAGATTTAGAGCACCATGAACACTTCTCCCCACTTCCATCTTAAATGTGTCTACCTTTGTAGTATTGCAGCCGGGCCTGATTGTGAGGAGAGAAAGGGCCCTTGTTCGCCCTGTGGGGACGGGGGCCCACTCGGTGCTTGCTGGGAGGAGGACTTGGGGTGCGAGAGCCAGAGAGCGATCGAGACACCGAGTGGGATGGAGAGTGGGCCATGGGGTCCCACAGAGCCCGGCTGCCATATCGGCCGCTCCGACTGGGTAAAAGACGACATTTGTTAACAGTTAGTGAAGAAAAGTGGATTGAGACAAGTGGTGATCCAAAGGGCGACGTTTGCATGGATTCCTGTTTTTGTTCTTTTTCACTTCGTGCCGACTGAGGAACAGGACTGGTTAAGATTTCACAAATCATCTTGCTTTGTATTGAAGTTTCAATGTTCAGAAGCAACAAGTAGGTGTGGACAGAAAGCCGTTACTGGCTATCGGGTAAAGAAAGTTGTTCACATCGCTTTGTTATAACTGTTTTTTCTACTTTTCCACTCATGTAGTCTTACTGTACACACAAATAGAACCACTGTAGCAGGGATACAACACCGTACTGTCTGTGTCAGATTGGACATGCATGGAGGACATTTGAAATGTGTGGGACACGGCACATATCGGGACCCACTCCTACTGGCTGCTGGTCACGGCTAAAAACAGATTGATGGAAACATAAGAACCAGAGCGCAACTGACCTTGGTAGATACGGTTTCCAGCCAGGGTACCTTCAGAGACGCACACAAACACCTGTTAGAATGGCATTTCACATTTTCTACTCCTAAACTCGTATACTAAGCTGTACTATTTCACATCTGCATCATGTTCTGTGATAGTCGGTACGATCTCAAGCGGTTGCTTGCAGAGGCGGGGGCACTCCTTTGCTTCTATGTGGCCTGCCCAGTCCCCAATACAAAACCAAACCGGCACTCGTTTCCACGGTAAACTGCTCTAGGAGGCCCGAGACCCGGGGACACGTCCCTCAGGACATGGTGGACTAAACCAGAGATCCAACTGAAGTGCATCCTGCTTCCCCTGTGTTTACCGGCAGTAGGCAGCGGTTTGCTAGTGTGAGGAAACGCAGTGGTATGGAGAGACTGGCTGAGACAACAGCCAATCCCGAAGCTGATTGTCTCACCGCTTTGCTGACGCGTGGACAAAATGGCAGAATTGAAATATAAACACTTGACAAGTATCGGGATTCTTTCTGGAAATGGACCCGGCAGAGTGTTGGAGGCTCTATTCTTATATATTCACACTGTGACTGCATTTGTTTTGTTATAGAATAAATACTGAGTTGATTGAGAGGAATCGCCCCACGAGTCAGACGGGACACAAATTCTTTACAAAAGCCCAGCAGCCATTAGCACATAGCACTCATACCGCCTACCAAAGACTCATTTATACATTTTTAATTTTGTTCTCAAGTTTGCTATTTTTTTTCGACAGCTCATCCCAAAACTAAATGCAACAATTTATATAAAAGTCAGTATGAACTTATACTGGAGAGCCAATGCTTCAGCCGATAATTACAATCTCCTCAGTGCAGATGTCAGTTTGAAAGCTTGAAACAATTAAGAGGTCATTTTGAAGACAAAATTGATTTTTGGTCAAATTTTATAGATAATTTAATTAATAAATGTCCAGCATTTTAACCAGGTCACATGTTCCCCAATCAATTGATCAACTAGTTTTGATGGCTGGGTGATACGTATTCCATTGGAAGTTTAATGTAATACATTACTTGAACGTACTACGAGAGCGAGAAAGCCGCACACACTAAGCCTTTAGTGTGCGTTTCCAGCGGCTCCACACATGCCACACACCGCAGTCAGTCGGGGTAACCTGTTAAATGAGCATTCACTCTTAATACTGACTTGTTGCGCAGGTCTCTGCAGGCAGCAGTGTGGTTGACGGTGTTAACATGGTCAACCCAGTCCTGAAGAAAAATGACAAGCAGAAGAGCAAGATATTACAATATGAAAGCAATAGACAAAATCATAGTCACAGCTGTATTCACATGAAGAAATAATGTGTTCTATATCCAAGTTACTCTTCATCATCTTCATTATAAAATAAGAGGTCTCCTTGTTGGAAATTCTGTTGTCATAACAACTGATTGTGGACCGTGGTCCTGCCTCCTCCCTGCTGCATGAACCCACATCTCATTTACGCTCAGCAATAGCTTTGCTTCTTCCTCAGTCTTTGTCTCCGCACAGGTTTCCATGGTTACGTCATCATTAAAGGTCACATTTCCATAACTGGTTTTATTGCCATTACCCTTCATTTCTCCATCATTATTCTGCTCACTACTCTCAGTAGTTTATCTTCTCTGTCATAGGCGTTGAATTGTACATCTTTCACATTGTTCATTCTGTACATATGACATTCATTGAACTGTGTCCATCCTCTGCCGGTCTCCAAAAGGGGCCCCCTTTTCTCTCCCGTTAAAGGTGTGATGTGAAGATCACAGGAGAGAAGTCACGTTTACAGATTGTGGATCTGTTGCTAGATCATTACATGCAATTGATTGAGGATTCATTGAACTTATACTCAATAGTAGGGGTGGGAATCTCTTGGCACCTCACGATTCGATTCCGATTCAGAGGTCAACGATTCGATTCTAAACTGATAAAACGATTATTGATGCATCTCGATTTTCTAAATTTTCTCAAATCTGAGTTTGCTACTCAGAGGTTGCTAATCACTTCCTACTTTATTTGATAATTAAAGAAAATCAACAGATGAATTACATTCTCTAATTTTTTATAAGAGAAAAAAAAATCTGACAAATATGATTTTCTATCAACAATGCAAGAACCAATGCAGCTTGCATTTCAACACAATATGGAAGTAGTCTATGTAAAAAATAAATATTAAACAGATTCATTTTTCATTTAAATGAATAAAAAGCTGCTCTTAGTCTCAGACCGGTCTGTATTTGTAAAATACCGGAAAAAAGTCCAAATCTGTGAATATCTTGCCAACTTTCAATACGGATCGACTTTTTGGAAAATCAAAATAATGAGGTAAGATATGCGCAGGCTCCTTCATAGTTCGGTAAAGTTGGCAAGATATTCAGATTCAGACTGACGGACCGGTCTGCGAGCTGGACGCATTGCTCTTAATGTGCCGGTAATGATAGTAAATGATGGTTGTAGCTGGTTGTCATCTACGGTCCACTACGATTACCGAAGGGGGGCGTTTGTTTTCTGACGTTTTATCTCATAATTTCGTCTTTTTCTATAGTTGTGTGAATGCATCACTCCAGCCAATCTAAAGACGAGGTTTGTAACCAATCAGGTGTAGAGACCATGGTGACTGGCTCCGCCCCCTTACTGTCAAAAAGAAAAACAGACGAACCTCGCGAGCGAGGAAGTTCACGCTCCGCGAGCGAGCAAATATCTTGCGCGAGACGGGCTTTTTTTTTTTTTTTTAATTCCGATGATTAACTTTTCTGAATCGAGACCGAATCGTTCTAGAGAAAATCGAGAGAAATCAAAAAAATCGATCGATTTTTTTTCCCCCACCCCTACTAAATAGGCTACAAGGCTTGTTTTCTCATTAATTACATTTCTTGTAGATTTGTCAACCTTTATTTAGACCAACATTAATCTAATAATGACAAAATGTATGGTAAAACAATTTTTTTTGGATCTTTGCAAATACCACACCTTATGTGAAGAAAAAGGACAATCACTCAAATACAGGTAAAAGACATAGGCAGCGTACAAACCACTTTAAAACGTTGGGATAGTCAACAACACCATTTAAAATGAAAAGCTCCACGGCCAGGGTCTATTTAACAGTTATTCCTGTTGAACCAACTAAACATTTCTACTGTTTGTAGCAACTTTAAGAAAATAATTGTATCTTGTGGACGTCCTCCCAGTCCAATAACAGATGAGTGAACATGCGGCTTCAGTGTTAAGGTTTAGAATGACAGTAACGTCTGAACTTAACTGGCCTTCATAGCAGATTAGCTGGATCCATAACGTTTAATGTCATATATTAGCTTACTCACAACTGGATGTATTCCACGAAACCAATGGAATAGGCAAACGGGTTTTCCCATGAACTGTGTGAAGGGCCAGCATTGTTTAGAAATGTGTGATGCTGTTGGAATTTTCAACCTTACACTTTATTCACTAAAGCATTTTCCTCATTAACTGGTTCAGCATTAGTATTTTGTCCCGTTAATGCTGGAGTCTTCGTCCCATTAGGTCAATGAGCAAAAAAGGGGTGTGTAGCTATTTTGGTTATATAAGGAGTTGTAATGGACCCGCCCATGAAACCTCTTGTTGTGTAGTATTTGAAAAAGCAGTTGTTTTAATAATGGGCTTCACAGTAGCGTAGTAAGAGGGGCTTTTGGGGCCATGCCGGACACTCGTAGTTTAAAATCTTACTTCACTTCACTACGCTATGGTTCCGTGCTGGGTCCCCTCCTGTTCTCGCTTTACACCAACTCTCTTGGCGCTGTCATTCGCTCGCATGGCTTCTCTTACCACAGCTATGCGGATGACACCCAACTAATTCTCTCCTTCCCTCACTCGGACACCCAGGTGGCGGCTCGGATCTCTGCCTGTCTAACTGACATCTCTCAGTGGATGTTCGCCCACCATCTGAAAATCAACCCCGACAAGACTGAACTACTTCTCTTTCCCGGAAAAGATTTGCTTACCCAGGACCTGACAGTCAACTTTGGAAACTCTGTGCTAACGCCCACTTTGACCGCTAAGAACCTCGGCGTCACATTCGACAGCCAACTCTCCCTGACTCCCAACATCACCGCGACAACGCGATCCTGTAGATACACGCTCTACAACATCAGGAGAATACATCCCCTTCTCACTCAGAAGGCAGCGCAGGTACTGATTCAGGCTCTTGTCATCTCCCGCCTGGACTACTGCAACTCCCTCCTGGCTGGTCTCCCTGCCACCGCCATTCGACCTCTGCAGCTCATTCAGAATGCAGCAGCTTGACTGGTCTTCAACCTTCCAAAATTCTCCCACACTACTCCACTCCTCCGCTCTCTTCACTGGCTACCGGTGGATGCTCGCATCCAGTTCAAAACATTGGTGCTCACGTACCATGCTGTGAATGGATCGGGTCCAGCTTACATCCAGGACATGGTCAAACCCTACATCCCAACCCGCACTCTCCGCTCTGCATCTGCAAAACTACTCGTCCCTCCCTCACTGAGAGCAAAACACTCGACTAGATCACGACTCTTTGTTGTCCTTGCGCCGAAATGGTGGAACGAGCTCTCTGAAGACATCAGGACTGCAGAGAGCCTTCACATCTTGCGCCGCAAACTAAAGACACACCTCTTCAGACTCTACCTCGACTAAAGACTAACAAATTGTAGCACTTAAATTGTACTTGTAACATCACTCATCCATAGCAAATTGTAAATTGGCTTATTTGAGGAAATTGCACTTTGTTTCTTGTTCTCCTGAGTTTGTACCCTATGGTTGAATGCACTTATTGTACGTCGCTTTGGATAAAAGACATGTTATACAAACGCTAAATGACATGTAATGTAATGTACGCAGTTGTCTTTTGAAAAGCACTGCTGTAATGTCTGTGAGGTCACCCGTGGTTACTTAAATCAGAGCATTCTATGCAAAGGGGAGAAAGCCCGAGTGGAGCTGTGGTAGGATGAGCACATGACATCCAAATTATTCTTTCATTTTACAATCAAATTAACCACAGCACACATCAAACTTCTTAAAACAACAAGTAAATCATTGTTCAACTAAGGACATTGAGTCATTAATAGATGCCATCTTGTCAGTGAATGCAGCACTGCATCTGACACCAATACTGGTGGACACCTGCCGTTATGACTGTGGGGTACAAATAATGCTTTCAAAGGAAAGCGCAGTGCAAAGGCATAGTTGAGATCCAGTACTCAAACCAAAGCTAGCTGCATCATTTCGAGTAGGGTCAGAGTCCATGAGCCTCTCCCCAGACACCGCTGCTCGTACAGTGCTTAACCTGCTTAATATAGATAGCTAGGACATTTATTAGGCTCTAAAACTACTTCTACAACTCTTAACTATATAATCCAAAACACATTAAGTACATCAACGAATGTTGGTTTTATTTTTGGATCCTATGATATTGTTTGTAGCCCCATGGGAAGATACCTCTGATTTAGAGCAACTGTACCTGAGCCTACTTTTAATATACATTTTGAACCATGCCAAACGGTACTTGGATTAATGTCAACAAACGCCTGGTGAAGAAAAGTTACCACAACATAACATGTGACGGTATTCCACTCAGACATCGGTGCAAGAGTACGTTGGCACTCACCTTTTCCTGATCACACTGTGAGTGGCACAGGGAGCAGGTATGGGGATACACCTTTGGCGACACAGCTGAGAAATCACTTATCATGGTGGGGGTCGGTAACTTTTTGCTGCTGACGCGTGGTCTTGAGCCAGACGAAGAGGACAGAGACCGCCTCGAGGATGCTTCGCTTTTGGCTTCAGATGGCGGCCTAGGTTTGGGTGCGTCGCGCCTGTAGTCCCGGTCCAGATTACGAGATTTGGATGACCGTGCAAATTCTCTCCCAGGTGACCGACTGCTCTTGCGATGGTCGCTACCCGTCCTGCGATAGTCCCGGTCTCCGTGCTTACTTGACTCATTGTGTTCCAGACGAACCTGCCGCCTTTCTGTTTTCTCCAACTTTGGAGCTGATGACGAGAATGACGAGGACGGGTACATTTTAACTGTCCTGTCATTGGAGAGCCGCTCTCTCTTGAATGTTTCTCTGGTACCAGTCTCTGCCTTCGCCCTACTGGCATGACCATAGTCAATGACTTTGCCGGCTGTCTGTGTAACAGTAAGAAGGCTGGGCACTTCTGGTGAGCGTGAACGTTTCAATGGTGAAGAGCGGGAAGGAGGCAGCGGCATATCACGAACACTGCGTGGGAAGGACGATGACGACGTAGAGGCCACAGTCTTCTGGTTGCCCGTCTTGTTGATTTGGATGTCACGAAGTATGAACGGTAAAGTATCTGGGGTCAGCTGATCATCAGGGTAGTGACTCAGCACTTCTAAGTCCTCATTTGAGAGTCCAAAGCTAGCCAGGATGCTTCCTGCACTCTCTGGTGTGTACAAAGCCGGACCATCCCCACTGCCACCACTTCCGCCAGCATTGGGGTGCCGTGCTTGCGGGGATGGCGAGTCACTTACTGTGGCTGCCCAGCTTGGGATGCTTGTTCCAGCATGGCTGCTCTGTGGCTGCTGTTGAGGCCCCTGTTGTCTTTGGGACTGATGGCCAGCACTCGGCGGAGGACTTGCAAATAGTTTAGTTGGAGGTTGGTAGCTGGACCAGTCTACTCCTTGCTGTTGACCGGACTGATTATCGGAGGAGAGTGTCATTGGGTTAGAGCCGTAACTTCCATGTTGACTGATCCCAGAAGCAGAGCCTTGGTTCTGGTGTTGGTTCGGTTGGTTCATGTGGTCAATGTGGCGGTGATCCACATCTCTAGCACCCCGGATAGCCAGGGCAGACTCCAGCTCATCGGGAAGCTGTGTAGGACGAGGGAACTGGAAACCCATCACCGGCGACAGCATATTCGAGGGAGGACGATTCTGATGCGGATTTGGGGGCTGCTGATGATGAGGAGGTCTCGGCCCACTAGAGAAAGGCGGTGGCCCTTGTTGTTGGGAGTGCTGGTGGTACATGGCAGCAGAAAGACTTTTGTTTCTGTACGTTTTTCTGTTTGTGCTCACGTTAAACCCAACTGATGAAACCTGCGGTCTATTGAGGAGACTCAGGAGGGCCAGGTGAGGCGGCAGTGCCAACGCAAATCCGTTGTCGTTGTGACAGTGGTTGCCAATGGTGATGGTCGCTAGTGTAGCAAGCTGCTGAAGAGCAATCTGCACACAAGTCTCAATCTGAGCCAATCGGAAAGCTGTCACTGCGGCAGCACCAGCCACGGGTCCAAATAGGAAATGGTTCCCTCTGGTGTTGTTGGCCAGGGGGAATGTTGCACTGGGCTCCAAACGAAGGGTAGGAGCGAGGTGCAAATGTCTGTCAGTGTGCACAGCGAGGCTGTGAGGTGGAAAGCAGAAATATACTATTACAGATGAACAAGCTTTGGTTTTTCATTTCATAAATAGATTTCAGATGAAGTCCTTTTCACCGTTTTTAATAACAAATTGTTTCAGTTCTCATTTTGTTTGTGGTTTCTTTCCTTTAGAATTTGTGAAAGCACCAAGAAATCACCTCAAGTTGTATTTCTTGTAGTCCCACAGTGCTTTTCTTTGAGGACAGGGAAAGCAAAGCAACATTATGCAAGACAGAAAATATTGATTAAACCTGTAAGGACACTACCGACAAAGACCAAAGCTCTGGGCCATATAGAAATAATAAATATCTGCCTGCTTCCAAAGAAACACTTGTTAGCCTACTGTGCATGTTTACTATTGAAACATTTAGGCCTCCTGGTAAAACATTCAAAGCACAAAAGAACAATTTTACAATTTATTTTTTAAATATTCCCTGCAGGCTGTATGCATCATGGTCATTTATACAAATTCTAAAGCACACTTACCATTTCCTGGAACGAAATGAACACATAAAGTACTGCAGAGAACTTTGCGTAATGCCAGTAAAACACAAACACTTTGAACAACATGTAGGCCTGAATGACGTTAAATGTGTTTCACTAGACAAAAAAAGTCTACTTAAGATTCGGGTGCCTTTATGAGGCTTCCTCTTGGTGTCTGAGCAGATTGAAATACTTGCCTTACACTACTCTGGTCACTTCATCCTGACCCGGGCTGTAGTGGTAAAATTAGAGGCAAGTAAACAAAGAATCTTGTGATCAGAAAGACCTCACCGTGACGCAAAGCAATTGACGCAAATCCCGAATGCGTGCGGATAAGTGCTAATGCACCTTCAGTCGCTGAAAGAATTACAGATGCAAGTTATTAATAGCGTTGGTCCCGGTCTTAATGCAATGTTGTGCGAACCAAAAGAACTCGGTGGTCTCTTCAGAAATTGCCTGATATCTATGGCTAATTAATCCACTCCGCACAGGAACGCAGACTAAAGCCTAGTTTATGCTTCTGCGTTTTCAGAGTGACGCAGACGCAAGACCCCCTTGCGTGTCTTTTCACACCTCCTTGCGTGCCTGCGTGTCGGTTGTAGAAGCGGGTTGTAGGAGGGAGATCGCCGCAAACGTCGGTCGAGAGGTGCACAAAGTTGTGGAGGAAAATACTGGACAAATGTGTCCTTGATGAAAAGCAGCCGTGGCGATGCACGGGGCAATAAAGTCTATGATAAATAAATAAACAAACCAACAACTTTCACACACAAAGACGTGACTCTTTAGTCTTCAACAAACACGTTACTCCGCCAGTCGTTCTGGCGGTGAATCTGCAACACGCGCAAGACTTTTAGAACCATGAATTGAAATGAGTGCATCGACGCATAAGCATGCGCCAGTCTTTATCCACAACGCAGTGCCCCCCTCCCCCCGAAAAACGCTTAGCCATGGATATCAGGCAATTTCTGAGTGGTCCCACTGCCACAGAGGCCCACAAAAGGCCTCAGCTGCAAAGTAAGACTAAAGAAGATCAAATACCATTTTAAAACTTTGTTTTGGGTCGCACATCATCACATCAGGACGAACGCCATTATTAACATGCGCTCAAATACGATGATGCAGTAACAAGCCAGCCTCCCCTTTCCATCTAAATGGCCCCAATAAAACGGAAATTCTTAGCAATTGAAGATGCATCAGTACTTATCCTCACATAGTTGCTCTTTGAGTCAATTGCTTCGCGTCACATTTGATCACAAAATTCATAGTTTACCCAGCTCTTATTTCATCACAGTCATCACAGTAGTATTTCAATCGGCTCAGGCGCCAAAATTAAGCAACAATATTAAACGTAGCGTTGCGTGTTTTAAAATTACACCACATATATTTTGGCTGTTCCAACAGCAAAATACAAGGCGGAGGGAGAGTTGAAGTGCGTAAGTTAATATGGTACAATCATTTCTTCTGTGATCGGACCTTGCATGTTAATGTGACATCGTCATAGGGATTCGGTTTTAACAGGGAAAATGCGTATGTAATAGCAGGTTAAATGAATACGCTGTTCCTCACTGTGTTGGAGGGACTGTGATTGATCCCATATGTGAGATTCAAGCTGGATTTAAACAGGGTTTTCCCAACTTCATAAATAATAACATATCAAATATATTATTTTAAGGGATTTAAATCAATGATTTGTGTCTAACCCATTGACACTAATCGAGCTGTTCATGTCCTGTCGGACCATTATCCAATATTGAGATCTCTCAAGAAAAACGGGAATAAAAAGCGACCGACTTTTAAAAGAAAAGAAGCAGTTGAAGCAAAATGATCCGAGCCTCTGACAAACATTCTGACCGACTTCAGTCTTTCTCACGTGTTAAGCTGCTGCAGCACTAAACAAACAGACATGTGCACCAATGGCCTGGCTATTCAGACCCCTGGGTGCACACTTTCTGTCATCGGTTTCACACTGAAGGTCAGAACTGTAACTCAAGTTATCATGTTCACAAATGTGATTTCTGTTGCCAAATAGGACACACGTGGGGTCTCACTCTCGCAATAGTACACCAATAACTTTATTGTAGTGGTCAATGGCATTTCCGGTGGAAAGTATCAAATCCGAGAAATAGAGACCCGGAGGCGCTCCCGGGTAACGGTCCTATTCTCACTCCTCTGTACAGTATCTAGGTACAATGGAGCTTGGTGAAGCGGGTCTCGCTTCCACGTAGGCGCCGAGTGACTGTAGAGCTGCACCAGAGTCCTGCATGTCGGGTGTTCGGGTTCGGTGCTCCTGAGACACGAACCCCGCAGCAACGTTTTGATTAAAACTCGTTCAAAGCGGCTACATGCAGACCTCCAGGCAAACGACACCCGGCCGCATGCTTACGTGTGGAGCGGAGCATACTATGATAGAACAAATACCTAATTTGAGCAGATAGCCAACCAGGTAGACCCAGACATACCGGCCATTTTGGGTGTTTTCACGACGCAGCGTTAGCTTTAGCTGGCTAGCGTTAGCTACAGAGATGAGACCCGTTACATTCAATGAACGCTCGCGCCATTTCTAAATCCGTAACACATCAAATGAAATATACTTGTGACCAATGTTCGGTGTGAGTCTTTGTTGTTACCGAATAGTCGTGATTCCTTTTCAACCCGCAGTCTCTAGAATCAGGATGTGTTCCAACGTTACAGACAGCGAGATGCACTTCCCCTCTCAGTTTTTCAGAATAAAACATCAAGACATATCGAAACAAAAATACGCATTTCCTGCTGGATGAAGCTGTTCTTATAACTTATGTTATACAAACATTAGGAAATTACCTTAGACCTCTTATTTGGGTTTCTCAAACATACATTTTTTTTAAGTGTAAAAAAAAGAGAAAGAGACTTTTATTTGTTACATCATACTGTGCAGTAGGCCCTCTGATGCAAACCCAACTGCATCACACCCAAAACGGTAGAAATTAGAAAGGTCTGCTTGTATTTCTCTTTTCTAGTCTTCCATCCACTCATGACACATTTACATCACATGGTGCTAAAATACACAGTGACACATGCCCATCAGTAACTAACATTCAAAATGCAATTTTGAGATTAAGTGTCTTGTCTAAGGACATATCAACATGCGGATTAGAGGAGCTGCAGATACATCCGCCGATCCTCCAATTGAAGGAGTCCTCAGGTGCACTCAGTATCTCCACCGGGTGTGTGTGTCTGTTAGCTGTTAGTAGCGTTATCCTCATTAGCTGTTAATACAAACACAATGCAGGACTGCTGTCCACCGGCTGCTGCCAGCTAACTGGCTCCCTTCCATGTCTTGAGTGGAAACAGGTTTCAAATTTAAGCAGTTATTGATGACGTCACTTTCTGGACGGTTGAGCGTGGTGGGGAGGCAGTAGTCAATGGTAGGAACAAAATGGTATGACGGTAAATAAAATGAGACTGATGCATCCGGTAGTATGCAAGACATGACCAGTTACTAAAACATAAAAGACAATGACTAATAAGGTTGGTAATTAGATGGCAAAATAACTCACCACTGAGTATAGTGTGCAGGTTATATAAGAAAGAAAGGGGAGAGGTAAAGAACAGCATGTCATTGAATGTGATGTGCTCATCTGTTTCTGCAATAGCTTCACACTGCTGGCCCCACTTAACCTGAATGTCAAGGGTCAAACTTTATAGCAGCTCGCTGTTGCCCTGTGTGTGTTTCTTTCTTGCACAGACATAATCCACATAACATATTCATGACATTTGAAGGTTGAGACTTGGTTTAGTTAGAGTTTTGGTAAGTCTCCAGCAAATTATTCAATGTCTTTAAAAGTTATGTTTGTGTGTGTGTGTGTGTGTGTGTGTGTGTGTGTGTGTGTGTGTGTGTGTGTGCGCGCGCGTGTGTGTGTGTGACTCTGAGTTTCTGTCTGACCACGTTGCTCACACATGGACAACAATAACGGACACACACTCCAGGGACACACAGTGATGATTAAAGCGTACTTTATTTAGAAGTATTATGGAGCACTTTGGTCAAAATGCTCACTGGCAGTGCTCGGACATATTATATTCAAGATGGACCACAAGCTGCGGTTCAGTCCTCATGTTTCCACTTGATACTTGTTTTTACACCTAGGCAGCATTCCTAAGTTGAGTCATGTGAATTACTTAATTAGATCATCTAGATCAAGTGTGCCTTAGGTAGTAAATAGTGGATCAAAATACTACCAAGGCTGGGACAAGGTCTTCATGGGAGTCACGGGGTATGTCCATAGATTGCATACAGAGAATGAACATCGTCACCACCATGTCACCTATTGGTTTGTGGTCTTTTTGACGTAGGGCGTAACAGCGAAGTAGGACGTACGGACGACAGGATGGACGATGTGTTCAAACAAGGAACACTTCAAGAACCGGATGTGGGGAGAGATTTTACAGAAATCAACAAGATCTCCTGGGGCATTTAGTTTAGTAATCTGCTTTCAGTGTGTTGAGTAACGTACTTCCATCAACTATTATTCATGTGATTCAATTTGTGACTTTACGCGGTTTGGTTGCAAATAAACATCCTTTGATATTGATTGAACTATGTGGTCAGGCTTATTTTTATACAAGTATGACCCTGACGCGTGACTCTCAGAAACGCTAACTGAATAATTAATGCTGACAGAAGCCTCACAGAGCCGATTTCGGACATAGATGAGCTAGTCGGTCACCAACACAACACCAGCTGGAGGAGCGAGACGTTTTTTTGCCATTCATTTCATTTCAGATGTCCAATCGATTGATCAACCAAACCATTGGATCACACAGCTGTGTAAGAACTGTGCATGATAAGCAGGTTACTGGAGGTCCCAGATCACAGATTGACCCACAGTGGCACAATACTCATGCAGCAAACGTGTGCTCCGGTCATGTAGTTGTCAGAGAGTCAGTTAGTTCAACAAAAGAAGATCTCACTAATCTGCATGCCGAAATGGAGAAAAGGATTAAACCAAGAATCAATGAGTCTATTAATTTATAGCTATCAACAATAATTCCAGATGTTTGCTCCTGGAAGGACTACTTTCAAAAGCACCAAACTGTTAAGACACTGACTGTGTTGTGAGCAGCTAATCCAGCTAATCCACAACATGTACAACAAAGTAAATATGAGAGTTATTGGGAAATGTCAGAAAAAGTGGAAAAGACAGAAGAAGCAAAGTTCTTTTTGGACACAAGCAGGAGAAGCTGAAGGAGGAGATGGAGAAGGCAAAATCCCTGAACTCAAGTTGTCGAAACAGCAGGTTTATTAGGTCGTCGAAGCATGCTGACAAGCCGAGGCCGGTGGGACAAGCCTTAAAGATCACAGCTGTCTGCACTAATAGAAAAAGGATTCCTCTCAGAAAGAAGAAATTAGTTAAATATTTGTCCCCGTCATGTTATTTCTGGCCTCTCTATTCACATCCATTAACACTTATGTGTACACAAAAAACAAAGTGGCAATAAGTGAAATACTGAGGCTATTGATCCACTGCAGCCAGTACAAATGTCATATACCCAGTTGTGCTGATTAGCATACAGCAACTTTAAAGGCTCACTGTGCTTTTTTTATTTGGGAAATTTCAAAAAGGCAAAATTTGAATAGCTGGAAACCTCTAGGACTTGGGTTTTTATTCTTGCCTTGAGTAACATTTTCACTCTATGATTTCACACAAAATAGGGGACTCAACGTGTTCATATCCGTTTCCATCATATTCATAAATTAAGTTTTCAAATTGTGATATTCAAAACTCGCCTCAGTCAAAACAAATGGAATGCTTCAGATAAGAAATGCTTAAAGAAGTCCATGCAAAAGCCTGGAGGGTGAATATGATGAGCATTGGTCACTGATTTACAGAACAAACAGATGAATGGCTTTCTACGTCACCACATGATGTTCTCCACTTCCTCTCTCAAACTTTAGGAAGTCATAAAGTGTCCCTGCCCCTCTCGGCTAACCCTGTTACTCACTGATGAGCCCTCTGAGCTCGCTTCTTCTCGCTGAGCTTCTGCATCTCCGGACCACTGTGGAAGTCCGAAGCACCACCCTCAAAGATCCACAAAGGACAGACTGAAGAGCCAAAGACGGGACCAATCCAGAATGTGAGACCGTCCAAGGCCTGCTGCCACCATCTCCAAAGTCCCAACTAAGTGCAAACTTTGAATTCTTGTTGCTGAACACTGCTCCGTGTGCGCCCGTTTCAAGTGACCTCGCTCCCTCTCTTTTTGCCTCCACCCTCTCTGGCATTTCACAGACAGCATTACACCCGTCCCCCTGTATCACTCATACACACCGAAGCAGGGTGAGTCATTTTTATCACCCCCCCGACGCTGTCAGAAATGCATTCCGAAAGAAATAGTTCACTGGCAAAAGAAAGGCATCTCCGATGACAGCATATCAATGTGAATATGTTGGCATTGCAGTGTTTGGATTTCAGTACAACACGCACAACACATTGACAAGACTTCCTCTGGCCTTTAAACTGTATTTAGCTGTTCGTAATACTCAGTCAGGCGGCATCAAGGGTTAAGCCTCTTTAACAGGATGGTAGGTCACAAGTCACAGCCTCAGGGTCTCCAGTTACACCGGACCGCTGATTCAGAAGCAGAGTGGTCAAGGAGGACAGTTGGAGGGGAGTCGGGTCGGACCGATAGATGAAGATAGAGCGACGGGGGTATTTTAGGGCAGTGAGAAATGGAAGGAGGCAACACTCCGAAATGATCCAGAGGTTTTGGATGCTGCTGCAGAGAATCTGGCTCTTGCTGCTGTTCATGTTGATGTTGCTGTTGATGTTGCATCAGTCAGAGACTCAAGTCAAGTCTCAAATGTCACAGTGAGCAATGAAGAAACAATAGTGGACTCCTACCAATACAGAAAGACACATGAAAGGTTAATAAAGCAATTTAGCTGTTGCCCCCGCGCGACCCGACCCCGGAGAAGCAGGTTGAAGACGAGTTGAGATGAGAGATCTTTTCAGCTCCGGTTCCCTCATCTTCAAAACGGTCGACATTAAGCTTTTTATTATGGGGATTGAATTGAATGATCATTCGCCAAAAATAAAAGTCTTATTCATATGAGAGAACCAAGCTGGCCTTCAAAGAGACATGTCAGTCATACACACTCTATTGGACAGCAGTTTTCGCTTCAGGCCGATTTTATCTTTAACTTGTAAATGATGATGGCAGTAAACATAACGATATGAATAAAGATGGCTTTTATTATGGTCATGTATGTAAATACGTGGTTTGGCTGTGACTCCCGGTGCTCTATGTGCAAATCACAGAGTGACAGCGGTTGATGGATATGATTGATGATGGTTCCATTTCTGCCCAAGCAAAAAATGCAAAACCCTGAGCAGCATGAAATTCCATCTGTGTCTCCGAGTGTGTCGGCGAGTTGCATGTGGGACAGAGCTACAGACTGTACATCTATATGTCCGCCTGCCTGTCTAGCTGTGTATATACACATATTTATATATGTGACTATTTTCCTCTGTTCCATCCACTCAACAAAACAAGAATACCAGAAAACACCAAGTAACAAGCTTAAAAAAAACATTGATGTAAAGTTATCAATGTTTACGGAATTGTTACGGCAAACAGGCTGATCACACATGTTTCTCCACAGGAGGAATCTCCAGAAGCAGGATATAGATCATGCGTTTCCCATCATGTCTTTGTGTTGCGCTGGTGGTCTGGTGGAGGGTCTCCTCCTCCTCGGGGCTCTGCACCATCGGTTTCCCCTCTGCCCCATGTTCACCCTGCTTCTGTACAAGTCGGTCCGCTTCCTTTCACCAAGAGATGTTCTTCCATTTTGCGCTTCTTCATACTTTTCAGACCAGCCTTTTTAAAAATGTTTCTTTTATTGAAAAGATATGCCACGTTATACGAACCAATGAATTATTGAACCTTTCAATCCAGGATTAGTCTGAGGTCACTCAAAGAATCAGGCTCTGTCTGGAGCACCGTGTCATGAATCAGAAGTCATTTAGACCCTCTCTATAAATGAGCCAATATTAAACACAGAAAGACACGATTACAAAAGGACCACTTTTCTGCAAGTACTATGATTCCTTTTATTTTATTTTGAAGCATCTTCTGCCGATATGATTTATGTGTACTTTCTTCTTTTAAAATGATTGTACCTACAAGTACCTTTATTTGAGTGCACCAACCACAGGTAGGTTTTAGACTGCTTTTAGAATGTGCGTAGGGGTCTACAACCTCACTGGTTGTGTTTGATTAAAACGAGCTGCCTAGTTACTCTGGGAAAACCACAGACCCGTACGGACCCCATATGGTCTCGGTCTGCATCATTTGTGGTGTGAAAGCAGTTCACACTTTTTTGGGAAATGTGTGTTCCCATTCTTAAATACCACTAGAGCTCCACCACGTGGTCGATTTGAATAGTGCAGCTGATACAAAATATGATTAAGTCAATGTTTCAGGATTCAGTTTTTTGTGATGACATCAGTGTCCTCGTCCTTTCAGTGACATTCATTGATTCCTGATTCCCGATTCATGTTGGGATAACGTAGCGCGTGAGATAATCTGGATGTAACGTTTCGTTTTGATCAAAATTGCATCGTTTTCCAATTGTGACAGTGCGCATTCCATTTGCGCATACCCGGAAAAACACATCCCACGTGTTGTGGACGTCCCGACCCAGCGAACTGGAAGCATCAAGTTAAAGTAATTAATGTTATTACTACCGGAATTTAAGAGTTTTGCCTTCAGAGTAAATTGCAGGACCGGTTTGCCACAAATACAGCGAAAAATGAATTGTTGTAATTTTGTCAATGCATATTGATTTCATACATTTTCGTTAGATAAATCACAACATGTGTTATTTTACAAAATGATATGAAATTTAGAAGCAATTCTTTAATTGTATTATTGTCAAATGACAGCGACTTGCTTTTAGCAATTTAGGCTGCTGCATGAGATGAAAAATACTAAATGAATTAAAAACTTGCACTGCATAATTTGATATTCTTCTGTGTATTGTAATTGTAGTTTTTGTTGTTAGCTCGCTCATTTTAAGCACTTGTTTGTGAAGCCCTTATTGTGAAGGTTGATAACGGAAGTAGTCCATCTCACTGTGGCACATTTACGCTTACAGGAGTTTCATGCGGTGTGCATGAGGTTCTTCGCAGCACAGATTCAGTACCAACGAACAGGTAACGTTGTTACTTTTAACAAACTGTTACATGCTGACATGTAGTGGGGAAACCTCGGAAATCAAGCACACTGGAGGCGTTTTAACCGAAACTTTATAAGTGAAATTCAATGATGCTGGCCCGCGTTACCTTGTTAGCCGACTGGTGCTAAAGTGAATGTGAATTAACGTTACCTACTTCAGTTCACGTTCTAACTTTAACAGTTATAACTTTAACGTTGGTTAAATGCTGACGAACGTTAGTTGAGCAATACATGGAAAATGTTAAAGCCGACCGTCGACCCCTCGTGTCCACAGTACTTTTTAAATATCTACGAAACATCTCAGATCCTCTCATGCTGTGTGGTTCAAAGCCTGGTTCTGTTCCTCTGGGTCGTCGAACGGCCGCAAACACGACGCTGCTCTGCGGGTCGTTTCACGCCACGTGTCGTCTTCACGCCTGACGCCAGACACGTGAAATGTTTTGCTTCAGATGGAAGAAAGTCTCCCTGAGCAGAATGGACGGACGACTCCCGCGAACACCACGGATAAGGAGGAGGAAGAGATGGAGGTGACCATGACGTCACGACTAGAAAGTCTCACCGTGCCCCCCGTCAGCGCAGTGACGTCATCAGACACGCAAACCCCTCCAGAGGAAAGCAGCGATGCTGCGCTGCCTGTAGCCCCAGCGTGTGAGGAGGAGGATTCAGACAGGTGATCACTCACAACTCCACCAAAGGCTCTTATTGGTTCTCACTGCAGCACAAGAACTTAACTGAAGCTTCTCCTCTCCTGTCGCCAGCGATAGCTCATCCTCTTCGTCGTCATCGTCCTCGTCCTCCTCCTCGTCGTCCTCCTCTTCTCCCACTGTGCCCATTTTTGAGGATGAAGATGATGAGAGCTTCAGCCAGCCAGCCCCCATCAAAACGCGAGATGAGGTCCTGCTGGAGGTCAGTCTGTGGGGGCCAGTCATGCTCAAAGAGTACAAAACAGGAGATCTGTGGTCAAACTAAGTAATTTTATCAATCTGGAAAGCTGTAAATAATTATTATAATCATTACTGTGGTGATATATGACATTGTGATGAGATCAGAAAATGATTGACAGGTGGGGCAGATTTCCCTGAGACTAGGCCACCTTACTGTCACTGGTAATCATCAACTGTAGCTTTTACCCCGAGAAAGTTGAACCCTGTTCTTGCTTGTCTCACTGCATCAGTGTCATGTTTCCTTTCCTTTTGCCATATGCTGTGTTCATGTTTTAGTTTTCATTTGTAAGGAGAACATGTTCGCCACAAGGTGTCAAAGTATACACAAGACACTCTGCAGACTCTCAGCAAACTACTGTTCAATATCTTTTCTAATATTGCTCATCGATTTGGATCTCATCAAATTTTTCCGGGCTTATCCAGCTAACTTAGTCAGCTTGCTCTGGAGCAGGTTCAAGTTTATGGATGTGTTTCTATGGTTATTGCGCCACGCTTGCTTCGTGGACCCCAAAAGCCTGATTTATCTAATGCTATCCTGACAATGATCCAGCTAACTCAGTTAGCCAGGTACGAGGAACGGAGGAACCAGAGGTTGAGCCTGTGTTTGTGTGCAGGAGCTGCCAGCGGTGGAGGACTTGTCTGTGTCGTTACCAGAAGATGCAGAACTGCAGCCTATAGGAACGATCTCCAGCATCATTCAGCAGCTCGGTGACAAACACGCACACAATCACAACGCAACTTTCTAAACTACTGTCAAAATAAAGTTTTTGTTAAGAAAAGTTGAAGTGGAGCCGTTGAGACTCATTTTTCTAACCGCACGTCTGCAGTTGTGATCCAGTCCCTGAAGGACACGCCCCCTTTAACTGATGACAGCGTCATCTTTACATCTGATAGGCTGGCTCTTGGAAAGGTGGGTGGACCTCTTGGTGACTTCTGTCCTCGGTCTGTTTGCGCCACGTTGGGTCCTACATGGTGATATTCTCTTTGTGTTTCAGGTCTTTGAGGTATTTGGTCCTGTGTCCAGTCCACTGTACATTTTGCGTTTTAACTCTGTGGACCAGATAACCAACAAGGGGCTGGCAGAGGGACAGACCGTCTATTACACGCCGGGCATCAAAGAGTACACAAGTTACATCCTCACACAACGGCTCAAAGTGTAAGTGCACGCACACACATCATATGATGCATGGAGACCAATATAACAATTGATTTAGTCCTTTGATTTAGCAGTTGTTTCTGTGGACTTAAAAAAGGCTTTTCCTTCAGGTTCAAGGGATCTGATGCGTCCTGGAAGAACGACCAAGAGCCACCAGTGGAGGTAAGCACAGAGACAGAACTGTTCCCCGAATGGCATTAGCAAGAATCCACCATGCCTGAAGGAAGACAACCAATCAGATGTGATCGTCATCCCTCTCAGTCCGTCTGCAGAGCCGCCGTGGGCCCTCACCTCGGCCACGTAGTTAGACCACCGTAACCAGGGGAACGAGCGTGGAGCAAAAAGCATTTCAGTCCGCAAACTAGTCAGGCGCCCAACACAGGAGGTAGTGAGCAGATAGTGCACAAGTTCCGCACATGCACCAAGGTGTTGTTGTGCAACGCGTTGTTTGTGCACATCTGGTGGTTCAGCGAAAAGTGCAACTAACAGAATGTACCATGAACTGCCCAAACAACCGCCAACAGAGGAGGAAATGGACCGTTGATCTCATATTCACAGACTACTTTATTCCCTTGATACAAGATTTGTTCAAGAAGTAAAACATTTATGAAACGTATTTACTCCAATGATTAATAACACTGGTTCTCCGTATCACAAGGAGGATGCAGAGAAACGGATAATCCGTCTCATGAACCACTATGTAACGGTGGTGCCATATTTAGTCAAATTCCAGAAAGTTTTAGAATTGCAATGACGTGAGTGTTTGTACAGACTGCTTCCTGTTTTACCTTCAGAGTCGTTTCAAGATATAAAAAAACAAGGACTTGAGAAAAAAGCCTGTGCTTTACATGCAAATATTTCTACTCATTTAACTTCATAAAGAGTTGGCACGACGACTGCTGCGTTTGATCCCACCCAATCAGTCTCTCCTCTCCAGGCTTTAGATTACAGTGATGATGAGAAAGAACAGGAAGCCAAGAAGAAAATGAAAAACTCCAGAAAGAAGAGGGACAATAACAACGCAGGTATTTGCACACACACAGGATGTGTAATGTCTGGTACTACCTTCCGAAAGAAGATGAAGGTAATAAACCGTACTCTGCCTCGTCACATTTTCCCCCCTCCCTCCAGATAATCCGGCCCACATTACCCAGAACGCCGCGCTGCAGCAGTGTGATGTCAGAGGTTTCCCACCAAGACACTCCGGACCTCCACCCAGGCATCAGAACCCGAGGACCCAACACCCACAGTTCAGACACGCACACCCACCGCCCAGACACAGCAACCCCCATCCAATGTACCCCCCCCCTCCCTGCCCCTACCCTCCACCGTCTCACTTTTTCCCCCCACCCAACTTTCCCCTGTATCCCCCCCCTCCTCCCTCTTTCGTTAACCCATCCTTTTCTTTGCCTCAAGGAGCACCAAAATCTGGCCGCTTCGCTGAACTTCATCCTCCAGCTCCCCCTCCCCCTCCCCCACGCCTGGGGAGGGAGATACATGTAGACACAAGCTGGACCTCCTGCTGCTGCGTGAACGCACATATTCTGCAGCTCAAGTGTTTCTGGCTGAAAACATTTAAAGAAGTGAGTTAGGGTATTTTCCTGAAGAGACTGCGTGGATTTAGTCACTAAACAAAAGTACTTAGTTGTTTTCTTTTTTAACTCATTTTGGTCAAAATAACATTTCTTTTAGGATTTTAATGACCCCCCCCCCCCCCATCCCCTCTTTAGGATGGATACCGGTTGTCCCACGGATGCTATAATCAACTTGAAGTTGGGGAGATAACCTACATTTAATGTCTAAACAATACACAACTATTCTACTGATAATGATCTGCATTCAGCCTGCGTGTTCCTCACGTTTGTGTCCTTCAGTCATGTTGGTGTTGAGTCGCTTGCAGCTTTGTGTTTGAGGACGTTGGTGGGAACATGACGTAGGGACGAGTCATTGTCAGTCCAATGCAATGATATTGTATATTTACTGTATATATTTTTGTACCAGAATGATTTCTACACGTCAGTGTTTTCTGTTTAATGAGCTGATACATGTCTAAGACTTCATTTCTCTTGTCCAACCTCCTCCACCTCTCCCTACATGCGGGAAGACAAAACGCTGAATAAATGACTGAATACCAAAGTGGATTATCTGACAAACAGGTCCTTATTATGTCCCTACCGGAAACAACGTCACCTTCAGTTTGGGGCAAGGGCCAAATGGCCGACAGGAAGCCTAGAATGACGCCAGTTTGATTGGATCTGATTGTCTCGTGAAGAGTAACTAAGCCAGTTATTCAAATCAATCAGCGTGGTTACATGGATTCGAATAACTGGCTTAGTCGGACTGAAATTGAATTATCCGTTTCATGTAAACACCTTTGTCCGACTATTTGCGCTCCGACTACGATCCGACTAACACCCCTGGATAACTCGATCCGATCCAGTTGATAGTTCTACTATTGCGGCATGTAACGGTGAATCGGATGAGGAACTGGGCTTTGCGTCTTTGCGCATGCTTGAGATCCCGACGGCGTCTTCTCTCCGTTATCAAATCAACCAATAGCGCCATTCGCATTCGCTGTACTCTTATTAACATCATGCACACATAGTAGAGGGATGTAGCTTCACGTTGCTCTCCGTTTGCCATCTTTCTCGTAATGTTGATGTTGTTGTTGGTAGTGGTGAAGAGGTCAAGCGGAAATGGCTGTATTACAACTCGTAAGAAAACAGCGCCACCTATCGTATCGGATATGACATGCTTTCGGCCAATGATTCGATTTATTTACTGCCAAGTATATTGGGATAATAGCACTTGCGCCGAAAGATAGCATAGTCCAACCAAGCAAAGATTCAAATTATACCATCGAGGTCTGTCCTACAAAACCAAACCAGATTAAAGATCATTCGCTCTCTTCGGACTGAGAGCTTTATTGGGATATTGATTCATTTGGTTCATTTAAAAAAATTTGTTTCCATGACTTTTCTATAATTATTCAAATTTTTATTCAGAAAGAGCAAATGTTTCATTTTTCCTCCGGCCACTTTAACATCTACTGCTCTGCCCGTGTGGAATGTGCATGTTAACTCCATCATGCAGCTTCAAACAATGTAACATAACATTGTTCGTGCCCTATCTAGATGTTTAATGGTAAATAATAAATGGAGTAGTACTTTAACAGCGCTGCACTAGTCAGCACTATATGTCATTTAGCCATTCATACAGTGATGACAGGAGCTACCATGCAAGGTACCACTTAGCCATCAGGACTCCATCATACATAACTTATTGTGCATCGAAGGACGAACCGCCACATTACTGAGCTCCAACTCTGGCCGAGTCCTCGCTCCACATCCCTCCATCAATGCTATTCCAAATCTATAAAATAAAAACGTGGGTTAAAAATTTGATTCACAGACATAACAACAAAGGGTGCAGAAGTTAAAATGAGAATGCAATAGAATATTGTGGTTTTTAATTGTATTCACATACCTTTTTTTGCAGTCTATGCTTTTGAACAATAGCACACAATTTAAGTTTGCCACTTGACTTTATCACCAGAAGATGGCGGCACAATTGTGTTGAATTAATCTGAGTCTGAGTCAGTGAGGAAGAAAAAGGTTTGAATCTTTTCACATCTTCAACTTAACCAATCATGTGACATTTTAAATCAAAAAGTTGCTCAAAAAACATGACACATGACACAGGTCATCCAGCATCCAAATAATTTCATTATCAGAAACACCGAGTCCATTTCCTTTATAGTGTCACAGATGTTAGATTGACAGCTGGAAGTGGAAGGGTGGGATGACCTTTTGTTTTCTCTCTTTTGGAAACAAAGGATCAAAGTATCAGATTATCTGCTGCTCTCAGCCTCTTTTACCTCCAGGTATACCTAAACTGAGTTCTACACCACCTAAACTAGTTTCTAGAATCGCTCTAAGCCATCGGAGGAGCCGGACGAAACCAGGTTAAAGCAGAGCGGTAGACCCCATTTAAGGTTCTAAGCAAAATAAATGTTTTTACTAGTCTGGTGCATGACGTTTCTGACGTATACAAGGAAAGACATGTTACAGACAAATATGATACTCCACTTATTGAAACATAGTGGCCCCTTATTTCTTTCTTTTTTTTCCCTTTAGTCTCCACAGTTCACAGTTATTTTTGTCCAATTTAACTGATTGTGCCATCATGTTTGCAGGTACAATTTAAGAACAAATAAAACCCCTTCCCCTGTGCAATTGAGCAGCAGGGTCAAACGGTCTGCATAAAATTGGCCCCTGAATGGCCACAGTTTACACATTGTTACTGCACCACTCGGAGCAACTGGGTCACTTCAAAGCTGGTTTACACATCAAACAAGACTTCTCTAGAGTCTCAGACTCGCCAGACTGCTTTGTGCCAATTAGTGTTGCTTTTGAAAACCAAATGACAAAAATGGCTTCAGTCACAGCTCCACGTTAGCTCTGAGTGTAACTGTGGGTGAACAAGTTGGATTCATATTTGCATGCACCAAAGGAGCTGAGAAATGTGCTATTGTTGTTGGTTTGTGACTCACCTCAACAGAATGCTTTACTAGGACCACACCGGTGGGTACTTTCAAGTGAATAGGAAGTGGAACACAAATAAGTCTCATTTAGATCCTGCCTCTGTGACCTCTGATATTTCCTATGATAACATTGTATTATGTTGTGTGTTGTCACAGGACAAAATAGATGGGAGACACACTCAAAGAAAACCTTTGTTTAGCTGCTTAGAAAACATTTAGACTCAATTATCCTGTGGACTTCAGAGGCTACTGAACACTATTTACTCATATTTTACAGGGTTAGTTATATGACAATTGTTATCCCACCCGTTTCCTCTGGGATTGCAAGTAGTCCACGAGTCCGTCAATTGATTCACAAAGATGAACACAACGGGGATAAATGGTTGATTGTTTGCAGTGTGGGAGATTCCCCAGGCCTGCACAGTATTTTCTCCCATTGAGTTGTATGCCAGGAAACCACAGGGGGTCCTCGACCTGATTAAAGAAAACTGTGAGGAAGATCCGAGTACAGGTAAGAGTGAGATCCAGGATACCCTGGACCCGCGAGGAAAACTCATGGGTTGGATGTCACATGAGAATCAGCTCCTGACTCAGCGAACATCAACAGCGGCTGTACAACAGAGGAGCCAGGCGGAACAATTCACATTGGGGGAAAAGGTACTTGTATTGCTCAAGTGTCAGGGGCCAACGGGTGGGGGATGTCTCCTATGAGGTGGTGCGGTCTGAAAGAGGTGGAGCTACACAGATTCACCATCTCAACCTCCTGAAAGCATGGAGAGAGGCCGAGTCTTTTTCTCTATTGTCTCTGGTGTCTGAGAGAGAGGAGCTGGGGCCTGAGGTTCCAAAAGCTACCAATCGGGCCTTGCTCCTTTGTGAAGTCGATCTCTCCTGTCCGAAATGGAGGCCAGGTACAGCACAGTGGAGAAAGAGTGCCTCGTCATTCAATGGGCGGTTGACTCTCTGCGTTACTACTTCCTGGGATGCTCATCCCCCCTCAGTTTGGACCATGCGCCGCTTCAGGGGCTCCACCGCATATAGCCTACGTGTGATTTCTCTCTCTTGCCACTTGACAAGCCACAGAAACCACAGGGGTCCCTGCGCTCTGGGCAGAGATGATAACCGATTTCTACCCCAAATACTTTCTTGGTGGAGACCTTTTCAGTTTGTCTCTGTCGAACATTAGGTGTTAAGGATCTGAATCCTGAATCCTGAATCCTTAAGGATTCAGATCCTCAACACCTAATGTTCGACAGAGACAAACTGAAAAGGTCTCCACCTTTGAGCTGATATCCCCACGGGACGTCTGGCTTAAGCAGTAGACTCTTTTTCACCACAGAGAAGATATTGGCGCTTCTTCAGAATCGAGCATTTGAACGGACGACCCCCTGTTTTCTCCCAATCGATACCTGCAACAAAGGCCAGAGCGGATGCCGAGTTATACGTGACTTAAGGGAACACAGCACTCGCACAGTTACTCGTCACTGTATTGTTTAACAAATAATTTTGTATCCTTACAGGCTGCCAAGCTCTTCTAAATACAGCATAAACATTTCTGTATTGTTTATTGTGCTATTGCACACGTGTCCAGGCCCCAGAGTCTGTTCAACACGGTATACTAACTATGGTATTTGTAATATTCTGTTGGTTCGCTAGGTTGATCCAACAAATGAGACTCGTATTTGGAACTTGTACCTATTCAGAGCGCAAGAATTCAGTTTCCAAGTTGTGTGATTGTGTGTCTATGTTTACTGTGGCGGCTAAGCTCTGCTTTCCTCTGCGTCTTTCTTTGTTTAGTTTTATCATTTACTAACCAATACACGTTTCCTTCCACACGTAGATTTACCTACAGATATAGATTTAGCTACACTAGGGACACATGGTGTCAATCATACAGACTTCATCAGCACATGCTTAAATTAATTGAAGTTATTCAATTATTTTGATGATATGGTAATAGAATATTGTATAGCCACAATGTTATATTATGATCATTGATCATTGATCGTCATTGATCAAGTAAATAAACTATGTGTTCAAACTTAAACCTTC